GGGGGTTATCAGTAGTTCAATATCATAATGGTCCATTACAGCTCCGCAAGCTCCCAATGCTCTGAGCCTAGCTACACCTGAGGTCAGACAGAATATCTTTTCCTGTGATAGAAGCATCTGTGCTTTGAACAGTGGGCCGCTCTCTCGCACACAGGCATTATCGTTTAATTGCAGGTGTAGCAGGTACACAGGGTTAGCAAGGGTTATCTATAATGCGAGGCGGTGTAGTTATAACCATGTATCACCGTCACTCTTTTCTCCATTATACTGAATCAAGTGTCGCGGTATCGATCTGCAAGCCCCATTTACATCCAGCAGGATGCACAATCATCAAAGCTTTAATGAAGATTTTAAACCTGTGCCTGGATCTGGTGTGACTTCAGCATCAAGATGTGTGGTCCATTACCTTATGCACCTTGCTAATGACCCTCACCCCACTATGTCTCATTATATGGTGACAGCTTTGCAGCAATAACTTCAATCTAGCATAATTAGCTTCTACCTCTAATTAAGGCACCTCTCTGATTGTTTTTCTGTTGTGTGCTGTGTTATTAAGTTTACAGGAGGAAAAAGAAACTTCCCAGATCCTGTTTCTCTGGTTTGTCTCTTCAGTAATGTGATTACTGAAACTTAAATGTTTTGGGTGTATATATTGTTTTTGTTTTTATTCTGGTAATTTACTTTTTCTGCCCTGTGCACATGACAAGGAGAAACAAGGTGCATAACAGTGAGCATTCAATGTAAAATCTTTCTTGTCTGATTAAAGGTAAAGAATAAAAGGTATACATAATTTAGTTATTCAATAACAATAAGGTACAAGTTACTACTTAAATCTTTTTTGGCCAGTGGTTGTGCTGACACATCATCTTTCACCCTGTGACTTTTGGGTGTGCATAAACGACTCTCTTTATCAAAGTATACAGTGGAAAAATAAGCAGTTAATTGAGATACAGAGTGTTTGTCTTGGACTGAATACACTAACATCATATCGACCGCAAGGCCTTGTTTATGTCACATTTGACTGAGCATGATCAATTCTGTCCTGGCACTTTGATTGATCACCAATATACTGTCACAACTATTGATTGGGGCTATGGTTAGAATAATGTCACCATCTTAAATGGGGGATGAAGAAGAACGTGCTGAGTTGGCCTGATTTGTTTCTCAGTGGTCTTTTTCTCTCTCTAGAGTCTCAGTCTGTTTTTGTCTTCCCTGTTTCAGTTATTGTCACTGCTTTTACGGAATGTTCTTTTTTTTTTATTTCTCTGCATGTCTTCCTCTCCTCTCCAAATTCACTCCAATAAAAGAGAGAAAAAAATCACACCAATAAAACTTCCATTTTCTCTCCCTCTTGGCCTCAGTCTCCCCTTTTGTTACACAAACATACACACCTTCCTCTCTGCCTTTGCTCATTATCCCTCCTCCTCCAACTTCTTGACTTGTCATTTTTCCAAAGTATCTCCCAGATCTCCTCTGTGCATCTGTGAATTGTCTCTTTCCATAGCTGTGCCCCTGTACAGCCAGACTGTTCAGTCCATCCATCTCTGTCTTTCTCCTGCCTCTCCCTACCCCCTCATCCATCTCTCCTGCTCCCTTATTCATATCCTCTGAGCTTTCTCTCCTCTACTCTTTGTTGTATGTCATGGCAACCAAGTTTCTCCTTGACCCTGTGCAGAGAAATCACACACACATTACTGAGAAATACATCAATCCAAAAGTATATCATTTTTAGGAACATATGTTTTTTTTCTATTGTTACATTGTACTACCTATGAAAATATCTGTCTATACTACATGGCCAAAAACATGTGGACAATCTGACCTTAGCTTATTGTCGATCTCACTGTTTTAATATTTTTGGGAATTCTTTCAATGAGATTTTGGAGAAGGATTTTCAGAGTATGGTCATTAGTGGTCAATAGTGTGTTCGGCCACTGATGTTGGGCACCAAGGCCTGGCTTGCACTTGTTGTTCCAGGGCTGTGTCCAGGTCATTGAGTTCCTCTACACCAGACTTTGTGCTTGAAGGCATCGTCATGTTTGTCACAACACTGGAAGCCCACTACAGTGGGAAAATTGTATTTTGAAGCTTTTATATTTTCCTTAATTAGAGTTAAAAGGCTTAGCCAGTTCAGATAAAAACAGAACTACATCAACACAGCAAATGTATGTATAAAAGAATGTTCATATACATTTAACCATACACTGTATTTTTCTGTCTGTAACTCCGAATTCTTTGCTGGCAGTGTCAGTCAACTCATACATTGCAAGTCAATATAAATCCAACCTCACTCACTTTTGACTACAGCATTATCTACATTACTGTCAGACACAAGTATACTGTAAAACAACAGCAAAGCAACTTAAAGCAGCAGTTCAACATTTAGGGAGATGCATTCATTCACTTTTTGGCATCAGTTCAAAGAAGATCAATATATGTTTGTAAGTAGAGCTGCATAATAAATCATTTAGTGAACATGAATTAGGTCCCCGTGTGATCTCAGTCTCACGTCCCAATGATTCTGCTATGTTTGCATTAGCAGGGAGATGCCTTGCATCAATCCAAGTGCTCCCTTTTACTTGTGAAGCTGCCTTATCCAATAGCAGGAATTACGTCACGTAATGAGCTATAGACAGGAAGACTGATTCGAAAACAAATCCAACATGTTTGACACTGTGAAAGATATTCTGTGTCCTCCTGCAAAAAAATTTCAAACATTGCACTGCCTGCTCTGTACACCTAGTGCCAAATATGAGTTGAAGGTGAAATAAATCTCTTTGCGGATATTAGCTGCAGTTATTGGTTAACGTTGATGGAAGGGTTCTCACTACTAGTGCAAACACAGCAGAATCATTGTCCCACAAGACTGAGATTGCAGAGAGATTTAAATTACACTCAAAAAAAAAGATTAAAGTTAACGTTCAGCAGCAGGTTAGCATGCTGTAGCTTAGACTAAAGACAGAGAGCTGAGGAAACAGCTCAGAGCCAAAAGGTAAAAACAAATCCACCTCTCAGGAACTCTAAAACTCACTGATTGTTTCTTTCAAGCAGATTAAAGAAATAAGATGATGTATTAAAATAAAAAAGCTGCATTTTTACACGTGGTTATGTGCCAGACTATTCCCAAGACTATTTCTAGTTTTTATGCTAAGATCTAATGACTATTGTAACTAAGGTTACATATCTCTACTGAGAAATACATACACTGCAACTTGCTCATATACATGTGCAGCCAAGAAGACAAAAGTCCAGTCATTCCTCCTCTTTTTTTTTCTCCTGCCTCTTGTGTGTGTCTTCTAAAAAAAAACCTCCTTCTCCACAGAGCAGGGCCAATTAGAGAACATCCCATGTTCCTTCTTGGCTCAAACAAGGCACTCTCCAGGGCCGCTAATTAAACACAAACCTTCCCCCTTTCAGTCTCTTCATTTCTCTCTCTCTCTCTCTCTCTCTCTCTCTCACTGCACTGTCACCTCTCTCCATCTGCCTCAGGTCCTCTTGCTCTCTCTCTCCCCCTTCCTCCTTGCAACCTCTTTCTATCAGTTTGCTAGTGCTTCCTTTTCACATATCTCGCCTGGCCCTTCATCTCTCGCCCTCTTTGCCTATTTGTCACGGTAGAGGTTTGATGTTCACACTGGGAGAGTCTTCAGAGTCAATCTGTTATTTTTTTCTGCTAGTGTTAACCGTGCACCTTGTGACCTCAGCCATGTACACTTTAGGAGAATGTCCAGATCTGACAGCGCTGTTCCTTTTTAACAATGTTACTCTGCACCTACTGTTGCCCACTGTCCGCAGCTGAGCCTGCTGACAGTGACAATGAGCCCTGTTAATGGGCCATTCATAGTTACCCGATGTGCTCCGGTTTTCTCTGTCACCTTTTTTCTCGTCTCCCCCATCACTTCCTGTCATAATACAGCATGAGGAAAGTATATAGAGCTTCATGGAAACATTCTACTGGCTTGGCAATCTGTCATTCAGATCAACATGTAAATTTTGGCAAAGAAAAACAGAGGGCATTTGTTGGTGCCATATTCAAGAAATCTGACTTGTCCAAGATATGATCCACCTGTGGTGTTTATTCCCATTAAGCATGTCTATTTGTCCTGTATTTGGCTCCTATGCAGGCTGATGTCATGAGCACAGAGCTAATTAGCAATCTTTCTTACCTCCTTTTTTCCTTACAACCTTTTAAGAAAACCTCAGACATCGCAAATGTTTTGTTATTGCATCAATTTTTATACCTTCTATAACAGGAAATAACACCGTATTTAGCATTATCTCTTTGTCAAAGGCTCTGATGGCCTCAATAAAAGGAAAAATATCTCACAAGCAAATCTTTTATTTTCAAGGCAAGCTAGGAGCAACCAGAAATTCCTGCCAACCAGGGAGGGGGGAATAAACAAACAAAGGAATAACTGTAGATGCTGTGATTTTTGAGGATGGGCTATGTCCAGAGAATACGAGAAATTTAAATATACTGATGAAGTGACATGAACCATCTTCTGTTAAGTAAAGTCTAGCCAATTTTTTTGTATAGCTCAATATCGCAGCTTGCAAATTTGCCTCAAGGGGCTTTACAATCTGTCCTTAGAGCCTCAACTTGGACATAGCCACACTGCTGATATATAGGACTCATTAAAATGAGTTATTTATAAACCAATTACAAAATTAGTAACATTTTATTTCAAAGTAATTTTTTTAGGAGAGCCACTGACTGTATTTCAGTGCTTCTGTTTACTACTACACCGTTAAAACTGTATTGCCAGTAGCGTCCGCTTGATATACACATCTCAGAGGACTGGGAGTGTTGGGTGAGAGAGGTTGTTCTGGGTCTCACTCCGTCAGCAATTGACTGATAAGAGGTTTTGTTTTCACGACACCGCCCTGATCACCCGACTCTCTCTCCTTCATTCAATCCCCAGTCCCTGAACCAAAACTAATCCAAACTAAATTCCCAGGATTCCTCCCATCTCCCATCCCACTCCACTGTGTCTCACTCCCCCATGTTCTGTCATTCATGAAGTGGCACTAATCCTCCCCCCTTTACACTTTTTCATCTCCTCTTTCCTCCTCTGTGTTTTATGATCTGTCGTTACCAGAGCAAAACTAATCTTCCCCCCTCGTTCTCTTCCCACAGTGGCTTCAGTCCTCTGTGCCCTCTCCTTGTTGTTGCTTATCCTTCCTCCCTCCTTCCACTCTGACTCACACTTCTTTCCTCAGACATCCTACTGTTATTCATCTCAGACCATAACTGTGTTTACCCCCCTTCCGTGCTCCCTTCCCTACTACTGGATAGCTCTCCTATATGGGAAAAGGTATATTGATATCCAAGCCTTTGGGAAAAAGACTCAGGTGATTGCAGTCACCATGTATGTGATGTTCCTCACCAAAACAACTTAAGAGTTCATCTGACACTTTATATCCAAGAGCTGTACCAGAAGGAGGAAGATGCACCATATAATCGTGTTCTTCCACCTTCTAAATAGGAGACAGTGGCAGTGCAGTAGGAATAAAAGCAAAGGAAAATATTTTTCCTAGAAATACCCGCAGCCCCTGCTGGATCCAGACATCCTCTGATGTCTCATTTATATACTGAGAAACACTCATGAGTCCTGATACAGTATATACACACAGACACGCTCTGACGGCCACACACACAAATATTCATGTATTTATATTAAAGAGGCCCTGCAATTTCTAATGTATCTTGAAGTCCATGGAGGGAGAGTGGACAGAGAGAGAGCACGAAGTTGTCAGCTCATTCTTCACAGCTCTGCTTCAAATGCGTATGTCTGCTGTAGCAGCATAATTACAGAGTTATCAGAGCTTTTCTCAGGTCCTCAGCTACCGGCAGCATATAAAAAGACCCCAATTAAGCAATTATCTTAAAAGGTAGAGCCTAATTCAGTCATTTGAGCTCCAAAGAAGCATTGAGAAGGAGACCACAGTGTCTGACAGCTAATTCAGAAAGTAGGGCTAAAAGCATTAAGCTCAGATAAAAATGGAGGGGGCTTGTCATCACATAACGCTCAGAAAAACTGTAATAGCAGTGCTGAAATGTCACTCGTCAGAAAAGATTACAGTTTTTATATGCATGCTGTGGACATTCATGCCACTTTATCATACATGTCCATTCTTCCCTATGGTTTTTGTTAACACTGGCGCTCTTACTCGAGGAGTTTAATTCACTTTAACTCCTTGATATGCCACTAATAGTGAAATGTAAAAGGGCAATTGCTTTCTAATGGCTTAAAACCAACTAAAATGCCACTTCTTAGTTCTGCTGTTTAACAGTGGCTAAATGCTGCTGTCATTTTTACAATTAGTTTCACACACTTTCACTCTCTTTGTCAGAGAAGTCTTCCTCCTAAACACTGACCGCTCAGTCATAATCCTTAAAATTACTTACACAATACTACGTGTAATGAATAAAAAGTCAAAATTGTTGCAAATGGGTGCTTTTTTTTTTTTTTTACAAACATCAGATGTGATTATTTGCACCTCCAAATCGTTATTTCTGAATATTCTGGCTTTTCCTCTGTTTGATCATTTGAGTCAAGGTGTCCATAAATACAGTCTGTGAGCTTTTGTGAGATAGTATTGCTGCTATGGTCTGCTTTTGTTCTGTCCAGAGTTTTCTGCATGTCTCTACGGTTGTATCAATCTCAATTGTCTGTGTTATACTGTTTGTCAGTGTGTCTACACTACTGGGGCAAAGTGAAGTGATAGATGACTCGACTGCCTTCTCATCTCTTGAGCTTACAATATATAGAGCAGGAAGTGACATTTGCTGTTCTAGCTTTTTATAGGTTTCTAGTATTGTATCGCTGTGTATTCTGACTGTATGTTAGAGAGAGGGACAATTTATATATTTTTGCTGGATGTAGAGCTAGAGATGTGCCAAATGTCTTTTCATTTCGACAACACTGCTCTGGCTCATTCTGACAATAATCAGCGCAATGATAGCCAAACATATTGTGATGCATTATTCATTTTTGTCTGTGTCTGATTACCCGCTACCATTTGACAACCATCACACTCAAATGTGTTTGGATTACAAGCAGTGAGGAGTGAAAAGGGAAAATCGCTCATATATCGCCTATCCTATCTATCATGCAAAGAGGGTCTTTTAAAGGAAGAGAAGTAAACATTCACTGACTCCCCAGGGGTATAGTTCATAAACACTAAGCTCTAGTTTGACATAAATATCTGTCCTGAGGGAGGATAAGTAGCCTTATGCGTGGTCAATAAGAAAGACAGTGCCCCATAATCCACAAAGATAAATCCAGAGTGCCAAGCCAATTCATAACGTTTGAGTTGTGTGGGGTCATTTAACCATTTCCATTGATTACTGTCATTTTCAAAGTGTCTTGCTGTCAAGGGGCCTGAATGGAGAGGCTACTTAAGACTCGACATGCTGATCAATAGTGCAGTCTCCAGGTCCAGACGGCAACTCGCACATCAGGGCCATGTGGAAGTCCTCACCCAGCTCTCCTCCAGCTGGATCAATACACTACGTATCCACACAATCACATGTACTCCATTTAGTCCCAACCTCCCATCAACAGGTGCAGTTTAATATGCCTCATTTATACAAGTGAGTCATCAGCTCACATTGTGATGCTTTGTTCTACATAAAGAGAGCAGCCAGACGTTTAGTCCGACACTCTCTAGAGCACCAAAAAAAAAAACTAATGTTCAAAAGACCCCTAAAGGAACTGCCAAGGTTGAAAATCAAGATAAAGTGCTCAGTCGATCCTAAAATTGATTTATAACCCACCTCTCACAAAGATCCTTTGACAATACATGAGCTGGTGCGACAGTGTTTAAGGCTGATTTTACTTTGAGCCTCATTCCTTTTGAACAGTCTCAGGATGCAGTCCAAAAATATGACTGGATATTATTTCTGTCCGCCTTAAAGCAAGCTCTAGGGAATGATGGAGAGGAAGGTAAGAGAGCCTGAAATGCCATGTCCTGTGTTTACAGTACAGCATTGTAAGGACAAACAGCTTGACCCCTGCTGCTCACATCGACAGACATTACTGATTTTTCTGCTATAGGACTCAGTGTGCCGCAAGTAAACCCTAAAGGCCGCCTCATGAAAGAACCTTCACTGCCAATCTCAATATCCTTTTCAATGGGCCAACTCGTAGAACAACTCTTACACATACACACCATAAAGTTCAGTGAGCAGCGTCTGCAAGGTTAGATCAATACACCTAACTGGCAACGTGCTTGGCACCGAACATCTTAAAATCTGTATCACCAGAGGTGCCAGAGTCACTCCTCAGACCAGATCAATGCCTTGAATGGCCGACTCCATTAGACAACCTTTTTATCAACAGGAGTGACTGGTGGAGGTGGATGAATTAGTGCTAGTACAGGAGCTGGCTCAAGCTTTAACTCTAACACTAGGTTTCAGTTGCACTTCAGTGGACAAAGTCGTTTGAGATCTTGGGGAAATTCCTACTAGTTTACCGAGAAAGCACTGACTAGTGTTCAGTGAAAACTAGATGTGGATATGGTCTGCAGTTTGAACAGATCCATGGTCTGATCTCCCACGACTGCTGTCAAAACGCCTGTTATACACTAATCAACCATAACATTATGACCACTGACAGGTGAAGTGAATAACATTGATTTTCTTGTTACTATGGCACCTGTCAGTGTGCAGGGTATATTAGGCAGCAAGTGAACATTCAGCCTCGAAGCTGATGTGTTGAAAGGAAAAACAGGCAAGCGTAAGGATCTGAGTGACTCTGACAAGGGTCATGGACGCCTAAGGCTCACTGATGATGAGGTCGACCTACTGTAGATTAAACTTTTAAATTTCATTCATCCTTTTCAAAAGATTCCATTTTGTATGAATCTTTGTTAAAATGAGAACTACTGTACATCGGTCTCTATGAAGACAAACATTCAGCGGCTAAAGTGGCGATATCACACCTAGAGTGGGGAGGCTGTTGAATTTGTCTGAAACATTATCTCTAAGTTGTCCTCAGGATCAGGTCAAATAAATACAGCTATTTCAATTACTTGGAATGTATTTGGTAAAGTTTTTAAACCTTCAAATAAATGCTGCCATGCTATGATTCTAAGTTGATTCAAGAACAGAATCTGGGGAAATCCTTGAAAATGTTTGCACAAAGTGTCCGTGACTTTCCTCAGAGGTCTCTGACTTTATGGTTATCCTTTTCACTCGATTTTATGACACTGCCATGGTTCAACAACATTAATGTGGTGTTAAACACAGCTCTCTGGAGATTTCATTTATGTCCTCATTTAGTCTCGCAGCACTAATTCTCTGTTATATATTGAAACTTTTAAACACTAAACTGAATGTATAATTATTTTAAATAGTATCTCAGAAAACTGTTATGACAAAAATGTGTGTTAAATAGCATTTTAGCCCAAACAAAAGGACTGCCATTTGTACTTCAGTCAGGTTCTGTAGATTACAAACTAATTAGGTTAATGCAAGGCAGCTGTCTGAATAACTGTCATATACCCTATTAGATACAGTAGGCTCCTTTGTAATTACATTTCTTGACATTTGTCTTATGCTGTATGGCATTTGGACACTTTTTAAATAGAGTGTAAGGACTTAATAATCTGTTTGTTGACACATACTGCATTAAAAGTAATTTTGAATATGTCCATACATTATAGTGTATTAAATATGGCCTCTGAAAAAGTTAAAGCAACTTGTTACTTTCTTGTGTAAAACCTAGTGGGGGAGCCAAAAAGCTGTGCGTGACATTCACTTTTTTACTTTTATTTTGTGAAAACATGCCATGTAACTACGTAGCTCACAGTGGGGATTTTTCCTATATTGTATTAAAACTTGAAACAATTTTTCCCATTTCGTTTCGTCTCCTCTAATGTGCTCAGCAGTGTGCCTTTGCCTCTGGACAGATCCCACCAGCAGCTTTAATTAAATATATGACATTCATTTTCACCAGAATTGCCCTTCTGGCCCCAAGGTCTAATGTCACGTGTCTTGGGGGTGGGGGCCCATTTCATATTTTCATATTCGCTGACAGTATCAGTCTGAGGCAAATCGGTAAATCACATTAACTAAATTATAGATTCTGTGAAATGTATTATTTACAGATTAATTTCTCACAGACAGTTTGTTGTTTCGCAGAATATTAACCATAGAATGAATTGCCATTTTTGTATACTTTGAAAGATTAGTCATAAATAATTTTGTGCTGTTCTAAAATTCATTTTTAGAATACGATTCTCAGGGCAGTCTATTGGAACAGTTTTATGTTCCTTCAGCTCTCGTCTCTCACACTTCGTATCAAACTTCTTCCTCTTAGGAAGCATCAAACTGCACCAGTGACACTCGGACATAAATGCCTTCTTGCCAGAGCACTTTCCCTCTGTCTGACCTTCCTTCTCTCCCAATATCTTTCTCTCTTTGAATCTGCCTTTTTAGTATTTCTTTTCCATTCACCTGCTCCTGTAAAGACCTTACATTCTGCCCCGTTTAGCTCTGTCTCTTCATGTCTCACCTCTTTTTCTCAGTGTAAAATTTCCCTCCCTTGTCTCTCCGCTCTGGTCCTTAACTGAGCACATCTACAAACCCTGTTATCCTCCATAACACTTTCCTCTCACTGCTTTTCATTTTCCATTAAATTATTTATATACCTGTCTAAACTTAATAACACTGCAGTGGTCTTTTGAAAATGTTCTTTATTGAATGGATGTTTATTCCCAATACCAAAGTAGAACAGTGATACAGAACCAAATAAAGATTTACACTGCACAAATATTAATAATGTACGTGCTTTGTGTCCAAACCTAGAACTTGTACCACAATTATTTGTCAGTTTTTATGTGTCCCAGCCACCAAAACGAAACTAAAATGTCTTTTTAGGCTTTTTGTTTGTTACCTACATCATGATTTACAAGACTAAATCTATAAGGTTAAAATAAGATAAATACAGTATGATAAGTGAATAAAGTCAATATATATATATTTATATACACTTTTTCCCAGTGAAAAGTAACTGGGTGATCTTTCTGGCTGAAAATTTAAAAACTTGGCCACACTCAGCCTCACCGATAGGTATGGTTGGTTGTGCTCAGATTTGTGCTCTGGGTACATACCAATTCCCTTAACTTATAGTTCCTCGATCCTGGCTTGACCCAGAAGTCGTTCCAGTCTGCCATCTTGAAGGACATCTCATTTCTCTTATTGCTGTTTGGAGGAGCTGGTATTGAAGAGCAAGGAGGCTGCCTGGAGGACACATGAGCAAGGACATGAGATATCACCCAAGTCTTTTATGGACCTACATATCCCTTTATCGGAACTCAGTTGGTGATTGGACATCTCAGATGACAGATCTCAGGAAAGGGCATGTCGTATATCAATTGATTCATTATTTAATGTTGTCAAATTAATCTACAGCCACTCTGATCATTAATCATTCAAATCATGTTTCAGACAAAAATGCCAGACTTGTCCTGCTCCAGCTTTTCCAATGTGCAAATTCACTGCATTTCTTTGTCTTATTTAATATTAGATGCAATATCTGCTGATCAGAGAAAAATAAGCACTACATTTTATAGACCACACAGTTAATCAATTATTTGATTTAATAATTTGACATTAATCAATCACTGAAGTAAATGTAAGTTACAGCCCTACCTTGAACTACTTAGGATGTGCTCACTACATTTTTGTTCACCATTAAAACAACCACTCTTAGTAACAATATTATGCATGAACAATGCTGACTGGCGGATTTGTAATAAAAGGTCATCAACCTGAAAAACTAGTTCATGATCTTGCTTCACATTGTTAATTTTGTAAATACCATTACAGATTTAGGCAAAAGAGATTTCGCTGGCAGAATGCCCAAGCTTTTCTCCACCCTCAAGAATCAGGCATCTTATTCTGCCCACCACACATCTCAGCAGGAGGCTCTGACTGCTGACCATCACAGTGATTACCTAGGCAGCATTTTCCAGAAATTGTCAGAGATCTCCCTGTGATTCAGAACACATTTCCTTTCCTCCATTACCCATGACTTCCAAAGTTGTGCAGTTATTACCCACTGCTCTTGACAGCTTGCACCCACAGTTAGGCTGCATACATCTGGGACACACAAACAGATGTGTGTGCGCATGTGTGTGTTTAATCAGTGCAACGTCACATTATAGAAATCATTTGACAAATGTGGTGAAGACAAATACAGTGCGAGGTGCAGATTCAGTGTAAATTAACCCTCAAGTCAGTGTCTGTTTTGTTTTTTTCAGGTTGTTTTCAGTGCAGCATACAGTATATGAAAAAGCCAAATGAATTAATGGACTCTGCCTTCTTTTGATAGTTGTGTTGCACTGCCCTCCACAGTCCGCTGTTAAACTTAAAGTGTGTTACAGCAGAAACATTTTCATAAACTGGTTTCCATTTCTCACTGTTTCAAAGGAGAAGTTCATTTTTACACTGAACTGTTGTGCGAATGGATTACAGCTACCCCTTTATTAGTGGTAGAAGCCAAAGACAACAGGACATGCTATAAACAGAACCACAAAAGAGAGACAATAACAACCACTTCCTGTTAGGATTGGAGTGCCTAAATTAAAACAATTGCTTGCTTTCTATACTTCTGCATAACAAAATTCTAAAGGATTTATTGTTTGATTGTAATATATAACTGGTCTCTTTTCAGAAATCACCACAATGACCAAAAAAGACAAGCCTCAGTAAAATATATTGAAGAGGCAGTTGTAACAAAAAACAGGGCACCAGTTTACAACAGGTGTGCTGCTGGAAATTCAGAGGACAATGAAACTGTGACACTGGGAGCCCCAGCCACATGGAATGAAGTCAGAACAGCATCACTTTGACCCTCAACAGCCTCCTCCAGCTTAGTGTTACCTCACATTTTGTACCTCTTAGTTTCCACAGCATTCATCATTTATCTAAGCTGAAAAATGAAATACATGAGCTGCTCTCAATGCCTCTATAGTTTTAGCTAAATTCCAAAAAGGAAAGCAATAACTGGACCTGAAACAATGCAATCAATGAAGAGAAAATTAGAAAACATTCATTTAGTAAGTTTTTAATATGTCATGATATGTATATCTTTATGCTATTGATCAAACAAAGCAAGACATTTAAAGATGTCAATTTGGGCTTTGAGAATTTGGACATTTGATTATTTTTGACATTTTATAAATCAAATAAGAAAATAGATTAAATTGATAATGAAGAGGAAATTGCAGTTGCAGCCCTAACAATAATATTGCTTCTTTAGTCAAATGTGTTCCCTCATCAGGAGTGCCATGTTTATCCTGAAAATGATGTATCTTATTACGTTTATTGTCTTAACATTAGTTCAGATAACTTGCATGGTTAAAATGATTCTGTCCTACCTCATCTGAAGTTTTCCCCTATTAGCTAAGACCTGTATACAGCAATAATCCACTGGTTGTTTACACCAACTACTAAATGTGCAGCAGATGCTGTGCCTGTCTCTCCCGTTATGCACACCACTGTAACTACTTGCCATTAAGTAAAATGCTTTGTCCATTATGCTGACAGGGACAGTTAGCGGTAGACGAGAACCATATTAAACATAAAATGAAAAACTACAACTGAATTTCAGGCAACTACAAAAAACAACAGATGCAGCATCACTGTGCCAGTCAAACACCAAATGTGTATCACATTTATGAAGTGCGTAACTTGTCAGATCACACCTTTACATCAGCATGGCTCATCGCATTATATTACAAGTAAGGCAGTGTTTCCCAACGCTTGATTATCATACACACAGCGGTTTTACAGCATTTATAGCCACACTTGTTACAGTAACATAGGATGAGCCACAATGAAACCATGAATAAACTGCTAGCCAGTTCTAGGGCCTTACAGGAAAGTTATGTCAGTGTTAAAGAAAAAAAAAACAGCACAAATGCAAAATAATTTGTACTGTAAATCAGGGTTACGATTAAGCTCTTTATGAACAGCAAAATCTACTACCACCAACCAGGCCTGAAATTGTTGCACCTACTATTTTGACTTAAAAGTATTGTCGGAACAGGCCTGATTTATTAAGTTACATTAAAAAAAATAATAAAGGGATTACATGACATGCTCTGTATGTGATGCTTTAACTTGCACAGCAGATGCACATCCATTTCTTTGATCAAGTGCGTAAGCATTGCTTTTCCCTGATATGGGTGCCATCATCCCAAAGAGGTCATGAGTTAATGGACTTATTGTCAGTGTGATTTAGTTACCTTTGAAAACAGGCTACTGGGAAAGCCATGATTCACCTGCCCTACATCGAAGTCACATTTCCTTCCTGGAGATATTTAGGCAGACATGCAGTTGTTTGATGCCTTTTCCTCACTTTACAAGGAAACGGTGAAGAGAATTTGATGGTGCCGTCTGGAAGATTTGTTTACACCAACCACTACATGACTGCAACATGTTGCAATGCAAAATACCCAATCACCCAACTAGAGTATAATGTTTCAAAGAATAAATGTATCAAGTTTGCGCTAACTGCTACAATTCGTACAGGCAGAACAGTTCTACACCTAATGTACATCAGTTATAAAAGAAAAAAAAAAAGAAACGAAAAATCACAAGGTCACAAAACTACTAAAGGCAAAAATGTTCACCTTAATGACACCTAAGCAGCTCAGTACATGGTGACGGACCAAAAACCAGAACAAATGTCCGAGTGCCTTAATGCAACCGTTTAGTACCAAACTGCTTTGCAACATCTAACTGAATGATCTGGATTTATTTTAGAGCATTTTGTTTGCCATTAAAGCAATCAACCACCTTGTTTTTAAAAACAAAAACAAAAAAAAAAAAACATTGTCAAGTGGCTGTGTAGTCATGCAGTAGCTGTAAACTCCAAATGCACATTCACACTAAGATTTAAAACGATATTTATTTCAGAAAGGGCAACATTCATAAATAGTGAGCAGCTAACAGGTACGATCAGACCCATCAGAGAGATGTTTTCAAATAGGACAAAACTAAATTAAACACTTTCACGGGAAAGGGTTCAAAACTAGCTTCCAGGTGACTACTGTAGATGCACTTTTTCATGCACATGAAAAATTGTTAAATGCAAATTTACAGTGTCATTGAAACCAAGTAGCAACTCACTTAAAAATGTTTCAGTCTGATCTGATCATTAGGGCGTTCTGACCTGAGACTGACCCAGAACACTGTTAGAATCATTCCTACGCCTGAACAATTCCCCCACATCATATAACAATTGTTCTAAAAAGCTGGAATATCCAAGCAGATTCGGCGAGTCAGAGAGCTGGGTTGAATCAAAAGGACAGTGTAAGGTGACTTGAATGTTTCTGGCAGACGGTGTCACGGTTCACACTTGCACAAGTCTTTCCGCAAGAGAAGGGTGGTCTTAAATGCATACACCATCCCACATCCCTGGTTCTTTACTGCAATAGTCCTTCCCTAGGTCCAATATGATCAGTCCAAATCACCTTCCACAAGAGCTTGGTAATGTGACAGCATGATCTCTATTTTGATGAGTTGGTCTGTGGCACAAAAGTGGGGCTGATCATCCAAGGACCCAGAGAGTTTCTCTTATGATTTTGGGTTGGGTAGAGGACGACGGAACAGCAAGATGTGTGGTTCTGGGGGAAGGAAAGAAGAAAGGTATACAAAATATAAATGAGTGGTTTCTTCCAGGATGACAATGCCCCAATCCATAGGGCATGAGGGGCCACTAAATGGTCGGAGGAGTATCAAAATGATGTGAATATGCAGTGTTCTTCAAAGTCACCAGAACTATATCTTCTGTTATCCTTGCAACGATCCATCCATTTTGGAACTTTGTAGCTGTTATAACTTTTTGCCTTTTTAACTTGCCCTTCAAACTCTGAAATGGTCTAAGATTTTAAAGTATATTTGGAAGCGATGAAAAGAGCAGGCATGTGATATTTTGTGGTCAGAGGCAAGTTCTCACCGCTGCAGATTTTTTCTGCTCATATCTTTTTCATAAGGTTTAAACAGTTGAGATGTTGAGGTTACTGTCACTCTATATCCAAGATCCATCCAAAGGAATGTTGCCATTTCCTCTTATTTGTCCAGTCACTCAGAACTAGTTATTGCAGCAAACTTCATCTTACTCGCCAGGACATCTACAAGCATTATTTACTAATGACACCACCACAAAATTTTGTCCTTTCACGTTATCATGTTTAGCACAAGTGTTAGAGTTCATCTGTGAAGACTTGTCCCAAGTGACAAACAACTAAAATTACATTTGTTAACATAAATTTTCCCCATCACATTTGCCTAAGGGTATGAAGTCCCAGCTACAGAAATGGTCCAATGAAGCAATATTCAGAAAGAATATACATTTTGTGGTTATATCTATAGACCACTTGTTGAGCCACAAGATGAGATACCTGGCTGGTGGATCATGTAATGCACCCATCCTTGGCTCTGCTGAACACCCAGGTTCCTCCACTCGGTCTCCGACATCAAATGGGTCTTGGGTACACGCTTAGCTATTTCTTTGGGTAACATTACATGCCTGCAGAAGATAGTGACGTACAGTGCATAGTTGCTGTTCTTTTCGGTTCAATCATAACATTAAATCCATAGAACGTGGCTGGCACACTAACAAAGCAAAACTGCGTGTTGTATAAATCAACATAAGCTATAAGGTGACCCACCTGTATTCGTATTTGTCATCGTCATATTTATCAGAGTAGTAGATCTGTTTGTGAGACATGGCGGAGATCTGGTGGGGAGGTAGTTTTTTTTAAAGAAATTAGTCAACATTATGAACTAGAAACAATGCACATACGGCTAAGTAGTTTAGCAGCCACCGTGGCAACATGTTTTAGTTTGTAATGCTAAGCAAACTTGGCTAGGCCAGCGTCGCTCAAGTTAGCCTAGAACAAACGTTACCTCTGATAACATGCGTTTGTTTGAACATCAAACTTAATGCTCCTGCTGCTGTACAATATAATCAATTAGGCCTCGAAGTTACCTTATATAGTTGTCAAAGTGTGAAAAAGTTAATTATTCCAGTTTTGCGTCGAAGAGCAACGAAGGTTTTCACTCTTTCTTTGTTTCCCTCTCGAATGTTTGCACCCCCGCTTTTCGCCGTTCAAATAGACCTCGGCTCACCTCATTGGTCGATAAAATTGAAGAACTATCATGTCATTGGTCGATTCTGTCGGTCGCAGGAAATTGGGGTAAGGACCAACTCGCTTTCTAATTGGTCAGCATGGTAGAAGAAAAAATGAAGGTTCATGAGAGAAGTTTCGAGCAAAGTCGCAAAATATTATTGCAAGCATGACATACTTTGATGTTATTGCATATCCAGTGACCCAGACTACTTTTCATGCTGTGGTTGTGTGTACATTTCAACTCTCTCAATTGTGGATTACAGCACAATTTGATGTAATAAACAAAGAGAAAGATGACATGATGCTCCAAGAGCAGGATATCCAGAGTAACTTTACAGATCTCCACTGTGAGCTCACAACTGCTTTAGAAATCTCTAACATCTATAACCATGTTGCATTATTGTTCTTCTCCATTAATTTTATTATACTTCTTATGTTTGGGCACTTAAGTGTTGCTCAAGTAGAAGATGATAGTCTAAGCTGTTTTACTATGCTAATGCTAACTTGACCAAAGTTTTCATATTAATTAAAGTATTTCGATACAACACAGCTTTACAGCATGAGAACAAAACTTTTACTGTCTTAAGACTATATTTTGACACAAAGTCCTTCTACAAGAATGGAGCAGTAGTTTGAGATATTATACTTTCGTGGTGCAAACGTCTAACAGTTCTTTGATATATCATTCTATGTAGACCCAAATGTAGTAAACCTGGTGCTTTTGAGGCCCCAGGGGCCCTATGCAGCTGTCCATTTTCCCTCAATGGTAAGTAAACCAGCCTTGCATGTTAATGTCTAAATGTAAATGTAAATGTGTCTACCACATAGCAAACAAATAAAAGACTAATTATAGAGGAGAAGGAGTCAGATGCTGAAATAAAAGATTACACTGTAGCAACAGAAGTGGAGGGGCTGTCCACTCTGGTAAGTCCCTCAGTCAAATATAACTCTGCAGACGTGTCAGTGTGCGGCTGGTCCTGCTAGCCGCTCCCTTCCGTATATATATATGCGTGCACGCATGTATCTTGAGGATAAGCTTCACACACGGCGTTGTGTTATTAAAAAACTGCTGAAGGAACCGCATCCATCACCTGCCACTTTCACCTGTGTGCGTCAATCAAGCTCGGATGTGCGTCGTTTTCTGACACGACACTTCTACTTAATTGGTCCAGCCTTGGTTTATAAGGCGGGCGCATCGTAGAGTTGCTGAAATCCCATTGGATGAAAGGCGCCTTGGTCGATGTGACGCAGCTGGAATTCCCAAAGTTCACAAGGAGAGCGGAGCGTTGTTCATAATAAAAACAAAACGTGGTGAAGGCAAAGAAAAAAACTGCGACTGAAGTGTAAGCAAGTGGGGGTAAATAAAACGGCTTCATTGTGTATAATTTGATAGAGTCGAGCAAGTGTTTGAAGCCCTCGCTAACAACGGGGTCTGAGTGTGAACGCGGAAGAGTGGGAGTGTTCAGCGTACCCATCCATTGTTTACCATCATGAGTGAACCCTGAATTTGGTTGCTACACCAACTATAGCCCTTTAATTTTGTCTGTTATATGTGCAAAACCGAACATTATCTCATATAGTATTGTCGGCAAGTGAGTATTAACCTTTGTTTGCTCGTTTCTTGATCACTGAAACCGTTGTTTACTCGTTTTTGGATCAATGAACTGCTTGTGTCTGGTGTTTGACCATTTTTGGTAATTTTTCTTCCACCCACTGACGAGATGGATGGGTCTGAATGGAAATTGTAGCAGTGATAATCAGGAGATTCCTGTTTGCGCCTGTCCGAACCCTATTTAACTGCGCAGCAGTATATTATGGGTGCCATTATACCATTACATAACTTGTAGCAACGACAATCTGGTCTTCATCTCGTGTGTACAGTGATTTCGGTCTCAAACGTTAACATTTTTTCATAATTATGTCCTCTTAGACTATTATTTGCATAATCACAATAAAAATTGCAAGAACCGAGACGTAGATTGTCCTTGTCTATGGATTTTCGTGTTCAGATTTGTGCACTTAGTTTTGTGTTTTTGCCTACTTATAGCTATTCCAACAACCAAGTTATAATCTAATTAATGCATCTAGATAATACATTTAACTCCCACAAGGCATATAGGCTAGTGTATGCACCAGGCATGTTCAGTGAAGACGGGTTGTTTCTGTCGTAGTCTGCAGAATATCATAAAGCCTAATCTGCACCGTGCTGTGCCAAATTGAGCCTGAAGAGGGCGATGTCTGACAGCAACAGCACAGGCAGCACTGGCTCCTCAACCAACAGCTGGACCCTCCTCTCCCCCGAGGTAAGACAGAAAAACCAGCTTAGGAAACAGCTTTAAAATCTGCTTGGATATTATTTGGATGGCGTTCATTACCCTGTCTTATGAATACAGGTTTGTGTGAAATATGACATGTCTGAAATTGCAGCAACCTCTCATAATAGAAACATTGTGGTGAATGTTTGCAAAGTAACATTTAACAAGAATGTAATAACATACTGTATGTGTGCATGGGCAAGCATGTATACCTGCACTGAGTGTGCTGTAAATGTGAAGGTCACTGTTACCAATAAGAGTAGTCGAGATGTTCATGTAAAGGCTTGTAGGAAGCCTGATGTTACTGAACCTTCTTACTCCACAGGAAGCTGCTGTTGAGAATGTCGGGCCCATAGATGATGGCACTAAGAGCCTGGGCGACGTCCCCAGTCTCTCTGAGGAGGTCACAGGTACTGAAACTCAAGAGTACTGGAGCATTTAAAAGTAGTTAGAGGGTTGTGGCATGATAACATTTTTAACTGAAGGCAATGCTTTTAAAGCTTATGCAGTTTCAAATTGTAGACATTGTGTTGACCTTATTCCAGGAGCTGCTGTGGAGTTCAGACAAAGTGACATTCCAGTAGACACTGTCCTGTCTGAGGAAGGCCATCAGGTTAGTACAGAATAAAAAATAATAAATCTATCAAGGTTTAAGTTAAAACTGTTTTTCTGAATTTTCGAACATCATGCCAAAATAAAACCAAACTCATTTTTAACAGTTGAACTCTTATTAGATCATAAACATCATGTCTTGGACTTGTTGCCACCCCCCAAATTAATAAACTGCAGTCTTTCTATTTTACTATTTTGTACCCATGTTCAGGAATTGTGCAGAGTGAAATCTGTTATAGAGGGAGTAAGATGGAAAAGTTTTTTTACTGTGAAAGTGGCTTCAATAGAGTGTGATGCCTTTTGCCATATCAAGTGTTGTTTGCTCAATCAGATGAGACTGGAAAAAACAACATCATAGCACCACGATTCCAATGAAGAGCACAAAAGTATTCACAGATTTCTGCCCTTATTCCTAGGTGTGTCAGGAGACCACTGTAGAGTCCAGTGAGGGTCCCATCCCTTCTAGTCCACTGCGGACGAGCCCTTGTCCACACAACCCTCTTGAACCTCCAGACCTCGACCTGGAAAGGCAACCTCCAGTTACCCATGATATTGACACCTGTTCCCCCAGTGACAATGAGAACCTAGGAGCCACACCCTTTGTCACCAGCATTGACTTAGGGGCTCCACTCGATATTTCTGCTGCAGAATTCCCCCTAGCTGAGTTTGAAGATTCCTACTCTGCTCCTCCCATGACTGGGATCCCTTTCCCAGCAGAACCAGGGATTGGCACGCCTGCTTACATTGGGCTGATTCCTGCAGGTCGTGCAGGAGAAAGACCAATCTTCACTGCTAAAGCCAAAGTTAACATCCCCATAGAGACCATTACAGCTACTGATCCTCCTTCTCATGTTGAAGCTAGTATCAGTTTTGTTCCAGAAGGCACAGAGCTGCCAAATCTTGTTCCAGAGAGTCTGGTGACTGAGCACCCCATCGATGAAAGTCCTGCACCAGACACTGCTGGCTCAGTGGAGGCAGAGGAGGCAACTGTGGAAAAGGAGGCGACAGAGCCATACGAAACTGTGACCCAGCACAAGAGAGATGAAGAAGAAGGTATGAGCTTATCATACAGGAACAGTTAGGATGATGCTGTGGGATATGTCAGCACATGGCATTAGAGTGATGAGTATTTTGAAGGAAAAGATTAGGATGTAGTCAGTCAGTTTTATTTAATACAGTGGTTCCCAGAGTGGGGATTAGCGATTACTTTTTTTTTCTTTTCTTCAGGCTTTCAGAAATTCTTAAAATGAAACAGAGGAAAAGGAAAAGCCAGTTTTGTTGAGCTGCTTACAACTCGCTGTGACAGTATTTGCAAGTACCTAGTAGATTATACATTATTGTAAACCCATTGCAACTAGACCAGCATTTGGTGAGGTATTCTCACACTTTGCTACTGGCTGGACAAAATCCAAAACTTTTAAAAAGAGATATCTGCTGTGTGTCCCCTATTTACCAAAACCTTCCTTTCCTGTCCTGGCAACATTTCCCAATCACTTTACACCCAAAGCAAGTGTATATACAGTATATAAAAGACAAAAAAAAAACAAGTACTCAGTTGTTTTGCAGAAGATCAGAGTCATGACTAGTATAACCTGCTCTGGTGCTTGAGGGCATCAGTGACTTGATGGATCCTGCTAAGTATCCCTAATTTCCTGCACTCTGTGTGCACTGTGTACAGTTTCTCTCTCTTGAATAAATGTGTGGCTTTGTGGTATTCAAGCAAATGTAGAACTATGCACCATATAAGCACAATATCAGCCCAAATAATGAGATCTTAAAGCTGCATTTTGACACAAGGCCCCAAGATTATAAAGCAGGACCCATCTTAAGGCTCCTAGCAGTTAATAGTGCGCTTTAATAGTGCATTTGACCATATTACCATAAGACAAATACCACACAGTGAACATGGGGCTTCTGTGGGCCCCCGGGGGTCTGTGGTCCTGTAGCAGTTAACAGCTTTGTCCATTTGGTAACACAGCCTCGAGGAAAGTAAATGGTTTGTGGTGACAGAAGCGAAAAATGAGAGTCCTCCTGTAGCAGAATTGGTTCCCATGTTTCTTATCTATGTCACGCTAGAAGCTGTAAAGTGATTTATCAGTGTGACAGGGAGGCGTACATCCCACTGAGAAAATGAGAAACCCCCATGCATGAAATTACTTTTGTTGTAATTTAGACAGAAAATGTCACTAATTTCCATGAATGGCATTGACATTTTCTCAGCCTTTTTAACCCACTGTTTACACAGTGTTGTGTTTGTAATCCATGTATTCACTTAGAATTTGTTATTCTGTGTGAGGCAGTCTGGCAGTAGCTACTTATGGTTTTGGAAATAAGTCGAGGTCTTACACCTTTGTAGCCAAGAATGTGGAAATGAGTTGTTAACCTGATTCAGAGCCACATTTGAATACATGTTAGGTTTAGGCACAATACCATATGTCACAATAAACATTATAAAACGTGACGACTCTTTCTGTTGTCTTTCCAGTCCTTTTTCAGAAATTTATTTTCGTCTTGCTGCATTTCTCCCTCTCTTAGAGCCATCCACTGCTTTTGATTTGGGTGACACAGCAAGCTTTGATGATGGACTGAGGAGGAGGGCTGTGTCCTCTTCTGATACACCAAGACCGAGAACATCAGACGAGGAAGAGGAAGAAGAGGAAGCAGAGTTCAGACTGGCTGAGAAGAAGGAGGAAAAACCATGGTTTTCTTTGAACAAATGCATTGTGGGAGCTCTGATCCTGCTCTTCTTAGGTTCCCTCTTCCTCTCAGGTGAGTTCCTCTCATGCCTGACTAAACCTCCCAGTTTACTTATGCGTTTTGTTGTCAGATACAATAAGAGGCACTACTTGTGCTCAAAATTACTGTATGCTGTACATCAATAAGATACTGATCATCCAGAAGCCATTTTTACCATATTAACCATATTAACTAACACTTAAAGATGAAGATGTTAGGAATAAGTTAGTATTAAAATTTGTTCCTGCAGCATATCATCTTTTAGAAATAATCAGAATCAGTGCACATGTTTACACTTTTTTACTTTGTTTTATTGTAAATATTGTCAGAAAATTTCATTATTGCACATTTGCTTACTTGGCAATGTCAGTATTTACAAAATACTTAAGCACATTTATTTGCAGTTGTCAGCAATAGTTAGTCTATTTTTAGATGTTGTTGACTAAGCTGAACTATGTCAACAGGTTTCTTCTCTGACCTGGATAATGGTAGGTCCAGTACTAAAGATAAGACAGCAGTGTAAGCTTGTGCACTAGTTGCTAACAGGCTTGTCCAAGTGTTTATCTTTAGCTTGACACTTCATGCACTGGCAGCAGAACATGGCAAATAACTCGCATTTTGAATTGTACAATAACCCTGTTTGTCACAGTATGAAATGGAATTAAAAATATTCTGCATAAATAAATGGTGTCTGTGTAGTGCACAAAAAGTGGTCTAACTCACAGAATGCACCTTACAACAGAAGCATCTTATGCTGTGATAATACAGCATGGCAGCTGCAAATTGGTCAAAGTGTCCATATGAAATTTGTGTGAAAGATGCGTCATCTCAACAGGTGACTTCGACACGTCTGAACTTGGTGATGGAGAACAAAGCCAGGTCTGCTCTTATATTTTGTCTAGTATGTGTCTATACAGTATTGTTTAAAGAAAACTGATCTTAAAACTTTAAGGATAAATGCTAAAAGGATGAAAGACTGGATTACGATGTGGCTTTTATTTATTTGCCAATGATTTTCCAGGATGGGCTTAGCAGTGATCCACAGGATATGAAAGAATTACTGGATAAACTGACACAGGAAAACCAACAAATCACTCTGCTGGAGGCTCAATTACAGGTCAGCCTACAGTCATATAGATGCCAGTAAAGATGTTTTCCTCTGTCATGACGGTTTAATACTCTGCCGTACATAGGCAGAAAGTTTTCAATAAATGTTTTTGTACACATTGTTAACTGTCTATATGTGTGTTTATCTCTCAGTCTCAGAAAGAAGAACTGGACTCAGCATTAAAAGCATTAGCAGCAAGCGGCGATGAAATGGGTAAAGCAGATCTGGAAAAAGAAAATGCAAAGTTGAAGCAGGAGCTGTCATTTCTGCCCGAGCTGAAGAAAGAGCTGCAGAGTCTGAGGGCCAGGGTGACCGAACTCAGCCAGCTTACAGGTGTGATGTGAAGTGAGGAGGCTTGTTTAATATTGACTGAAATCTGTGCTGTGAATATTGCTCTCAGCTAATGTTTATTAAAATTATAATGCATATGTTCATAAATCCTTTCTTCATGCAACTGAGTGTAAATACTGTGATATTAAATGGATTCCTCAGCGTCATAATCTTTTGACTGTTCTGATAAGCAACTACGAAGGCCATTATAACTGATATCCTGCTATTGTCACAGCTGATCAGGAAATGCCCCCGGCTGCTTCTAATTTATCCCCTCAGTCTGGAGACAAAGATGCTCAGAGTAGCCAAAAAGCAGCTGGACCCGAGAGGAGGAAGCACAAGAATGAGGGAGGTAGACTAAAGGAGGAACTCCAGAGACAGAGAGTTCTTTTGGATGAGAGCAGGAAAAGACTGGAAGGCATGAAAAAAGATGGAGGCGACAGGAAACAAGTCAGGGACAGTTTGGAGGAGATTCAGAGGAAGCTTTCTGATCAAGTCGAGAGGTGGGGGAAGAAGAAGCCGCAGGATTCCAAATGGAAAGGGAACAAAGGCCAAAACAGTGAGCAGGGCCAGTGGAAGAAAGGGGAGAAGAAAGTGCAGAGAGGACAGAAAGAGTGGAAGCACAGCAAAGAGGGAGGATGGAAGGACAAAGAAGAGAACAAGGACAAGTCTCAGAAGCAAAACTCTCACAAAGAGGCATGGAGGGAACACCAGGATGAGTGGGAGAGGAAGAAGGATGAGCGCAGAATGGACAGAGAGGAGCGGAGGAAAGAGAAGCCATGGCACAGCCAGCCTGGTAAAAGCTCCCACAGCCAACATCATCATCACCAGCATCACCATCATCACGCCCGTCAGCTTCATCAGTACAACCACAACGACTTCTGGAGAGACCAGGAACAGAAGCTCAGCCGCAATGTTCGCCCCCAGCTGGGCTGCAGCTCGGTGGAGCACTGTGCCAGCAAAGAGGGGCTCTACCCAGTGGAGTTGTCTGAGTTTGAGGAGCTATTGGAGGGTTACCTGAGCAAGCTAGAAGGATCTTCATCCGAGGGCAAGGACAAGATCCGAAAACTGACCGCAGAGTTCTTTGAAGACGGCATGTTTATCCATGACAGAGTTCTTTTCAGTGACTTTGCTGAGGATGTAGCGGACATTCTGGAAGACATGGTGGACGTTTTAGAAGGCATTGGGCAGAAGAAGAACGACTCCCTGGAGGAGGAGATGGAGGAGTTTGAAAGAGAAGCCCTGTGGAAGTTTGCTGCCATCACTTAAACAGAGACATGGAGGGAAAAGGTGTAAAATATAACACAAGTGGTGGTTTTCCACGGCATTTCTTGCCTATATTTGCCTCCTCAGAGCTGTAACTGTAGTAGCTTCTGGTACCAAGTGATTGTGCCTCATAAATGTGCCCCTCTGAGTCTTTAGTTATAAGATAGACTTGTATTATTTTGGATTTAGTTGTTACCTACCTCTGTCAGGTCATGCCTTTTAATGCAAAGTCCTTCAGTAATGTGTGGATTTTCCTCTGCTAGCGATTTCTCAGTTCTTAGTGCATGTTGCGGTACATAATGTAAATTCAAACTGATAATATTCAGATCACATGCAAAAAACAGGGTTTTAGGGAGATTTTTCAGCACCTGTGCAATGCAGTTAAATATATTTATACAATTCCTATATTATTAGGCTGTTTAATTACAGAAAAATGTTATATTAACTGAGAAAAATATTTTTCTGTCATTTGACTTTCTGCCTTGTGTGAGAATGGAACCTGCCTTTACTCCAAACAGGTTACAACAAAGGAACTTTTGCCTCAAGTCAGATGTAACTGTCCAATCCCAGAGGATAAGATCCTGGTTCTTTCAGGGATAAGAATCAGATCAGGTCTGACCAGTTTCATTTCAGCAGCTCTTGGGTAGATTTGGGCAAACACACAAATTGCTGCTTTAGCACCTTAAGTGTTTGGTTTTCTACATTTGACTAGACTTTTCATGCTGCTCCGCCACCTTCACAACAAAATTTTTCCCCTTGCGATTCACTTCTGTTTTCAAAGCTACTGGTTAGCTCTGTCAAAAAAAAATTTCCAGGAATGTAGCTAAGGGGACCGCCAACACATGATACCCTACTATCCCAGAGCATGCAGAGTAACAAGTAAGGAGTTTAGTGATCTGTAGTAACCCCCAAAACATTACATTTAATGAATTTGTTCATTCACCTAAATGAGGCTGGCAACCAAACCGGTGTTTTGTTTGTCATTTTCCACTTATTTTGTTTGCAGGTTGACTTAAACTGACATGAAACATGATGTGAAAAAAAGATAAAGGCGACTGCATTTCATTTTGTTTTCAAATTCGAGTAAGCTGGACAATGGTAAAAGACAAACAGTACAATGCAAAGTCTATAGAGGATTGCAACATAATTTTTAGTTTTTCTTTCAGTTTTTGATGCTAGTCGTGTTTGATTATGAATATTTTCTTCTTTAGGTTGATGTGAAGTTTAAAGCAACAGAATGTGCTTGTTACTTCTCATTTTTCAGTGACTGGATGAAGCTTTTAGGTGTTTCACATATATTTATTCTGCCACTACACTGCTCCTCTACTCTTTACACGAGAAAAAGAACCACGTGTTGAATGTGAAAATGGTGACTTCTTTTCCAGAAATGTAGTTTTCCAGATGCTGTTTATGTGCCTTTATTATAACAGTTATGGTTAGACTGAACAAGGCATTTTTGATTTCATTTGCTTCTGCAAGATTTAGAAAAAGTTCACACTACTTGCATTGTTTCAGGTGGTTATGGGGCAGAGAATGAATGTGGGCAGAGAATGAATGTCAGGGTTTGCACATGAAGTGACGAATACAAACTGATTCTTGTTAAACATTGTATGTTGTTTCTGGAGGGGAGCTTTGTTTTTCAGGTGTTAGATCAAAGGGTTTGGTAGTAAGCTTAATCACAACAGATAATTCCTTTAATGAAACACATTTATGAAAGTTTAAACAATATTTCAGACATATTTTTGTCTTTGTGGGGACAACACTAGGGCTCTGCGATTAATGACATTGTGGTGTTTAATTGGTCCCTGAACAAATGTCTCATTTCTAATTCTCATCATCAGTTATGTTCTTGTTTAGGAGGTCAGTGTTAAGTTCAGTACATTTCAATAAAGGTTTTTCACCATTAAATGTTTGGAAACATCAGTTGATTCATTCATTGTGTGTGGAAATTTTCAAAAAGAAATCACAGATACAGCCCCTGCTTCAGTGTTAAGTACCAGAACAAGTTGTATTAATGGAACTGCTCCAGTGCTGAAAAATTCACAATGATACCCACCAGTGTGTGACTTGTGGCATTTGAATCACTCTGTGGTGGGAAGCAGAATTGATAGCATGCCAGGCATCTAGTATCACAGCTCTGATGCCAAACTAAAATATTTACATGCAGATTAAAATTCTTTCACCAGGAGCTTACACATCGATAGACAAACTCACTTCCGGCCTGGCAGTCGCTCACTGACCTGATATGCTAATGAACGAGAATGTAAAGCAAAGAGTGAGGACAGGTGAAGCACTATAAACATGCAAAGACTGATTGTCATTCTTTGAATTTTACAAACAAGTCACCATGTGAGCATTTCTCTTTTGGTAATCTTTGAGGTATGACCTGGCTCAAAAACAAAAAAAAAGGTACCTGTAGCACATTAAAATGCAAATGAACCAGCAGGTATAAACATGCAGTCTCATGAAAAGCAATAAGAAAAAAAACTCCAGAACATCCTCCATTGTCCTTGAAATAAAGTCTTAGACATGCATGATGGTCACCTGATTAGAATGGCCTAACAAAGATGCTATCAGTAGGTCCCCTGCTATGCAAACAAACTGAAAAGGGTTTTGTGCTATCATCAGTAAGAATTTGCCCTTTGCAGGACAGAACAGGAGTTATTTTTGGTTCTGTGGGTGTGTTTATGTATCTGTGTATGTATGCAGTTTTATCATGTGTCCTCAGAGCAATGGAAATCAAGCAGCGATAAAGGCAGCCTGCTGGATGGGGTTAAGGGGGCAGGTTTGGTGTTTTCCGCTGATGTGAGCATCAGTGAACAGATATGAAGCATATATATTTCAGGAGGTGATGTGAGAGTGGACAGACAAGGTTCCTGGCACCAGCTGTAAAATATAGTATCTCCATACATCAGGTACGGCCACAGCCTCTGTATTTGTTTACAGTTCTACATGTGACTTGTTTCTTGTGTGACAGATGTTTGCAGCTGTGTTCAGGCCTTTGTTTCTTTATTAAATTATTTTACAGTTCTCAGTACCGACCATCATGGAAGCTGCTATCTCCACCCTCATCACCGAGTTCAAGAAGTACGCTGGGAAAGATGGATCCTCCAGCACCCTGAGCAAAGACGAATTCCAGAGCCTGGTGAGCTCTCAGCTATCCCACTTTGTCAAGGTAGGCTTCATCTTTTAAGTTGTTCATAGACAACATAGATGGAGACATTAAAGAAACTGTGGTTTGTTATGAAGCTATGTATCTGAGGACTCTTGCAAAATGTCCCAATTGTTGTTCAGATATTAATGTGGCTACATTGTTTTCACACACATTTCACTGTTATGATTTCATATGAAGATTTCTGCAGAGGTGGAAAGTAATTTATTCAAGTATTAAGTATAATTTTGAGGTATCTGTACTTTTGTATTTTCATGTTCTGCTACTTCACACTCGAGAAAAATGTACATTGTACTCATTACATTATTATTAAGTTTAGTTACTTTTTAAAATGAGATCAATAAAACAACATAAAGTATAATTATAAGACTTTACTGATTCTCAGAGTAAAATTCACAAGCTACCCAGCAGTATATAAAGTATGTTAAATTTTAAGCATATAATATAGTTAAAATTAGCTACAACATTAAATGTGATGTAATAATAATGCATCAATCATTATACTCCAATAATATGATATCCATTAATATGAAGCGTGCCATTCTGCACAAGTACTTTTACTTTAAGTATATTGTAATACTAAAACTTTTCTACTTTTACTTAAGTAACATTTTGAATACAGGACTTTTACTTGTAACAGGGTATTTTTATGCTGTGCTATTACTACTTTTAAGGTAAACCATTGGAGTACTTCTTCCACCATTGTATTTCAGTAAAGTACTGCTATGTGTGGGTATAGACATGAGGTGCAGGATATGAGGAATGTTTTCCATATACAAAATACTAAGGCAGGGCAGCAGATAAAGCCTATTTTCTTTAAAAATGTAAAATTTTCAATTTATCAATAAACAACGTTGTAAATAAAATGACACAAATCAATAGAATATCCCATCTCCAATGAGCATCTTCAGCATAAGACAATGCTTTTGCCTGTCAAATAAAATATTCAGTATACAATGCATGGAGTGAAGGAAAACGAGCAAATATCATATCTGAGAAGTTGTATTTAATTATAGTTTTACTTGATAATTGCTTAAATGATTAACCAATTATCAAATTTGTCACCAGGTCATTCAGAATTTCTAAATATAATGTTGTACTGCATCTGTATGAAAGTGGATTGATGATAATTATGTATGACAAATAAGTCAGACACTGTATATTCCATATAGGAAGCTTTGTATAACTGTAAATGAATTTTAACTTCAGTTAATTCATTACTACGGTCGGCCATTAGGTGGCAGGACAGTCTTTCAGAGCAGTTGATGATGCAGCTCACAGTGATCTTTTATTGATGACCCACAGAACGCCAGTGATCCTGGGACCATTGACCAGCTCATGGGCTCACTGGATGAAAACAACGACGGGGAGCTGACTTTCACTGAGTTCTGGCAGCTGATTGGAAAAGTGGCCTGCCAACAGGGTTGCTTTAGTCAGTAGAGCTCGCCTTCCTCTGTTGCTTTTGGCTTTGAGCCGATTGTGCAACACCAGTCAACTTAGTTTAAGCTGTCCAGCTCTAAACTCAAAACCATTTGAATTCTTTAATCACTTCACCAGTGCCACATGTAACCACATAGTTAACCATTTGCTGAATGCAGGGAACTTTGAATTAAAGGCTTTACTGTCATGAACCTTCCGCTTTTAGCATTGTCTTCTGTCATTCATTCACCTCATTATATGATGTTAGGCCACACACATTTAGCATTGGGGGGCAGGGTGTATTACAGCCTTGATTTAGGGGGCAGTAATTCTATATGTGTTGCTGCTGCCACAGCGTTACTATCCAGGCCATATCTTGTTCCACAGAGCTTCATAATACCTGTACAAAGACGCCCGCCCAAGCATTAAGCAGCGGTGATGCAAAAGCATAGCCTGTTTCATTGTTTGTCAGTGAGCCCAGAGAAGACTGTGTAATAGAGATATGTTTACCAAGTTCATCCCATTATGTTTTGGAGGGCTCATTGTTGTTGCAATTGGGGTTTTGAAATTCAACTGCACTATGGTTGTTTAGCTGGTAATTCTGGGTGTTATGGTCACTTTTTATTAGCTCTGATGTCTATACAGAATTATTTGTGCTGGCATGCTCCTTATCTGTTTTATAGCCTGGTTTAAATGAATTTTGTAAAAGTGAAAAGGTGCCGCTAACTGATTTTTAGAATGCAGCTCTTTCAGCAGACAGGTAAATGTGACCTTTGTATCCGAATTACACATGCTAAGGTACCAGTGTAGGAGGAGTGATGACAGGTGAATGAGTCAGCAGCAACAAAGAGGGACACAAAATGAACTGGGCACACATCTAGTGTGGACTCTGAGTAGGCCACAGGCCCCAGAGTTGGCAGTCTAGAGCTTTCCCACATAACCTGGATGTGGAGGCTTGCACCTCCCTTATCCATAGAAACTAGTAGTGAGATTTAATCCATTGGGGACATTTTTAAAAAATACAAAGAATCTGCTAAGACTGCTGCACCTCTTGCATCACTTTTGCCACCCACACTGGCTTTCCTGTAGCATTTTCACTGAAGATTCCTTAACTCTCAAGTTTCCATAATTAGATGGAAAAATATCGAGCCCGCATCACTTGGTTTGCTTTTGTAGTTGAAAAATATGATTTTGTTTATATTGGCAACATTTGCTGGCGCAAAACAGGAAGGTATTTTGAATTTGCATAAACGCATGGGTTGTCTTGAGTCATACAGATGTGTTTATACAAGGACATGTTCCCTAAAAGGGTTATAACATTCTGAATTATAACTATACTTTCAGTTTTAAATTTTTTCCTATGTCTACATTTAACGTGAATTTTTTATTTATTTATTTATTTATTTTTTGAAAGCGATCGATCCTTGCTCAGAGGATAATCCTGCCCGCCCTGTCTCCTCGCCACCGGAGAGGAAACCTCTCCAAAACCCAAGCCTTTCTATATGCAGTGAAACTGCAAATAGAAACAACTGACCAAGGATAATTCCAATAAAACCCAAGTTTAAGTGTTTGGATACACTTTCACTCCCCTTTCCTGCGAGTTAGGCCCGCGCTATTCGACATTCCCAGTTCTCCCTGACTCTTCCAGGTACACGCCCTTTGACTTGTCATGGGGAAAAGTTTTAAGGAAAGAAAAAAAACGTAAATCACGGAAGAGATTCTGCAGTCCTACTAGTTTGGCAAGTTCTCTGGTCTCAAAGCAGCGTAGAAAGGCGGAGAAGAGGGTAGAAACTCAAATTTGCGCATATTTATACACCTCTTGTCCCGCAGAAGGTATATGGTGAGTTGACTGCGTCTTTTAAAAATGCTTTTAAGGTTCTCCTCCGTATAAGCAGTGTATTTGTTCATCGTTTTGCCACGTTTCGATATCTTGTTGCAAAAGCCATCCCATGAAACTGCGGCCGCGCTCTGACTGCAGGTCGGTTTCAGTGACTGCAGTTCTCAGAAGTTGTTAGGCTCGTGTTGCACTTTTAGAAGAGAGTAAATGTTCATACTTGCTGGCTTTTTTCCGCTTCGTTGTTCAACGCTTTTTCGATTTGATTTGCAGTATATAATTGCCATATGCTGTCTCTCCCCCCTTCGCCTCTCTCTCTCTCGGAAAAACATTTGATATTTTGATAGATCGGTTGTCAAAATGCCGATCAATTACAAGCAGCCTATCGAAAATTGGCATGATTCGAGGGGTGCTGAGGTGAAATGTAGTATATCCACTGGGCACCCGGATCGCGCGTAAAGGCGCGATTTTTGCGCAAAATCTACATTTTGCACACAATATGCTTTTAGTAAAGAGGCCCCCGGGAGTGATAGTTTGGCTTGCTGAGTGGATTTTCCTGGAACTGTGTTGTTTATGACAACTTTTTTCACTGTAGATTTTAATGTTTAAAAGTACTTGTGGTGGTAATGGTGGCGAGTCCTGGCAAACCTAACGTATGCCAGTTGTGTTGTGGCGTTCCAGCGTTCAGTTGTCTGTATTTTCAGACTTGGATTAAAGACAGCTACTGTACGCCTGCTCGCCGCAATTTACAGCCACAACCTAAGTTGTTCCTCTGTTAATATTTTATGCCACACGACCGGTAGCATTGTCATTACTCTGCGCCCATACCGTATCACATTCTCCCATTTGGAAACGCAACACTTGATCCCCTTCGGACTCTAGAGGGAAACGGGAGACCTATGGTTGTAGGCCTGCATATTAATTATTTGCACAGTTGTGTTTTTTGGCTTTAAAACCAAATACCGGGGATTAGTTTGTGTTCTGAGTGGGAGGAGTGATGCAACTCTTGAATTCATTTGTCGAAATTAGAGTAGGCAATACTACCTTAAGACAGGTCATTAAGTAAATAATAAAGAAATGTCGCTCCAAGAACAGAAGGCCTGTTTTATTTTTGAATAGGAAATGAAAGCCGTTAGGGCCTTTGTGTACTCAGACTATGAGGGTGTGTCAGTGCAGGAAGAAGTCCCCTAAAGTTCCTAGAAAATACGGGCTGTGTCTACAGTAAACTAACAAAAGATATGATAAAATAGGCCTAATGAGAGTTAAAAAAAAACAGTGTGTCAGATTAACCTGTTTATGAAGAAATACACATCATATTATTACTATTGTTCAGTGACAACGGTACTAATGATTAGATGAGATATGCTTACACGCTTGTGTCTGCACTGTGCTCATGTGGCTCCACAGTGGGTCAGACAGTTACGAGATCAGTAGTCACCATGTAACATTTAAGAGTGAAATGTTAGATTTTAATGGTCCTATGCTACAGTGTCAGAGCTCTCCTCTTACAGGTATATGACCTAGTTGGCCATATATGTTTGTGGTCACTGCTGTAGAGAAAATACTTGGCTGGAGTGTGCTTGAATGTGAAATTAATTTCAGTAAGTGAGATACAAATGACTACTAAGTTGTAACAGGGATTCACACTAGCTTGGACTCGGGCCTGTAAATTCCTAAGTGATCTCTACAGGTAGCATTGAATAGAATTCCTGCAAAGACGCATCAGCTACTGGCATGTTTTACACTTTGAGCAATGTCTGTATACATGACTGTCTCTTAAATTGTGTAACACCTAGTTTGATTGTTGAATATGTGTGTTTTTTAACAAGCAAGAATTCACTGTTGTGTAATGAAATACTGGTAATCAAATACATTTGGCCATGTGTGTTTGTGTGCAACAATATGAAGGCAGTGGCTTGGGAAGAAGAAAGGGCAGCAGAGTGAAAGCGAGGATGAGACCGTGACAGGCAAAGGAAGAGAGAGTGGCATTGAAAGAGAGAGGCAGGTACAGCTGGAGGAACATAGAAAGACATAGAGAAAGAGAGAGGAGCAGACAGGGGCCAGGTAATCCCTTAGGTAATGTGAAGCTCAGATCAGATGACCTATCAAAGATCAGAACTTCCATTGTACATCGCATCTTGTCTCTCAGTCAGCTTCCCTCTCACCATCTCAACGTGTCTTACGTCACCATCCTTTCCATACTGCAGAGCTAGACTCAACATCTGAAACGAAAGGCCTCACAAGGACATGAGGAGATTCTCTGTTTCATTTTCCACTGGATGCACCTATCACTTTAGTGTTTTCTGAATAAAACCATTCTACATCTTCTTCCCTTACACAGCATGCAACATCAGTTTAATCATTTTTGCCATGGTCATCTATCTATCTATCTATCTATCTGTTTGTCTGTCTGTCTATCTTTCTAACTAACTATTTCTTACCACTGTCTTGACCTTTCCCTTTTCCCAGAGAGAAGAGTCATGGAGGCTGCCATTCAGTCTGTGGTAAAGGTCTTCTTGAAGGCATCCAAAGGAAAGGAGAGTCTAGGAAGGAAAGAATTCCAGAGCCTCGTCAAGACCCAGCTCTGCAACATCCTGTCGGTTAGGAAAACTTCACTACCAACACTTTGCATTATGCAGCTGTTTTACAGAAAACCACACAGTAGAGTTTTGCATTGGCCAGTCTTAGCCTGTCCAGAATTTTAACATGAGTATTGTGGCCAAATCATGGTGTAATATACAGGAGATGTATGGAAAAAGTGGTCTGGTAGAGTGACATTCATCAGCATTATAACGTAAATAGAGCCACTGATAGAGGGTCATTTACTAATCATGTATGATGATTTCATGAGTGAGAGTCACCATCATACTAAAAGGTCTCATGGTTGTCTATGCCTACTACTAAGGACACAGACAGCAAAGAGGCGGTCAACAACATGGCCCAGAGCCTGGATGCCAACCAGGATGGCAAGGTTGCCTTCGAGGAGTTCATGAAGCTGGTCGGCTATCTGTCAACATCGCTCAGTGAGCAGCGTGTCCTTGCAGCAAAAGAGCCTTCCCAAAATGCTGCCTCTGCACAAGTGGCACAAAGTGCTCACAACAAAGAGGAGGAAAAACCAGAGGCAAAAGCAGAGGCAAAGGAGGAAGCAAAGCCAGAAGTAAAGGAAGAGGCAAAGCCTGGAGCAACTGCCGAAGTAAAGGTAGATGCAAATGCAGATAAAACAGCAGAAGTAAAGGTAGTGGTAAAGGCAGAGGGGGAGACACAGCCTCAGGCAGCAAATAAGGAGCCTGCAATAGTGGTGGTCCCAGCAGCAGGAGAAGCAGCAGCAGCATCAGCAACAGTTGAAATGGTCATAAAAGAAGAAAACAAGGTGGTGGAAACAGAAGTGGTGGTGGGAGCTGCAGAGAAGCTGGCTGCAGCTGTGGAGGCAGAGGTGGAGAAGACAGAGGAGGCAGCCTCATAGGGGACAATCCATTCCTTTACCAAAAAAAAAATACACATTTACATTCAACCCTACACAAAAAATGTCATTAACATTGCCAAAATAAGTTGGCAAACTACTAAAGGTAATTAAAACACACAACTTTAAAATGCAAATGATCAGTATAAATTCAAACACAACAAACCCAGCTCTGAAGAAACCCCATTCCCTACATATGAAAAATAATACATGTGAATGATATAAGAATTATTGCTTTGTACTTGTGTTTACCACTATGTTCACATTTACAGCATGTGCATCCCACTCTATAGCACATTTACCTCATTATGATGATGTACTATGATAGCATGCAGATATACACTATCATGTGCATGCATTATCCCTGTGAAAACTGCAAACACATTACCAAAGTTTCACTGTATGTTAAACACCACCACAGACAAAAGAGTTAGTTTAAATCCTGTCCTCTCCCCACGTGTCTTGACGGTTGTGTCACACATCTCCACATCATTCACTGTACAGTCCTCTAAGTCTGTGGTGAAGCATCACTATATAGCTTGCTAGGCACTAATGACCTGAAGGAATAGTTTGACATTTTGGGAAATACCTTTATTAGATTTCTTGCCAAAACATATGACAAACAACACCACTCCTATATCTGTCCATTGAATATGAAGCTACAGCAAGCAGTTAGCTCAGGTTAGCATAAAGAGTGGAAACAGGGAAACAACTGGCTTGGCTGTGTCTACATGTAGCAAAAACCACCTACTGGCACCCTCAAAGCTCACTAGTTAACATGTTATAGCTTAGCAGAAAACTATCGTTTATACTTTGGTTTTTGTATGGATTAAACAAACAAGATTTAATGTGTTAATTAGTGAACTCAAGAGCTGCTAGCAGGCAGTTTTTGATAGCCCTTCTTTTCTGTGTCTGTGCTTGCTAATCTAATCTAACTGGCTGCTGGATATGGCTACTGGACAGATGAGAGTGGTATCAGTCTTACCATCTAACCCTAACATGAATAAGTGCATTTTGAATTACTTTTGTAAACGCTGCATGAAAATCTGACAATAACACTATTATTTTATTTTTTTTACATTCTCATCTTTTAACCCACAATGCTATGACAATAAACAAATTGTTTTGCTGAAGATTTGCATTACTTCAGCTCATCTAAAATGTGTACTCAGTACCCCATCACACCCTCGCCCTCTCTCTTTCTAGTCTACTTTATGGGTCTCATTCCTTTTTTTCTGTAATTCCCAGAAAGGTTCACTTTATCTGCAGCCTGCATTATATTCTCCTCATTCATAATCATAATTATGGATTAGGACCTGGAAGATACAGCACATAGAATGTAGTCCCTTGGTAGTGGGCTGGTGACTGGAGAAGCAGGTCAAAGACGGTGTTCATGCAAACTAATCCACCTAGGTTAGAACTGGTGGAGAAGAACAAGATAACATACAGTTACGAGCAAAGAACCCCATAAACTGGTTCCCTGGTAGCACTGGATTGGAATGGCAGAAACCTTCTGGCTCACTTTAAAATTGCTCCTTGTTTCTTGCTGTTTTCCACTGGTTGTAGCCCCAGTTGCATGTTTATTTTTCAGTCACACCTGCATACAGTTTAAAGACACTGCTTGACTTGCAACTGGATCCTTGAGTGCCAGGCACTGGGAAACGACAGGATTAGGCATTTGATGAGTAACACACCCTGGGACACAAACAATAACATGAAAGTAATGCCAGGCTCCAGCGATCCTGCCCATCAGACAAGGTGGTGGTGTCGGAGGGATTGTTTCTTTTTAAGGAAAAAGAATACTGAGCCATATATATGAATCTATGTGGTGTAATCTTTTACAACAGGCTAATAATAAGATGTTGCATGCTATTAGAAACGTATTTGCTAAATATTACCATTGTATTACCATTATTGTGGCCATTTCTATGTTCTACATGGCCTCTTTATATTTAACTTCTTAACCTAATCCTTTCGTATTTGAACCACTATGGAGAGCACTTGAAAATGTAGTTCTTTGTCACATTAGATGCAATTTGTTAATTACAATTTAATGACTTGTAAAATGTTTCATCATCAATAACCATGCTATTTTATAGGTCTACCTGGCTAACAGCATAGTGCTTAAAGGTACACACTACCAACAACACTTGGTGCTGCCAGCTGCTTAGCAGCAAAATGGGCAAGACAAATAAACCTGAAGTCATGTGGTCACCCTGCCTCAGTGCAACACTCCCATTGTAAATAATCACTCATTAACACTCACACTCACGCCTTTATACTTAGAGTATGCTATGTTACTACTACTAAGAAACTTATTGGACATGTTCAGGCTATTTTATAGACTATATCATTATTTCTTTTATTGAAACCTACAGTATATACTTTTTGTATCCAGACATTTTCTAACATGGTACTTCCTTGAATAATGGAGACATATCACTCTCTTGCACCATCTGCAGTTGGCTTCCTGTTCAGCATGTACATTGGCCTTAGGCACTTAACCAAAGCGGGTTTTACCACTTTTATCCCTGTTAGATTAATTCATTTAAATGTGACCTCTGTGTTTTTTCTTTGCTCTCAATCATCATCATCAGCCAAATTATGGTAAGAAGAAACTGGATAAAGCAAAATTCACTTTACTGACATGTTCAAATTACTTGACTTGCACTGTCAACAGATTCCTGGATTTTGAGGGGACAGACCCAGATGGAACATCATCTGGAAATTATTTTATCACAGCCGATGCCTTATTTTAGCCTGTTTGGAATAGCAGAAGGACAGAGTGAACTATGAACATTTTCTTTTAAAGATTAAACTGTATGAATTGGCTGTTATGTTATTGTTCTGTAGTGTAAACCCCACCCAACCTTAACTCCATGTAGATTAAAAACATGCTGGAACCAAACACAGAGGGGATTTGCAGCAGGGTGTGTTTGCAGCCAGATTTTGATTGCCATACAATAAGTCTCATTCATTATGAGACAGTGGATCATGATAAAAGCCTGTGTTAAGAATTCTCCCAGTGGATTAAGTGTACATGCAAGTGTATGGATGTGCGTTTAAGGACATTTTGGTCTAAAATGTATGTGGTTTTGGGATCATTCCCAGGATATTGTGCAGGGTGTTATCATTGTGCATTGAAGAACTCTGTTTATTTCCTGCCAAGTTCTAGAGGGTGTGTGTGTTTTGCATTTGGACTCATTTTAGTCCATTGTCATGTCCAGGAAACTCCACTGTGCTAGTATTTTAACTTCGTATGTAATGCTGTATCATTTTTGCTCATTCTATCTGGTATGTGTAATGCCTAATAATGAATAAAACTGACAACATATTTTTTCTTTATGGCCTGCTATGTGCTTTGTTATTTGCAAGAATCCAATTGTCATGTGTGTAGCCCTTTCATGTGCATGTGTGTGTGATGGAGAAAGGAAGAGAGACATAGTATCTCCAAAGAAAGAGAGAAGGAGGAAAGAGAAACAGAAGCAGTACATGAGTAGGTGAAGGAGTTTCAGGGGAGGATGGGAGGAGGAGGTGGGAGAGGGGCAGATGATACTTAAGCCACTGGCAAACTCTCCCTGTCCATCTCTGCCTTGCCTCTGTCCTCTGCACCTCTTCAAAGACAAAATTGGCCCTCTATCAACACTCAGGTAAGACAGACAGCATGGAAGGGTTGCTTCACTGTACTTTCTCTTCAGTATCTAATGAAGGTTTCCTTGTAAAGAAGTATTTTATTAGCTGTGCAACTGCAGCATACAGTAGCCGAATTAACATTCTATAGAGTTATACAGGTACAACAAACAGAAGACTTTCTGTTTGCTTACTGTCGGTGTGTGTGAGCTTAGAGAAGAGCGAAACAAGTGAATCTGTGGGAGAGCAGTATTAATAAGAACTAATATAATGGGATTAAAATAGAATAACCTATGTATGAACAGCAGGTATAATTAGGATAGGGTATATCAGGATATACTAAATTTTTCTTACAAATTTTAACAAACATTGTTTGTCTCTCAACATGGCCATTTTTCTGTCATTAGCGTTACATAGTGCTTTTTTAAATACCATACTCAAGATTGTGTTACTGCCATCATGTTCATCTCCATGGTTTCCTATTTTAAAACTGTCAGTCAGTGAGATGGATGACCCCTCTAGATTTTCCAGTCAGTGAGCTTTGGTGTCCACTCACCCTCTCCTTTGTCTCCACTGCCCACAACTCTAACCTCTCCTGAACAATGATCTGCAGTGAGATAAGAGGCAATAACCAGTGAGTGACTTGCATCGCTGTCTCCTTTTGCAGTGGCCAATAGGGAATGAATTATGCAAAAGGAGACAGGTGGATTGACTGTGCTCCACTCCGTTTTGTTTTGGATTAGTTTCAAAATAATTCGTTAGACTTTCATTTTTTTATACGTAGATTTCTTAACTTTAAATTCATGCTTGAAGGTTTAATGTAATTAAGTCAGTGTGGAAGTGAATGAGTGCCCTCATCTTTATGCACAAACTGAAGTGGCACCACATGTTCCTCAACACCTTAGTTATTGAAGGTGATTATCAGATAAGTTTTGTGTTTCACTTCTGGTTTTAATTTTGAGCAATAAGGCTCTTACAGAGTCTATAGATGTAAAACATTTTCTGTAATGAAGCCACTTAACACTGATCCCACAGTGTTAAGTGTTACATGCATTACCAATTCAGCATACAAGAATGATAACCTGAGGACTCTCAGAACAGCTCGACCGTTCTGAAAGCTACCGTTTTTATGCATCATCTGAGGTGACATGATGTGTATGTACGTGTATTTTTTTACACACTGACCCCAAATGCATCACTGACAGTGACCTGTCTGTCTGTGTGTGCACAGTCTCTCCACGAATCCAGCACAAGGAACTCCAAGATGCCGGACACAATGTGTGTAAGCGTGTTTGAAAAACTTTTCCAAACCTACTCTCCATCTTTTCATCTAAACTTCTGCCATGTAAAACCCCGTAAAGGCACACACACAGTGATCACAATGCTCATACAGTAACTGGGGCAGTAACAGCCTCTTCACTATATGCCAAGGGTTATTTAACCTTTAGAAATGAGTAACACTCTCTGCTTTGGTTTCCTTCCATCCGTCCATCTGCCTGTCCAACTATCACTTTGTCTTGGAGGTGGCTTCACCCTTGACTGCTATGTGACCGCACATGCAGCTGGGGCTGGAGCCGGGCATTCTGTAACAGAGTCTGACCTTTTGACCTGATACCTTTTCCAGCATGTCCAAGGAGCCCAGTTCCGACCTGGAGAGTGCCATGCAGATGCTCATAAAGACCTTCCACAAGTATTCAGGGAAGGAGGGTGACAAGTACACGCTGAGTAGGGGTGAACTGAAGGAGCTGCTAATTGAGGAGCTGGGGAGCTACTTAGGGGTAAGAGAAGGCATGTGTGATGAGGCAAATATGTGGCTGTACGCTAACACACTAATGCAGTTTGAAACTATGTGACACACGAGCGAAGGTATGTGCTCAGACACTCAAGATGGAGAAAGCCTATGCAGTGATGTATGGCTACACACTCACATAGCAGAGAACACATTCTTAACTGTGTCTTTCTTGTTTCCCACTGACAGAACTCCAAAGATAGTGAAGCAGTTGAGAAAGTGATGAATGACTTGGATGCTAACAACGACGGGGAAGTGGACTTCACCGAGTTCATCATTCTAATGGGCGCCCTCACGGTCGCCTGCAATGACTTCTTCCTGGAGTTCAAGACAGATGACAACCCAAAAGGCGAGTCGGCGGCGAAGAAATGAATCAGCGCAAGAGAGACAGGGGAAGAAATGTGGAGGGGGAGGGGGGTTGGAAAGAGGACAAGGGGAAAGAACTGTAAATCAGGAGTGACAGAAGACAGGATTGTGATGGCTTTTTGTCTTATGCAATCTGTAAACACTACGGCAAATAGTTTGGAGGTTCACGGAACATTGGACATGAAGCAAGAGTAGTCTTCCCTCTGCAAATGTTTTTCATACCGCAGCTTATCCAGAACTAGTTATGCTGTTCTCAAAAACAGCTAGTACCTTTACATACAGAAGGACAAGGTGTATTTATTTCAACTTCTTTCAGCTCAGATTAAGCTGTTTCTTGTGTATTCTGAATAAGGCACTGGAAAACACACAGCAGGGTGTTTGAACATTTCTTGCACATGAATAATTTGTGAATAGATATGAATTAACAGATCGTTGTATTACCTAACTGTATGCACTCTGTGTTGGAAAACAGAATATGATTTATCCCCTTTCTTGTGCTTATTTTGTAATCTTTTTTGGTATTAACCAATGCATTATTCAAAACAATAAATATAGCATTTAACCAACTATTAATTGTGGCTTGTGTGGGTCCATATACTTAAAAATCCTTCAGGTTTTATTCATCATTGTGGCTGAAATATTGCACCTGGAAATCAAGTTGAATGGGTCAAAGAGAAACAATGTCAGCAAGCAGTGAGTGTGTGTTAGTGTTTGAGCAGCAATGTATGTGTATTGGGGATTCCCACAGCTCGCACATCGAGCCAACAATATCCTGCAAGTCCTGTTCCGTTATGTATAAGCTGACCCAGATGTTTGACTTGGATCTGTATGGAAAACATCTTCAAATGAGAGAGACAGGAAGGAGAGAAAGAAAGAAAGAGAAAGAGAGAGGGTGCGAGGGAAGAGAGAGTGTTTGTGACCTGTCAGTTAAGTATGTAGCTTGGAAAGCAGTGGTATAATCACAGAGGAATGTTCAAGTTGCTGTGACTGTTAGCACACTTAACTGTCCCTCAGTGTCTCTATCTCTCCCTCTCACACACACACAGACCAATAGAAACACATACACAGATCAGTAAATCAACAAGTTTTCTTTCACCTCACTGGCTTTTACAGCTGCCCATCATTTTGAAGACATGACAGAGGAAGAAATGTGAGCAGCTTAATTACACACCCTCTCCTTTGATCCAAAGGGATTTCTCTACTGTGGATGTAATTATACTTAACCACCTGCTCTTCCTACATTCAGTATTATTAAGAAACAGAGTCCGGGTTAGTCAGTGTCTGTGGGCGGGGTTCGCCCTATCTGCTTTCATTCTTCCAGCTGCTGTGTTCTCTAGAGACATTCTCTGATTGGGTGGTTTGAATATCTGAGCTCAATGTGCACAGAGTGTAGATAGGCAAACAATTTCAAACAAACCTGTGTCCATGACTGTTGACCCTGGTGTAGTCTGAAGTGAAAGTTAGCTGCCTCACTAACCTGCATTATAAAGGACCAATAAATTAGGACAAAAGAGGGTAGACAAAATAATGTAAACACCTCATACAAATGTCAGATTTAATGCCAACAAGAAGGGGTTGTCATATATAAAATTATTAATTACAAATGCTGCTGTTCCTGCAAAGATGTCTCCCTGACATTTCACTTATCTCATTTGATATTCAAAGCAGCCAGACCAAGCATAATGTAAAATATCTGCTTAATCTCCAAGTTATTCTAACAAACAAACTTCACTATTACATTGCCTAGGCTGTTTGCCCTGAATATTTGTGACCACGGTTCAGTAGTTTGTGTCAGAAACACTACAAAAGTTCAAACCTGCAACAACAGTCACATTTTACAGACACATAGTATACCTGTGATAGAAGAAGTGTTTTATTAAAACTACCAATACAATGTGAAAGTCACCAACAAGCTCCTCTTAGTCTCAGACAAAGCATTCGTCTCCATACATGTCCTCTTAGATCTCAGTGCTACTTCTGACACCACTGATCATAGCAGCTTACTACAGAGGCTTGAACATGTTATTGAGGTTAAAGGAAAAGTACCAAGTTGGTTCAAATCGTACTTATCAGAAAGATTCCAATTTGTTCATGTTAATGATAAATCTTCCATGCAGATTGAAATTAGTCATGGCGTTCTGCAGGGCTTTGTGTTAGGTCCAATTCTCTTCACTTTATACATGCTCCCTTTAGGCAATATTATCAGGAAACATGGCATAGAGCCTTATCATCCCAACAGAGCACTTTGCTCTCAGAGTGCAGGTTTACTTGTGGTTCCTAGAGTCCACAGAAGCAGAATGGGAGGCAGAGCCTTTAGCTATCAAGCTCCTCTCCTATGGAACCAACTCCCAGTCTCAGTTCGGGAGGCGGACACCCTCTCTACCTTTAAGATTAGACTTAAGACTTTCCTTTTTGATAAAGCTTATAGTTAGGGCTGGATCAGGTGACCCTGAGCCTTCCCTTAGTTATGCTGCTATAGGCCTAGGCTGCTGGGGGGGCCCATGATGCTCTGAGTTCCTACCCTCTCTTCCCCTCCCATCTCCTCTCCTCTCCTCTCTCTCCATGCATCTACAGTATATGCCACAATTACGCATCATTAGCTGTGTGTCCTCTCTCTCTCTCCCCCTGTACCTTTCTGCAGGTAGCCATGGCTCTGGAGCGCTACGTTTCTGATGAGCAGTCACTAGCCACATCCACCTGACCAGTGTTTGATTGTCTGGTGTTGTGTTTGTTGTGTCTTGTTGCTTTTCTTCTTGTGTCTCCCCTCTATCCACTCACCCCAACCGGTCGAGGCAGAAGGCCGCCCACCAAGAGCCGCGGTCTGTCGGAGGTTTCTTCCGTTAAAGGGAGTTTTTCCTCCCTGCTGCACCAAGTGCTTGCTCAAGAGGGATTTATTGGGTTTTCCTCTATAATAATAATAATAGCAAGGTCTAGACCTTACTGTGTCCTGAGATGACTTTTGTTGTGATTTGGCACTATACAAATAAATTTGCATTTGCATTTACATTTGCAAAAGTAAAATCCTGGATTCAGTGTACTACTTAGTAAAAACTACTGTACAATCAAAGTTTGCAACATTGCTAACTAAAACTATGTGAACAGTCTGTGTGTTATTTTGTGCACATTTTGACCTACAACTTTATTTTGGATTCAAATTGAGTGCTAATTAAATACAATGAAATTCCAATGTGATTGTGTGTAGTAAAATAGAGGAGGCTGATGTTTGTTCAGTGAGTTATGGGCTTGTAAATGAAGCATATTGGTTGTGAACCAGTGTGAGACAGATATCCTCCATGAGTTACGCTCTGTACTAGTTACTTCATTCTAACCGCATGTTCTTTTCAACCACACTGGGACAAACTCAAGGACACCTTGCAAACAGCATCTGAAAGCACACCTAATTCAAATAGGTGAGGAGATTCATTACTAAACAGCAAGAGTCTCTGCTGATGAATCACGTGTGGCGGGTGCTGCAACACAAAGCCGGCCCATGTCACTGGCACCAAGCCGGAATCATCTGATAAGGATGGCAGAACACTTAGGTTACCAAGAGAGCAGGTCAAGCGACACCAAGATGTCAAGCCGCAACATCCATCAGAGAGAGTCAATGATCATGTCAAGCTGTCATGCAAGCCTGAGAGGGGGCAGCGATTGTGTGAGAGTAGGACGATGTACACGTGAGAACAAAACGAGACTATTCATTCAAGTATACAGTAGCATAGATGCATCCAGGTCTATATCATTTGATGATTCATTCTCTTCCAGGTGTAGCTTGCCTTTCTCGTGGGTAGAATTTGAGAAGGATGCTTTCCTCAGGTTCATGAAATGCATCTTGATAGAAGGCCACAGGGAGACCTTATGGCTGCAGCATACTGACAGAGAGGAGTCAGGAGACATATGAATTACAAGGCCCTGGCACTACTTATTCATAAAGAACATGATTTGATGGTTTGGTGGAAAGTAATCTAGTACATTTATTCAAATACTGTGCTTAAGTAGGTTTTTGAGGAAGTTGCATTTTACATTCTGTATTACTGTATACTTATACTGTTACATTTTAGAGGGAAATATTTATCTGAGAGCTTTAGTTAATAGTTTCCTTGCAGATTACAATAATACATTTAAAAAAATACAACACGTGGTAAAAGGTTAAAACAGTAGCTTGCGATTTTTCTGTGACTGTGTCTTATTGGGGCTTCTTGTCACATTTCAGATGTCTGTAAGTTGCAAGGACAAGTTCTCCTCTAAATGTTTTACTGAACTAACTTCAAATGATCCTATATTTTCCCAAAAAAGCTAATTAGAGATTTGACTTGTAATTGAGTACTTTTATGGTGTTATATTGTTAATGTTATTTACAAGTTTATTTTTTGTCATCTGCAACCAGTTAGCTGTTTCAAAAGGTACCAACAGTTACTTATGAGGTAACACAACATCTGTGAGAAGACTGAATATTATTTCCAGTATTAGAATCCTGAAACCTAACCTGTGGATGACTTGCCTTCATAAATTAAAGCACAAATTCTTGGTACTTCAGAGAAACAAACAGTGATAGTGTCCTCCTCAAGACTCAATGAGAAACAGGTGACAGACAGATCTCAGCCTCAAATAACACCGACAGATTGATGAAGGTAAAGGAGAGGGACTGACGATATGTAAGAAAAGGAGAGCAGGTTGGTGTCAGTTGCTCTTTTTCCTTCACATTAAACATCTTTCACATGGGTGTAATGATACTACTCTTACTCCTTGTCTGTTGTTAGTGCTGCGTTTACCTTGGATCTACACACAGCACAAGCTGGGGTGCTCATTACAGGCATGTAAGCTGTTTGTCCTCAACATGATCCTCAGCTAAACCCAACTTTTTCACCCATAATAATCTACCTTACTTTAGCCAGAAGGGTCTTACCAAAATTATCAAACTGCTGAAACTACAATCAAGCTTTCACAGTTAAAAAGACTCATTATGCTCAGAAACGCCCTCATTCAGTCATTTCAGCATTTGTGAAGAGGCTGACTCCTCTGGGAAAATGGGATGGATTGATGCTTTGATCATTCACTTTCAGAGCACACATCACTGACACATACATCCCTGCATGACCTTTTATTATAATGTGGTTTACAAAGTCTGAAAAGCAGGTCTCCATATATCAAAGGATGCCAGTGAAAAAAAATGGGTAGCAGGTGTGTCTCCTTGAATTACTTCAGTTTGATTGTTGTGCCAAAAACTACCATCTCTTCTTTAAAGAGACATGGGAATGGCAGATTTCCAAAAAACACAAAATATAAGACAAGTTATACCAAGGTAAATTAAATCTTTTATTGTTAGCCTAAAAATAACATTTGGCTTTGGCAGATCAAAGTTGCTTGCGTTAACAGCATGTCACTAAATTAAAAGTACAAACACAACCTCAAATTACTTTTACTTAGAATACACAAAGAAAAAGAGGACTTCAGTGACTATAATACACATAGTTATCACTTCTCAATTTGCTGTTTTACCTCTTAGCACCAGGGGGCATAACGCACTGAGGAAAAACAGCGTAACCTTTTACTATCAGGGGTCTGAATGAAGAAAGAGAAAGGCTATGACAAGACAAAATTCCTTTTATTCTGATATTTAAACAAATGTTTCTTCTTTCCTTCAGTATTTGTCATTAACTCTTCCAGTTATACTTGTAAATAATCCTCATTTGTAGACCAAAAAAAACTTACTTAAGACATTAATTTTATAATGTTTCCTTATCATAAATCACAATAACTCATAATCCTCATTTGTAGACCTAAAGAAAACTTACTTAAGACATTAATTTTACAGTGTTTCCTTATCATAAATCACAATAACTTGCAAGACTGTTTTATGGGCGTGTTGAAGATGAAATTTAATCTCAGTTCTTGTCATAAAAAACTCAAACTATTGTAAAGTCATTTTCCCTTCAAGCACATTGTATCAGGGTGAATCACTCACTCTTCACAGTGCAACATAATACAGTGGAAACAAATCCCTCATTCACAGTAGAACAGGAAATCCTCAAGGGACAGCAGTTACTGAAAACTGGCAAGTATGAAATCATAAATTACAAATCTGCTCCAAGCATAAACATAAAATAGCTGGTCTTTGTTGATTCCTTGATAAGTGGAATGAGAAACTGTGCATGGTTTTTACCAAATATAAACTCTGAGGAATGAAGGAAGTTCTTTGTTGATGAGTTGGTGCAGTGCATGGGTATATCCACTAGAGGGGGAAAGAGAGCCACAAATCACTGTCTAAGGGACTTTCTGCTTTTAAGACATTTTGCTTAGTAACAATAACAAAAATAGCAAATGCCACTTGTAATGAAGCAACAGTGGATAACTAAAATAACACATCTATGTCTGACTCACATTCGAATCCCAATGCAAGTCACATTTGATCATTAAAAGTGTCTCGTCATCTCCACTATGCTTACTCCTTGTTCACATGCAAAACAGCAGCCTCGATGTTTTGCATCAGCTGCACTTCAAAGTCAATTAAAGACAGAAGAGGCCATTGAGAGCCTCTAGACACAAACAATTTCTGATGACAAAAATAATAAACACAGGGTCATGCAAATAAGTAAGAAAGAGAGGCCTGCTAGTCAAAGTACACAGTGAGCTTCACTGATTAGAGGTGAGGTCATGACCAATTTCTAGGAACATTTTGTCCATTTAGGCCTAGAGGTGTGTTTGTTTAATATATCTAAGCTGGGCTGGGGTGGAGTCAGTGGATGCGCGCCACTGGGTGCAGCAGGGTCATGTGCTCTGCACCATTGAAAGGCAAACGCTGAGTGCAGTAATGGTGCACCACCTCTGGGATGCTGGGAAACACGCAGCTGCTCTGGTCCAGGGTGTAGCCATTTTCTTTGGTTTGGGCAACAATGATGTGAACACAGCCATGGCTCGTCCTGAGTCACACAAAGGAGAGCAGAGGAGAAGAGAGGATAGGAGAGGAGAGGAGAGGAGAGGAGAGGAGTAATAGGAATTAACCCAGAATATAATAACTTCATACCTTCTGGTGTGTGTTATGAGCCTAGTTAGATAGTACATGAAAATAACATTTCTTGGAAAAATTTAAATCCAAATTCCTTTATAAAAAATATGGGTGTTTTGTTTTTATTATGCAAGTACTGTAATACCTCATTCCCTTAAATCCTGCCAATGCACCTTCGTGGTATACTCACTTGAGGGCAATGGAGTACTTGCTGTTGTCCGATTCACTGTTCCTGACCAGGAAGCTGGCCTCTTTGCAGGACTGCAGCTGAAACTCTGCCTCCTGGCGCGTCATACACCCATGGTACCAGCTGAGACAGAGAGTGGGAGGTTACATTTCATTTGCTACTAATGAAGTGCAGAACCTTATTTTACACTAAAACCATGAAAATAAATAATAGTTTTACACAACACTGAAATGTATTATATTCTGGAGTGTGGTTATTTCAAGAATGAAAAACATTTATTCTAGATTCTTTACAATATAGTTTGAGTATGATATTGATTTTACACTGTGGTACTATCATGTTTTTTGCATCAATATCTTTTCTCATACCCCTTACAAAAATTAAGCTCAGGATTTACATGAATTGTTTCTGTGTTTGTCATAAAGGTACTAGTACCTCTGTTTTTCCAGGGGCAGGGAGGGGTCCACACTGCACACCTCAGTGTCAGGGTTGCTGCCTTGTGTGGATGAAGGCAACAGAGTGGGTGGGGAGGATCGCAGGATCTTCTGAGTCCAGCTTTTCTGCCTCAGATGCTGATGTTGCGACTGTGGTTGGGCTGGTGCGTGCCTGGTGAGCGTGGGGTGAGGCGTTTCATCTTTGGCTGGGCTGTCAAACTGTGCTGGGGGAAGAGGAGTGATGAGAGAAGATATGAGTTCATGTAAAGTAACAACTGACTCTATGCCCAAGTTTGAACTAAATGCAGAAGCCTCCAGTAAATATAGAATAAGAAGACATCACTTTGACATTTCATGCAGGGTGTTATTCACTATGCTGCTGGTCTATGAGGCATAAAATATAAATGTGAACGCAAGCCGGGCTTATTTTTTGAATAAACACTTTTTATATTGTTCTAAGGTAGAGAAGAGGCAGGATTGGTACTGTGTTACATAAACATTACTGCAAGCAAATCCATATCAGAATCTAATAATATTCTAAAGTCAGTGTGTATTTTGATTTTGGGTTTTTTTAGTACTCTGATAGGTTTTTGCTATTTGGCACATAAAGATAAGAAAAATTTAAACATTTAAAAGTGCTGAAAATTCAATTTAGTTGTGCACAAAAGCAAATATTTCCTCACTTTCACTAAAAGTATATTTTCCAGTATCAATGCAAAGTTTGGTCTTACTGTGCTTGCAATCAGGTTCTACCTGCTTGTGGTGTGACCAACGTAGTTGACTGTACCTGACAGAGTTTTGACAACGAGCTCCTTCTTCCACTCCCAGGGCAGCTCGTACTCAGTGGAGGGACGGGTGTCCAGCTCTGGCCGTGTGTTTGCTGTCTTGTCACTGTCACCATTCCCCTCATATGGGATGTCATAGATCTGTGGAGGTGTGGGCTGACCTTCCTTCACTAATCCATCACTCCCCTCCATCACCACACACACCTTCAGCAGGTCCTTAGATCCTCGATGTCTGATCTCTTGCAGGCAGAAAACATGAAATCAAATCAAAGTACAATCAAATGAGAGCACTACAATAAAACATGTTCACATTTACAGCAGGCTATTGTTAAAGTTTTACTTTAAAAAAATGGGATGAAAGGTCAGGTGAGCATGTGATTAGACAACAGACCACCAGTCATTCTGGATGCTGGGAAATTTGATAAATCGTCAGACAGATCCATATAAGGGTTTACACAGAGCTGCATCCGAGAGGAGGAGGGGGCACCAAGGACCAACTTCCTTTTTAGAGAATAGTACCAGGAAACAGAGGCAGGAAAGAGGAAGCAAGGGCAGGAAACTGCACCCATTGTCCAAATCCAGCACAGTTGCCATAGCAACCCCATGGGGTACGGCAAGGACTAGGGGAACGAGTTCATGTTCTCACTGCTCGTCCTGGAGAGGCTAAAACAGGAATTCTTTCATTCACACAAATGTAGCTGTACAAATTCAGCAATCAGGGAATGAGTGAAGAGTCAAAACATACTGTAACAGCTGACAGCTACATAGTTAACACAAGCCTTACCAGTAATCATCTGCTGGGCATCATAAGGCTCCATGTAACCATCGTTCTCCCCAACCCTCTCTGCCTCCCTTTGCTCTCTGGTCTTCTGAGCATCAAAGGGATCTGCATAGTCCTCAAGAATTATCACCTGCATCAAAACATGCAAGAAAATCCATATGTTTCCTGCATTTCAGTCCAAAACCCTGAAACACTCAGCTTACTACCATATTAAAGCAAAGAAAGCAATCTAACACTGACATTTGAAATGCTTTGGGATTTTTGGTTGAAAAATGACTGACACAGTTATCAGTTACGAAATAATTGCAAATTCATTTTTGATCAGCTAATCAACTAAAGTAGAAGTTTAGAAACAGGGCCTCTTGGAAATAAGCTCCAGATATACTGGAGCTCTTCTGACTGGGTTGTAGGGACACATCAGGCAAAAAAATGGTAAAGTAACTTTAGTAAACTACAAGGCAGGCTTCAGCTACAGTAGTTAGAGGAATACCTGGCACCTCATTTTTCATTTTTTGTTGTAATTCCCACTTTCTTCACATTCATTTCCCTGTGATAACAACCTCTGTTCTGCCACACCAGTCATGCCTGACTGTGCTATCATCTTATCAGTGCCATATAATTTCATGGTTATTACTAGCCAAGAGACAATAGTAGGCTGTAAAAATAATCTCTGATCTCTTCTGGTTGTGCTCCCTTTCTAAAGAAATGTTGGCATTTGTCCGTGTTTGACTAAAGTAGCAGATGCTTCCACCTCCTGTGGAAATAACTGCATTACGTGCGAAACTCATAGAGATACTGTATAACACATTACTAGAACTTCACGAATCACACTTAGAGGCTGCTGCAAATCTGAGATTAAGAATGAACATTTACTCCAATCTGGAAACATAAAACTTTTTCTCTTTAATCTGTCTCTTTTCTCACCATCTCTCCACTGTCACTATACCTTACTTGTCTATCTTTCTCCTTTTTCTCAAAGCCTAGCTGGAGGGGACTTGGGTCAGTGCCTGAGTGTCAAATAACATCATGGTTTTTATAACATGATAGTCTTTCACCAAGGGGCCTGAATCTATTGAAAGAAAGGGATGAAGCGGTGGGAGGGGGTGAGAGAATGGGACTCCTGAGCCAGATTACACACAGGAAAGGAAGGCTAAGGCCTCATGTATGAACACAGTTTTGTGTTCAAGGGTGGTAAGGTGGATGTGAGGGTGGGGGTGTAGCGGAAGAGAAAGAGAGAAAGAAAACCAGACTGGAAAGAGAGGACACAATGAGGGAAGCGGAGACAAAGAGGAAGGAGAGACAGAAACAATAATATCAGTTTTCAGAGTTTGAGCTGGATCCTGGTTACTTCATTGTCACTATTAATGACACTACATATTTTGTTTTTGCTGGAGTAGAGTCATTGCTGACAGAATCAGACAAAGGTGCCACAGATTAGATTCATTTTGTTTAACTTGACATCAATCTTTCAGCAGTTGTCAAAGAACCTTTTGCATATTTTAATTAAATAAAAGCAACAATACCACACTGCAGAAATACTCTGCTATGGCAGATTTACTGAGGCTAAGTAAAAGCAGGATGATAGTAACAAAATGTACTTTAGGAATGAAAAGTATTTTTCTGGCAAAAAAAATGCAGTATTACATGTTATATTTTAAATTATCATTGATCTCAGATGTTTTTAACACATTAGCAGCAAATAAATGTTGTAGCTGGTCGACTTAGAGCTACTTTTAACTCTTCAAGACATTTGGTAGTTTAATCGTTATTAAAAAATTGATTCTTAAACTTCTGTGTTAATCTAAAAGTGTACATAAATGTAATGGTCTGGAAAGTATAGTGTATTTCTTCTGAAATGTTTGGGAGTAGAAATGTATGAAAGTATTCAACTAAAGTAAAAAAAAAAAAAAAAAACAACAACTCATAATTGTACTTGAGTGCAATATCTGAGTAAAGTTACTCTTCATGAAACTCTATGGGAAAAAATTACCACCAAAATCTGTTAGCAACTGTATGTAAGAATTAATTTGACAAAAACTGTTTGCTCTTTAGAACAAAAATGAAGTGCCTTATTGTTATAAAAAAATGTAATGAATATATTTGTTCATTAACTGATATACTTTTGTTAGAGATCAGAACAATGAGCTGTAATTTAAAAAACAAAACAGGGGAGAAAGGAAACGTATTCTTGCCGGTTACAACATCAGAATATTACTGGCAGACCTATATTAAGATGATCTTAAGATTGTAACTCACAGTTTCTGTCTTGCACTGGGCCTTTTCTGCTTCGGGTAATACTTGGTTGGTGATGGTACCGTTGTTGAAGTTGGGGCTTTTGTCCTGTTTGTCCACTCTGATCAGCCGGTTGATGTAGGCATTGGCAGATGCAGAGCTCTTCAGGGATCTGTGCTGCTCCTCAAACACGGGCTCAGCTTTGGAGTTCTTGCGACTTTTCCCAGACAGGAGGTTGTCCCAAACTTTTCCATCTTTCGGGGAGCTTACACCGTTTCTACTTAACTCTGTGGCTGAGTTCTTGCGGTTTCTTCCAGACAGTAGAGACCCAACTCCCCCTCCACCTCCTCCACCTGTGCTGTCTGCAGAGGAGTTTTTACGATGACCCGTTTTGGAGCTGGTGGTTTTGGTACCTATGCTGGCCACAAGCCCGGCTTTACTGGCTCTTGGTTGAGAGCCTGATTCTGACGCTGAGCGGATCCTGTCGGTACCATTCTTTAGATTGATGGGGAACTCCTTGAACCACTTTGCCATTTGTAACTGATGGAAACCAGTAAACCTCTCTGCCTGCGCCGACACCTTTTAGCTCCATACACCAGGGCCCCAGAGACGCACCTTTAGAAATCACACCAACAAAAGACTTCCGTTGCTTTATTCTAGGATCGAGGCTGTGTAGACTATAGGATCTCCACACCTCAGTTTAAAGCATGTCATAAATGTTTTCAGTCATTCTTAAAACCCCTACGTTCAAACTATTCGTAAGCAAAACAATTAGGCTACATCCTTTCACATCTATTTTGCAAGGTGAAAAAGGAATAAATACCTAGAAGTTATCCCATTTGTGATTTTCATAAACCTGTTCCTTTTTTGCTTGGAGGAAAAGTTTATTCCCTTTGGATGAAGAGATGTCTTCGGAGTGGGAAGACCCGAAAGTAGGCAAAGTTTTTCTTGCTTATGGTTTCTGGTCCCATTCCCAGAGCGGCAAAACTGGTGTAACAAGTGTCCTCTGCTGCAATGAGGCTCCTGACTGCGCCTGGAAGATAGAGGGGAGGGGGTATCTGTGGTTGAGAGGGGGAGGCCGGGTGGGCGGTGATACGCTTTTAATTGTAGACACCACGGTAGAATCACCTTTTAATGAGTTCGTTATTCTAGTTTAGACTGATATTTTCCAGGTTACCCACCAAGGATAATGACCTGTTCCTTGTCTTTATATTTTGACTAATATGGAACCACTATTTCAACTATAGTATAGCCTACAAACTAATAGTGTTATATACGAATAAAAAACGCTAGTGAGAACAAACAGCACTAAAACCTCATAAAATGCTAGCTACTGCAGGCTGTCACACACATCTGTAGCCTGCATCCTACCTCCATTCATGCTAAAGTTTTTTTCAGGTAACCACTTAAACTGAAGTTGACAGTTACATCAATATTTTGATCCTGATATTTATTCAATAATAACCACAATGTCACTTGATAATGTGCTTAATTGGCTACCTAATTAATGTCCACCCCTGCTTTAATTGTATACTGTACAACTGGAAAGTGGTCCGTTCTGAGCAACTCCATATGTACCACTAAAAGGTATAACAGTTTTTATATAAATTGGAGAAATATACACTGTGGACAACGGTGATGCTGGTAGATTTTCAAAAGTAATATTATGGTTTTATTTATTGCACAACACAGTCTGCATTTTATTAAATTAAAAAAAAAGTTTTTATAATGATGAAGCATACTTATCGACACCCCCATTTTTGCGACAAGTTGTAACCTTCCATGGTGCGCGATACTCCTGCTTGTCCCTCTTTGTCCGGTGGCGAAAGAAGGCCATGATAATTATGGCAAAATTTGCGTTTTTGAATGAATTATAGTTGAATGGTGGATCAACAAGCATACACCGTGTGACGACTGGTTTGCTGGCAATGACACACCAGAGAGTTTCAATTTAAAGGACAGCAGAGCAAGCAACGGAGAAAGGGTACAGTTTGCTTCCAAGACAGTCTGCAAGATGGCTAGTTCTTCAGTGGCATGCTAACGTTAGCTAGTAAGCTAATGTTAGCATAGTAAACAACAGTTTCCAAAACGTGATCGATTGCTTTATCTAATGATTGCTGTGATAAGTAAAAATAAGTGCACGTGTTCACAACTGAATGTAGAACAATAAATTACAATTTCGGATTATTATTCCAGTGTTGCAGCTGCAGGGTGAAATCTCAACGCTGCTAGCCAGCCACATTGGGTAACGTGGCTAGCTAGTTAACCAAGGTAGAAACTAGCTTGCATTAGCTAGCTGGTCGAATTCTCGGCTACACATCTGCAAGTGATCTTTAAGAGAGGGAGGGGTGCTCTATAACTTGCTTGTACTGGCAGATAAGCCAGGTAGCAAGCAACCAGTTCCATTCAAGGCGAACTTTTGTTAAATAACGAGAACCAGCTCACACTTTTACCTGACGTTTATTTGGTGACCAAATCCCGGCGTGACAGACACCGTAGCGAAAGATTTGCAGCTGGAAAGGAGTTTGCAGACCTGGGCCGGTGTTACAATATAATATAGTTAGCAATATCTGTTAGTTACTGCTGTGATGCTAACAATTTTAACGTTACTGACATGACCTGAAGGCAGATTCCACCTACTCGGCTCATAGCCTTCAAGACGTCGTCATTTTTAACCTTTTTTTTCTTGCATATGAACGGTGATATGCCACTTCACCGACAGTCATATTAGCTAATGGCTGCCGAATCGGGGAGACTACTGGCGGGACATGGAAAACGAAGCAAAGGTAGGAATTAATTTCACCCATATCCCAATCAGATCGGAATCATCCATTACTGCGCTGCAATGGGCTGCACTGGTGCTGTTAGCAAATCCCTTTTCGCCTTTCCCATATGTAAAGTTCACGACTGTTTCCGGTGGTGGCTGTTTCTCACAGAGTGAATCTGTGAACGGGGTTCATGTCTATCTTGCTATCAATGTACCTTCAGCTCCGTTTCCTTGTTCTCATGTCTTCGTCTTTTCCTGTCTCCCTCATTGACCTTACCTCTTCTGCCTCTGTTTACGGCCTCTCTCCCTCTCGCCTGGGTCATTTGGTCTGCCTGGGTCATATGCGATTCAAGGCTTCATAACCTTGGTGATGATAACGCCTGGATGTTCAGCATCTTGTCTTCATGCCAGTCTATGTCCCATCATTGAATCCATCTCAACTGTTGGACTTGAAAAAGAGGGCCCTAGGTCTAAAGCTGCTCCACTCTGTCACTAAGGGGTATTGGCCAATCCAAATGTGATGCTACACTTGACTGGCGGTGGACTAAGAGTATTGGACATTGAAGCCTTTTTTCTTTGTGACTAATATTATATTTCCCCTTTTCCACCCCTTTCCTCCATATTTTACTATTTCAGCTTCACAGATGAAGAGCCCGGAGAAGAAGAAGGCTAGGAAATCCACGACTCAGGTAAAAGTTATTGTTCGAAATGTGACTGTTTTGCTACATAAAGGAAATATTCTCTGTGTCAAATGCACCTTACAGACAGGTAAAATGAAAATTTTAATTATCTGATTTCATAAAAGCACTGAAAAAACCTAACATTTACTTTGCACTTTCTTTTTCTTGTTTTAGGCGGTGGGGTTCTCCCACCTCACTGAGTTTGCACCTCCTCCTACGCCTATGGTGGACCACCTGGTTGCCTCCAACCCATTTGATGATGACTTTGGGCCCCCATCCCGACCTAGTGGGGCAGGTGGACCAGGTGGTGCTCCATTTCTTCCCAGCCCAGGTGCAGGTGGAGGAGGTGGGTATGGAGGTGGCGGCAGAATAGGTGGAGGCATGAGCTTCATGGGAGGCCCCGGAGGACCAGGTGGTGGTCAGCCTGGAAGGAGGCCACCCTTCGGCCCTCCATCCAACGCTGGACCTCACCACCAGCTAGGCTTTGGAGGTATGCCTGGCTTTGGAGGTGGTGGTGGGGGCAGCAGTGGGGGAGGAGGAGGCGGTGGTGGATTCCCCCCTGGTGGCCCTTCTCAGTTTAATATGCCACCAAATTTCAGTCCACCCATGCACCCTGGGCCAGGATTCAATCCCATGTTGTCTCCAGGGAGTATGGGAGGTCCCGGAGGAGGAGGGCCACCCCACCCTCGTTTTGGCATGCCTCCACAACAGCAGCATGGGCAGGGTGGACACCCATTCAACAGCCCACCACTGCCTGGTGGCGCAGGTCCCAGAGGGCCCCCACATGGCCCCCTGCCTCCTATGGGGGGAGGAATGGGTCCTGGGATGAACATGATGGGTGGCATGAGTGGCGGCCCCGGAGGCAACATGGTGGGTGGGTTGCCAGGTATGCCCCCTCAAGGACAGTTTCCTCCCTCACAGGACGGTCCCTATCCTGGTCCCAGTCCGCCAGGGCCAGGCAATGAGGATGGAAAGAACTTTGGTGGAGGAGGGGCACCACCTGGGCCCCAGCAGCAGCAGCAGCAGCAGCAACAACAGCAGCAGCAACAGCTTAACCTTAATCCCAATGGTCCCCCTAGTAATGCTGCTTCTGGCCCTCCTCCTAACTCTGGCCAACCACAGCCTGGGGGGGGCTTCCCTGGACACCCTGACGTCCAGCAGCCCAACGCCAATACACCTGGTCAGCCTCCTTCAGCACCACCACAGCCTAATCCCAATTCATCTCCTACAGGTCCCCTGAATGGATCAGGCCAGTCCCAGCACCCACCAAACAGTCAGCTACAGCCCCCTAGCAACACAAACACCCCCAATTCTAATAGCTCTACCCAGCCGCAACAGCAACAATCTACTCCTCCTAACTCTGTTTCTGGCTCCACCCCTTACAACCAGCAAAACAACACTCCTGGTGCTGGTGGTCCCATGCCAAACGCTGCCCCCAGTTCAGGTCAGAACAACATGACAAACAACAATGGAAGCAACACTCCTGGCAGCAACCCCAACCCCCCATCTAACTCCACCTCAACCCCAAACACCCAGTCCCCTCTGCCCCCTGGTCCTACTGCCCCCTCCACTGGGCCTGGTTCTGGCCCTGGAAAACTTGGTGGCACTGGGATGGTCTTCCCTTGCGGCCTTTGTATGGCGGAGGTACACGACGATCAGGATGCCATCCTATGTGAGGCATCGTGCCAACGCTGGTTCCACCGTGATTGCACAGGCCTGACAGAACCAGCATATGGACTCCTGACTCGTGAGAGCGCTGCTGTTTGGGCCTGTGACTTCTGCATCAAGACTAAGGACATCCAGGCTGTCTTTGTGCGCCAGGGCTTAGGCCAGCTGGTGGCAGCTAATGAGAGTTGAGTAGTGGATGGAAAAGGAGTAGCATGAAGGTGTGACACATATGGACAAACAGAGACATTTTGTGCTCTGATCTCACTGAATGACCTCTGTGTCATGTCAGCTATTTGCCCAGCTTTCTCCCAACTAGCCCTTTACTCATTCACTACACAGAAAAACACACTCATTGATGTTCATGCTTATAATATAGCACTTTGAGTGACTCTAGGCAGATGATTTTTCTTCACCCCCGATATAGGAGTCAAATCATGATGAATGTTCAACTACACAGTCTTTGAGACATCTAGCCTGCCAACCAGCAAAGCACTGACACCAACACACTACCTCACACCGTTTGTGACTAACTGGCACAGAAGCTCCTGCACTAACTGACTGTGATCGACTCACCAGTGAGATGATATTTCAGATACACATAGACCCACATTTGGCCGGGAAAGTAATGTTGAAATATTCCTTTACTGTGTATTAATACATTAACTCAAATTATCAACTTGATTTAGATTTTTTTTTTCCAGCTTTAATTTGAAATGGATGTGATATAGCCAATCTATACATTAACAAAATGAAAGAGCCCCTAAAATTCTAAAAGAGACTTGGGATTCATTCACAGCTGTATTTGCCAACACAGTCCTTCATTCCAGCACTGCCTAATCACAGTTTTTTATTTTATTTTATTTTTTTACTGAAAGCCAGTGAAGAAAATGGAAAAAATACATCAGTATATTGCAGTGTAAAGTCTATCAGGCATATTGCTAACATAAACATCAAGTGCGGAAAAAAAAAGGGTTTTATGACGGTTCCTGAGCCTATACACATGCATACATACACACATACACTTTGACCCCATATTTCTTATACATGTCATTTTGTACCCAGTGCTAAACCACAGGAGTCCTGGGCTGAGACTTCATCCACACATCACAGAGAGGATTTTACCACCGTTTACATCTGTAAATATTAGGACAAACCATTTGTCCGGAACTCCCGTCAGTTGTGATCATGCTGCAAAGTTGACCAACAAACAAAATAACCAGTTGAACTTGTGTGTCTTGGTTGTAAACTTTGACCTTTTTTATACAGTACAATTGAGTCAACATTATCTCTACAGTACACATGAATTGTGAAACCAGTGCTTTTGGATGGTGTTGGCATAGCGAGTAGTGATATCATGTCATGTCAGATGTGCATAGTCATTGAAAAAAAAAAAAGAGGGAGGGGGTTGCATGTGAACCAATGCAGTAACTGTCTGATCTGTTCCTGTTTATATTCTGACCTCTGCACTGCAGGAGGCCTTGAGTTAGACCAAATAACTAAAGAGTGAAAAATACTCCTTTTCACATTTCTGTCACGGTATAAGGTGTTTATAACTATTCTTCTTTCTCTCTATCTTTAATTTTTCTTTACTCAGCGTCTGAGTCGCCTTTCTTTTCTCGCTGGCTCGGCTGTTCCTTTTTATTTTATACTGGTATTTGTGCTGTGCTCTCGCTCTACTCTGGTGCCTCCTGGAGGAACCGGCGAGTCCCTCACCAGGTGGGGAACAGAAAGGTACTGAACTCTAAAGTAAAGAGTGTTTTTTTTTTTTGTTTTGTTTTGTTTTGTTGTTGTTTTTTTTTGTACTTGTCCTCATCTGTTTGTATTCCTGTTATTTTATTTCTTTGCTAATGGTTGTATTAAAATGAGGGTTGGAAAAAGCTGTTGAAGCAGATGTAATTTCTTTGACCTGATGCTCAGAGTTACAGTACCTTTATCAATTTTGTTTAAAGTTTAGTTTTAAAGTTACATTTTTTTTTCTATATCACTTGTCTTAAGGGTTTCTTCTCACTTTATCTTGGAATTCATCTGACTGGCTCTATGGTGTTTCATAGTAGTATTGTTGACTGTGCATTATGTCTATAAATCCTTAATAATGTACTAATCATTTCCTAGTAATGTAATTTACCACCTAGTAGAGGTAGAACAGACTTCGCTTGGTACAAATTAATTCCAGTGAAATGCTAGGATAGCATAACCAAGATCATTTTAGTCAGTGTGCAGCAGACGTGAAAATAGCTTCAGCAGTAAATTAAAACTTACTCACTTGGGTTTAAATTTAGCACTTCTTTCAAAGAAGTTCCAAAGGATTGTTTGGATTTTGTGCCAGCCTGTACAAAGATGCATGAAAAATACCTCATTATTATATTGTATTATTGCCATATTGAAGCATAGAGATGGGTTATGATGATTAATATTAGGTCATTTGACCAAAACGAAAAGAAAATCCTAAACGTTCAGTGAGTAGCTGTCGAGTGTCTTCCTAGGAAACTGTAGGCCTGTTCGTATGCTATATGGTTATAGCTCAGCACTTCCATGCAAACGTTTTCAATTTGATAAATGATTTGCCGTAACACCGCCGTGGACGTGGGTCACACACTCGCGATATTAATCCGTGAGCGCAGAGATGACAACGAGCTCGCAGCAGGCGCCGCCTCACGGGCCACCTTCCACCAATGAAGGCGCTGCTGAGGCGGGACGCTGGCTGTCCGATGTGGTGGCAACAGGTTGAGCTGGTAGCAGAGGAGTATTTCTTCATGTCCCCAGTCCATTGACTAATAACTTGTTCCACCAATACTGTGCACCTTTAAGGACTGAAATAGGACCCATCAGTGAGGAAGGAGGAATATCTGGATTTGAACCGTCTTCTCAGGTGCGGTAGAATTTGAGTATTTACACAGCTGCTGCGTGTTTATTGAACATTTGTGGGATTTGGTGTAGAGCTGGGGGAAAGCGCTGGGTGTCTGAGCAGCACTATGTCCCTTACCCCGTTTTGCTGAGCGGGCGTTTAATAACACTTTGATTAGCAGAAATGGACACCTGTGGCTTTGTGACTGGATTTGGCAGCCGTGCTCTCGTGCACAACTTTGCCTGCTCACGATAAATAACCGACATAAAGGGCTTTGGGTGAAAGCCTATTGTTCGCTTTCAGACATGTTTTCAAAGGTTTGGATGCAGCTCTGTGAGTGTACCACTGCCTATAGTTGGATGTGACTGCGCTGCGTAAAGAGGATATGAGAGGTTTCATAGTTGAAGCTTCAAATAGGATGCGATGGTGTCTCGTTGGGAAACATGCGCATCGGTTGTTTATCTGTCTTGTTGCTTAGTTCGTGGTCCCACTGGCCTGTGTAAGCAACCCGGTTTCGACGCACACAGATACTGACTGACCGGATAGGTGGGTGTGACGCAATTAATCCAGGCGCAAACAGGTGCTTTAAGAGTGGCTCTGTGCTCATGGCTTTTCCGGGCTAAAGTATCTTGAGGTTTGATATGAGTTTGAATACGATATCATTTAATATGTGAATCAAGCTGTGTAAATCTAACATCAGCCAAGAAAATAGTGGAGTCGTTGTATTGGTTAGATGTACGTGGCTGAAAGGTGAGCTCTTGAGTCAGTCCCTCGTGTCCTTGCCAACATTATAGTTTACAAGTGATTAACTCACCAGATGCTGGAAGGTGTTGGTGTTCCTTGATCCTTTTCATTTACTGTACATTCAAAATAAATTGTGCTTGGGGACACACTTTGAGTTTGATAAACATGGACTTTGTACCTTTAATGAGGGACTAGTATTTCCATATTCCTGCCATCCTGGCCCTATCTCACTGCAGAAGCTAATATAGTCTGCTTAATATCATAGAACCTTTACTTTGCCTACCTTAGTATGAGCATATGTGTAACTTTTCACTCTTTAGGGCTGTAGCTTACCTTCTTTCAGATTATAATGTAAATTGGCCATCATTTTCTGTCAAACATTTAAATTTGTCTATCTATGAACTTGGGTTGAAAAGCCAATGAGATTAAGTTTACAATACATAAAATAGGGAAAAGTCCCATCAAATATTCAAAGTTTTTGCTTGAAAAACCTTTTAAATAACCGTATAAAATAACAAACCTGTTGCATATCACTTCTTTGTTTATCAATTCATTGACTAATTCATATTCCATCAATAAACTGTAGGCTTACTCTCATAGAATTCAGCCAAATCACATGTCAAAGCCATCATGTTCAGATGCCCAAGGGCCAGAGGAACTGGGGGAGAAAGTCGAAGAGCAGGTTAGAAGTAAAGAAGGGTGCAGGAACGAGGCCAGAGGAGAATCAGAAGTGCATGCTGGGTGAGGAGAAAATAAAGACCGGTGGAAAATAGCCCCGCTTGGTGACATTCCTGTCTGTTGACACAAGTCTTTCTTGTAACAGGTGAGAGGGATCATGAGAGGATGTGAACCAGTTGTCAGCAACCGGTGTTGGTTGCTGAACATGTAAAACAACTGAGCCTTTGCTGAAATTTGTATTTACCTAAGGAGTATGCTCACACCTGGGAGCCTTAAGTGTGATTAGGAACAGGCCATGTTTTTTTAACCTTGAGGTCATTTTTTGATGCCCACTGTTCAACGTTGTCTGGAAACCTGGTTGCTTATGGTTATGTTAGAACAGGGAAATTAATATACTTTTGCACTGTATTTTTAGTCTCCAGTCTGTTGTCCTTTAATTAGACTTTTGTTCATTTTTATTTACTGCCTGTGTGGACAGTTTTCCATATGTGTAGGCTTTAAAGTTGATGTTGCCCCAGTTCTCCATTTCATCTTAATCTGTCCTTATTATATAAATGCAAGCCATGCACAATGCAAGGTGTACAGGGAATGCCTGGAATTCTAAGAATGTTTTTAGGAAAGACAAAGCCTGACTTTGATTCATTAATCTAAGCGCATTGCTAGTTGAGGTGCTGCGTTATACTGTAACCAGTGCTCAGTTAGGGATAGTTAGACTTTAATTCCTGTGAGAGTCACATTTGCAGGTGCAGTAGGTATGGACCAAGAAAACAGGCTGGAGTTGAAGTGTGGTAATGAAACTCAGCATTAGCAGAGCTTAAATATAAAAATGAACACTTGCCATACAATAATAGTTTTTGCATGTGACTGCAGTAACAAAAGTGTGTTAACATGATTTACATTACTTATTTACAGACACATTGAAAGGAGTGATGCTAATTAGATCAACTTCCTGCTAACAGCAGGTTTGGCCTTGTCTGTGCACGCCTGTGTGTGTGTGTGTGCGCGCGCGCGCGCACACACGCACAGGCATATGCTTGAGTTGATGTGTGTGCCTGCACAGCTCAGAGTAAACAGTCTATGCCTGAGTGACTCTACTCTGAGGTCTAGTGACTGGGGAGACTCGGGCAAAGGCAGAGAGAAAGAAGGCTCATTGTTGACATAGCCCCCAATGTTTAATGCTCCACAGAGCCTGGACAAAAGGACAAGTATTCACCTTCTCGTTGTGTTCATCACCAAGCTAATTTTAAGAGCATATAAACTGGACATGCTTAGGTTATTTGACTAACATTGTAACTGCTGTAGTTAGTTCAGTCATTTTAGTCAAAGCTAAAATGGCATGCACATTTTGGTTTCAGCTTTGCAGATATAAGGATTGAATAGTTTTCTTTGTGATAACAGAATATCTTTGAGTTTTGGACCGATGGTTATTAAAAACAAGAAATTTGAACACATCACTTTGGACTAAGTTTCTCTGACATTTATTAGACTCTAACTAATCAATAATATAATGAGTAGGTTATAAAATACTGCTTAAATTTCAAACTGCATTAAAGATACAGTGAAATTTAAAGAGGAACTCTGGTGACTTAATATTGCACTTACATATAAATGGGGGACTCATCCAGCCTTTTTTTTTTTTTAAGAATTATCAAAGTCAGAGCATCCGAGGCCAAGAAATCCTGACATTTATTCCCCACTGTGGGTCAGGCTCCAGGATGCTGCAAAACATGGTGCAAACTGTCAGTATCAGGGGTTCATTTGCTACGGTGGTCACTACTGTTGCAGATCTATCCGCCTATGCTATGTTATGTCAACCACCACAGTGAATGAGCAGGCTCATTGTTTGTTTTGTGTCTTTCCTTTTTTAATGCTCAACTGAAACCATAGTATCATTAACAGCATGCCTTTGTAAATGAGAGGTAATGTTTTGACCTGAATAGTGTGTCCCGTCTCATAAACACCCACTTCTGCTCATATGTTTTCCCTGCCTTCCAAACACACCCTCTGATAACACAGATGCCTCAACCAGTACAAAGAGGCTTCTTATTAGTGCCAAAGTGGCATATTTGGCATGACATGAATACAGTACATTCTGGCTGAGAAGGAATTGAACCTGTCACAGGATGTCACAGCAATCTGATATTTTTGCTGTGTCAGAGTGACTCCAACTTGGAATAAGAAAGGAGTTTACACAAAAAACAAGATGTAATTACTTTTTGTTAAGTCTATAAAGAGCAAATTGCAAGAAAGACAAAGGCACATCTGAACTAGTGCAGCAGCTGAAACCAGGAGTTGGTGAGAGTTTCAGTCTGCAGGTGTGTTTTGTGGAATAGATTTATAAATTTCATGTTCAGCATTCTTGTTGTTTCCATAACATATGCACCTGACTCACCTGGTTTGCATTTCCACTGTTTTCTCCTCCCTCTCTGACTAGACTGCTCTCACCTTAAACCAGGAAGTGGACATGAACACTCTCTCCACTGACAAGAAGCCTCTTGTGGATTATGGCATTCAGATCCGCTTCATCAACGATCTCCATGACACAGGTGGGGGTTACCCCGATAAATCCAAAGGAAACAATAGTGCAACCCCTGCTTCCAGTAAATACGGGGTGGCAGTGCGAGTTCAGGGAATCTCAGGACAGCCCTATGTGGTTCTGAAAGACGGTGAGAAAGGTGACTCCTATGGAGTTCAACTAAACGCTCCTGCTCCCAGCTCAGGGACCCCATCACCTTATAACAGCCTCCCCAAAATTAATAAAGAACCTGCAGAGTTCACAAACCCCTACAGCCCCATTTTAAACACAGCACACCCCCCTGTTTCTCCACCAGAGGATGAGGATGGGGAGATTTTCAGGAGCCCTCTTAAAAGACCCCCTGGGGATGGTCAAGCAGGAACACAAGGGGAGGAGGAGAGTAAAGCTAGAAGAGAAGGGCAGGTGGACAGGGTGAAAGCTGAACCCCAACTCAAAGCAACAGCCACTGAAGCAGAGAAAAACAGAGACTGGACTAGTTCAGGCAAGTATAATGAAGCAGGGCTGAAACCTGTCAAAGTAAACGGTGTGGGGCCCAGGGGGGTCAAGCAAACTGGCACTGGTTTCACTGGCTCTTTGGGGAGACACAGTGGGAAAAAGCAGAGTAGAGCTTCCCCTTCAGAGTCATTCCCAGAACTTTCTGCACCAACTGGTGAGACACCAACCCCAGAAATTGACACCAACTCCCTGGCTCCCATCAACAAGCTCATCAATAAGTTCAACAGTGGGACGCCAGGCAGCGCCCCACAGACCCGGGGCCGCTCTGGAGCAAGGCAGCGGCTCAGGTTCGACGAGCGCAGGAGGTCCAGAAGTCTTGACGCTAGAAGAGATGATGAGCCAGAGGTTGCCCTTCCTTCTCCTGTTCCTCTAAATCCCTACACTGTCCCTCCATCTACCTCTTCCAACATTTTGACATCATCTGCCCCAATGAGTGGTAGCTTGGGAAGGAGCTCTATGTCTGTTTCCAAGGTGACGGTTCTTGAGGCCCCAAAGCCGAGCTTTAAATCACCAGGGAAGTTTGTTGCCAAGGACACTCCTCCAGCTTTAGCAAAAAAGCCTGTAAGTACCAGTGAAGGCAAGCTTGTGAGCTATATCATGGTATTAAATCCTCTGTTTGTTTTCTATCTTCTTACTTTTCTTACTTACTGTTTGAAGGAGATGTCTGCAAGGAGTCAAAGCACAGAGGTCATCATTGCAGAGGAAGCTCAGGTTAAGCAAGCTTTTCACAACACCCTCAAAGATAGGTATATAAAACTATTAGTATGGCCATTGTTACTGTATATAGAGACATGGGTTATTCCAATCTAATCCTCTGTCCACTGTTTTCTCATCAGCCCCAGTGAGAGTGAAGGACCCCTCAAAAGACAGGCCAACCTCACCTATGAGACAACTGGCAGTTTAAAGGTACAACAAGATATTAAAGCCTGTGATTAGTTTGTTTTTTTTTCACCATATGCAGTAAATGTGAGGTTTTTCTATATATTTTTAGAATTGGATTAGAAAAATCCAGCATTAGTGAAAAGGTATTCTTTAAGAGAACCAGAAAACAGTAATAATGATGGCGTGGAAGTTCTTCCCCTTGAGGGCAGAATGTATGAAAAGTAATTTCCAACTCAAAGGTCCACGTACAAGGTTTTTTTAATTTATTTATTTATTTTTATAGCTTTCAACAATATGCCACCATTTTTATTAACAAATGGATCTAGCTGCTGTGTTCCACACGTAAATTACGTTGGCATCCAAGTCAGTTCTGTTCATGAAGAAGACGAGATGTGGTTGAAAGCTCAGGAAAAGCTAGTAGGTGAACCACTGAGTTGAGATCATTTTGGCATGAGTTGCATGAAGAACTCGGATTCAATTGTTCAGCTTATGTTAGTCCTAGTTACGGTCTTGTGTTTTAAATTGTGATAGTGGAGCTGCATCTTGGTTTGCATTTGGATTGTGCCTTTAGAGAAATAATTTTTGAAAAATACAGGAAACAGGATTAAATAGCTAGTCTGGATCTGTCAATAATAATAATAATAAACTTTATTTATATAGCACTCTACAACTCCAAGGAGCCCAGAGTGCTGCACAGTAAAAATAAATATACCAGGTGGAAACCATACTAAAATGGAAGCCAAAACAAAGCCAAATAGTTTATTTGACTGAGCATAGTCACAGCCAGTTTGTTTAGGCAGAGTGAATAAGCAAATTAAACTACTGCATAGAATAAGAAATGCATTGCTGAATTAATAACAATTAAGACATTGCATAAATTTATAATGGATTTATAATGGCTCCCTTAGCTTTTGTGGTGTGTTCAGCATATTGGTCAAACAAAAGGCTGGAAAGTAATGGTGTCTGGGATGTGAGTCTTATTCTCAACAGGGCAGTTCTTGTAATGAAGCTACCAGATGGTTGGCAGCCTGTCCTTTTCTCTGAGGTTGCAAAGTTTCTGTTTTATTTACCTCCACGGATCTTCTTTGGCACACCAAAAAAATGTAAAAAATTAAAGGGCATGCTGAATAATCAAGTCAGTTTGGTCCTTTGTGCTCCCATGATACCTTATTCAAATAATTGGGCCATGTTGTTTGTGAGTGTGAACACACTACTTCTTTTAAATTTGCACTCCTTTGCATAAATCTACATACAGAAGGTTTTCCTTTGTGTCCCTACCTTCTGATATTACATGCACTTGATTATGTACTTCTCAGTGTGCTTGTGACCATGGCTGCTTGTGTATTATTTGCCTGTCTTGTCTCTTGGCAACGATGGACCTGCAGAGGAAAGCTGTTGTGGGCTCAGTGTGTTGAGGGCATCAATAATTGAGCTGGACCATGCACCAGCTGGGGGTTGGCTTGTTGGATGGCACAGATCCTTCTCAGAGGGGTTTTGTTGAACAAAACCTTGTTTTTCCTGATGTTTGTTTGTCCGCTTTAGTAGATTTAGTGGCTGATTTCTTAATCAATGCTCATGTGAGGCGCTCTAGAAGTGATACTGTAACATCCACAGATTGCATCAAACTGCAGGGTGAAGGGGTTTACACTGTTTTTTGCTTAGTGCAGTTTTTTTCTGCAGCTCTGGCTCTAAACGAAAACATCACTTTTGGCTGTGTAAAACCAAAACATAAGATGAGAGCAGCCTGTGATTCTTCCAGGGTCCAGATTAATATGCTGACACTTGCTTCGCCTTTTGTTTCAGAGGGTTACTTGCATTTCAAAGTGTAATGTGAAGCAGGGTTCACATTCCCTTGGCACCACTAGTGTCTGTGGCTCTCTAAGTGCTTGTGATTTGTTTTGACTGGTTTAATGCAGTGTTACCACACTCCCACCTCCCACTTCACAAGTCTGTTACTTGTGTCCCAACACTCATGCTGGGAACCACTGGACTAGAGGCTATCGAGACCAAATCAGCTGTTATTTTACTTTACTTGAATCTCATTTGCAGTATTTAATGACATCATCTTCAAGTAATTCAACACTGACTACTAATATATTCTTTTATTGTTAATACACATAAGGATACAACTGAGGCAATTCACTCTTGGTGCTTTCAAAGGAGTTTGTTTTGTTATCTTCTGTTAATTATGGCTTTGTGAGGACAGAGAAACTGAAATGTCCCACAACGGGATTACCTGCTAATTTGACTCCAGGGGACAAGAGGGAAATGAAACAACGCTGTGCAAAATACATCTTCATCACTAGATAACAGGAGGAACAGAACCCTCCATGATCCTTGCTTTGTCTCTCTCTTCTGCCTCTGTGTCCCTGTAATGAGTGTGTAGGAAGATAGTGGTTCATGGGCAGGCTGGGCTTCTTTTCAGTGAGAGGGGGTGTTGATGAGCAGTGGAGTGGTGTGGGTGATGAAGGAGCCACTGCTTCAGCTCTGCTCCCCTGCAGCCTGGCAGAAAAGGTTGTTTATGTTGGGAGATTAATTTATTTTTTTGATGGTGTCTGAACATACAGATGTGGCCTGTTCTCCCAGAGATTTTTGAGAAACTATAGGACAAGGAATCCAAGGCAGGTTTAGGATAATGCACAGTGCATAATGTATTTGTCAACAGTGGCACTGTTGCAGTGTTTCCAGTACTGCTCTCTGTCCTTTTTCTCAATGTCTCACCCTCAGTTTCCTCTACATGTTGTGTGTGTGTGTGTGTGTGTTTGTTTTTTATGTGCAGAAGGGAGAATCTGATGGAGGCATACTGAAGGGTAATCTTGAGGAACTTCAGGAGCACCTCAATCGCTGCAAGAAAGAACTGCAGCAGGCTCGTGATGAGTAAGGATGTGTGTGTGTGTGTGCTGGGGGTGCATTTAACAGTCAACAGCTGTTGCTCCTGTGGTTTCTACGTCACAAGATCATTTCACTGTTGCCTGATTGATCGGCATAGTGGTGTTGCAGGATAGATAATGTATGTGTGTGTGTGTGTGGGCGTGCAGACTGGCCAAGGAGCGAACAGCCAGGGAGGGGGCAGAGTCTCGTCTGCATGTACAGGAAGATCAGCTGGCTGAACTTCAGGAGGAGCTGAGGAGGTTTTCAGAAAACTCACCTCACTCAGACTCTCTTCAGGCGGTACTGACACTCTGCACAGTGACACACACAAACAGCCCCATCAGCCGACTTCTACCACATTACCTGTCTATTTAATCCATACGTTTCTTTCTGCAGGATGTGATGACGCTGCAGGCAGAGCTGGCTGAGGCCGCCATGTTACGTCAGCGCCAGGAGGAGAAGCTCCACCAGCGGGAGCGGGAGCTAGCGGCCCTGAAGGGGGCTTTGAAGGAGGAGGTGGAGTGCCATGACAAGGAGATGGAGGCTCTGAGGGAGCAGTACAGCCAGGACATGGAGAATCTGAGAAAAACCATGGAGCAGGTCACACAGGTGTGTACAATAAATCACACAAATCAGTATTTTGTTTCAACCTGTAACCTAGAGCTCAATTTCTCCTGGGAGTTGTAAGTATAACAGTGGTTCATGGAACAAAAAAATAAAGAGCTGTCAGTACTTTGTCTATTTGCAAAAATGATTAAAAGCACACAGAGAGAGGGAATCAAAAACTCTGCTGATGAGACAAGAGACTTTTTGAACAGTCTAATGGTGCACAACAAAGAATAATGATAACTTAAAAGAAAATTTATCTTAAACATTAGTAATACACTGTAGTAACACTCAGGTTGTTCGATGTGAGTTCTGTGATCTCTGCTTGACCATCTGCTGTCTTAATGCTTCGGAACTGTGACTATGATTTCAGTCACAAAAAAATGGTATCTCAGTAAAACAAAAAAAGAAAATTCACTGAGCCAACACAAACGGACACAAGTGATTCAATAAACTGAAGAAAGACGAAACAATGTAGTGTTTATATAGGCATAACTGAATAAACAAAAGCAATGGACCAGGGAAGATGTATAACCTGCAATAACAGTCACTGAACATTTCCCCTTTTTTTTGTTACATCACACTCTGCTAATGCATTTTTAAGATAGAAACAGTCAGAACTTTCTTTATTTTCACAGGAGCCTTTTGTATGGATGTTGTGTGAGAACTGTCAGGTAATACCTGTCAGGCAGTTTGTGTGTCCTGCATGCATTATTGACGTTATACTCTGTTACGCTTTTGATGTTGCATCCGCTCATTATACACCCAGGCTTTATCTTGTCATTCAGTTTTATGTGTCCGTACGCAGCCAGCGTTCAGACACTGAGTCAGAGTAACACAAGGTCATAATATGAGAGTGCAAAGTTAGAGAAGAAAGAATTTTTGCTAGTTGTGATTGCAGTGTAAATCCTTTGCAGTTGAGTTTTTTTTTTTTTAGCACTGCAGGATGTGGTCTAGAGGATTTTTGAAATATATATACAGTGTGCATATGCAAAAATATTGTAGATCATTATGTAGATTTTTCAAAAATGTGACAGAGGTGATTGAAAAAAGTTACATGGAGAGTGAGAGCAGGAAATATGCAGACAGGTTGTCAGTGACTTTTGATGAGGTGAGCTACTTGGCAAGAGGAGGATTAAAGGAGTTGTATCTCTCTTTGTAATGACTATCATGCTGTGTCTTGTCTGATATGTTATGTAGAACTTAGAAAATTAGGACTCTGATGAAGGCATAAGATGAAATGGGTTTTGTTCCCTTGTGCTGAATGTTTGCTTGGCAAAGAAACTATATTAAAAGTGATAGATTTGGGTGTGAGAATCATTGAATATGAGGAATAAGACTGACTCTCATAACTCTAAATTTCAGTTTTTGGTGTATGTTTGTCATGTCAGTCTCAGGAGCAGATAGAGAAGGAGAGGGAGAGAGTGAATGCTTCCATGCTGACCCTGGAGGAAGAGCTGAAGAGCTACAGAAATCAGGGAGAGCGGTGGAAGACGCAGCTGGAGGCCGAGAATCATTGAATATGAGGACTAAGACTGACTCTCATAACTCTAAATTTCAGTTTTTGGTGTATGTTTGTCATGTCAGTCTCAGGAGCAGATAGAGAAGGAGAGGGAGAGAGTGAATGCTTCCATGCTGACCCTGGAGGAAGAGCTGAAGAGCTACAGAAATCAGGGAGAGCGGTGGAAGACGCAGCTGGAGGCCAGCACACAGGAGCTGCACAACACCAGAGAAGAGTTAGTGTCTTTAGGTCACATATGTACACACTGCTTCCTTTATTACACCACATAAAAATGCATGGCAGATGGCCTTAACAAATATCAGAGTCAACCACATGTTGGCTGTTCAATAAACATAAATGACATGTCACCAAAAAGCTGAAGTATTTTAAATGTTTTTACTTAGATGTTACTCACAGCAGATTTCTCTCTAATTCTCAGATTGTGAGCGCCACATGTCATATGGTTTTCAGTATCTAGCTTCCAATATGACTTTAAACCATGCCATAAAAGCATGAAGTAACATTCTAAGACCATAAATATATGTGATTAAATCAGTCACTGGCAGGTGTAACATTAGAGACTTGGTCAAGCACCAAACGCACACTGTTGTATTTTATGTTTTTAGAATCAGGAGAATTGGATCAAATAATCTGAAGTGCTCACTTAAAACTTTAGAATATGCTGTGAAAAGATATATTAAGAACTGTTTTTGGTTCAGTTGTATAAGATTTCAGTTCTCGAGTTATTTTTTAACGGATGCACTCTTTCACTTGACTTTTCATTTGGCAGGAGCGGGAAGCACGTCAGCAGTCAAATGTGAGAGAAGATCAGTCTTACTGTGTTTGGTTTGATTGGATTTAGCCTAGTTTCAGCCATAACTTGAGAGATGCTCTCTGAAATTCACTTGAAAAGCTTCTATATCAGAGTGGATTTTGGATTTGATGACTTCTGTTTTGATCATTAGATTGGTGAACTAACTGTACTTACTAACTGTAATCCGGTGACAGTAAAACCCAATCACGTCACTCTTTCAAAGTATTTGTCTCTGCTATCTTTGGTGTGTGCAGGTGTGTTCCTTTGCAGTGTGTGTGTGTCTGCATACATACATATACAGTTGTGTATGTAGAGCAGCTGTTATCCTACTTGCTTAAGATCTACTTTCTTTCCGGCAGACTTCTGAAATCTCAGTTGGAGAAGGAAGAATTTGAAGGCAAGATAAAGGATCTCCAGGATTCACTTCTCACCACAAAGAAACAAATCCCTGTATCTGACGAAAACCACTCTTTAGCAGAGGTAATCCACATGTTGGTCATGAGTCAGAGTACAGATTAGGTTTGCTGTGTGGGTGAAATGCAGGGGCTCATCTCCTTTGTTTTACACTGTCTGTCAGAGCAGTAATGCGACAGTGGGTTTTCCTTTTGGCTGTCATTTTGATCTTTTTTTTTTTTTTCTCATTTTGATTCATTCTTCCTGTACACACAAACACACGTGCATGCTCCGTACTCGTATCAGCACATTGTTATGCACTCAGGCAAATTCCTCTTGCTCACACAGACATTATTCATCTCTGATTACTTATCCCAAGGAGCTTCGTTGTTGCCATGGCGATCTGAAGCAGACTCGCGCCGATCTGGACAAACAAAAGAGCGAGTTACACAAGAAGAGTGAGGCACTTCAGGCCCTGGAGAAAGCGAGTGAGGAGAAAGAGGCTAAGCTTCAGTCAGAGATCAGTGGATTGAAGGAGCAGTTGGAGAAAGATAAAGCCAAGCTGGAAAAGGCCCTCGAGAAGGCAAAGGAGGTGAGGCTTCATCTAGACTCTATAGAAGAGAAGGGCATTTCTCAAGGAACACCTTTGCATCACTGAAATGAATTTGTAGTTAAAAAATAAATAAACAAGAGATGATAGCTTTTGTATTGATAAATGTCCAATAATACAGAAAAAGCGCTGGCATTGTATGTAGAAACAGTAAATTTGTTTCATCATGCCCTCTCTTCTCCCTGTAGTCATCTGTTGGATCTGCAGGAAAGACTGAGGTGGACCACGGCACCAACTTGGAGCTCCAGGAAGAAAACGCTCGCCTCCGAGAAAGGCTGGCCCGCATGGTACTGCACAAAAAGACAGTGCTGTACACTCACATGCCCGCCAAATCATGGAAACATGCATACTGTTCAAGAACAAAAGAAATAGTCTTCCACACATGTTATTTTCAACCAGGAAATGTGAACTAAAGTGCATCTGAAGAAAAACTGGGAGAATAATCTGTCCAAGATACATTTGCATAAGATATGCTTTAAGTGCTATGATCTTGTTACTTTTGATGTGAAGAGCATAGTCGTACACAGATCAGTGTAGGTGCAAGGCCAATACAAGTCAACATGTAAGTGTTACAGAGTAAAATTTTAGCCTGCAGTTTGGGTGCAGGGATCATTTCACTGAAGTTTTAAGTTCAGCCTGTTCTCACTGTACTTTGGATATAAAAAGACGGAGCCCTTTATTATTTCCCACTCCTATTTTACATATCAGATATAACAGTGCAGAGAACAAAGGCAAATTATGATGTACTGAACAAGTACAAATGGGTTTGCTATGTGGAAGACATGGCCAGATATGTTGCATGAAATATCTAGAAGTACTACCTTTTACCTGCAGTGTGATCGAAATATGTAACACAAATGAATCCACATGTTATAGACTCAGGTTCATCAATGGAAATTTTCTTCTTCTTCAGACAAGGCATCACTCCGGTGCGTCCCGGAATTGTGAAGCTGAGGAGGCAGTGCAAGCTCTGGAGGAAGAGACCCGCTCCCTGAAGAATCAGCTTGAGGAGGTCAAGAGAGGAACCACCCGCCTGAGCAAGGAGAAGGACGAGCTGACCCAACGGCTAGAGGAGAGGGACCTGGAGAGGGAAGCACTGAGGAGGGGCAAGAGCGACCTGGAGGAGCAGAAGAGGCTGCTGGACCGAGCCCTTGAGAAGATTAATAAAGAGGTGTGTGTTAGGGTGAGATGAACGTCTTGGCTTGCTGATGTATAGTGATATTGTCATTTACTGACATTTCTCTCTTTCTGCCTCCACCGCTGACAGATGGAGATGATGATGGGAGATTCCCGTCAGTCGGTGGCCACCCTGCAAACACAGCTTGATGAGTACAGGGAGCGCTCGAGAAAGGACCTGCAGGAGGCGCAGCGCAACAGCAAAGACAGGCTGGCTGAGCTGCAGAGGGCCCAGAGCAACCTGAAGGCTCAGCAAGAAGAGGTGAGGACAAACAGGCCGAAAAAATTACAGATATGTGAAAGAATGCAAATCTGCTTGTGAAGGAAAAGTATATAATGTCGCCATTGTCATTCTAAGCATGGTAGCATACTCGTATTTGCATTTTCTGTGCCTCAGAGAGTTGTTAGCATGGCTGTAAACTCTTATTCCTGTTAGAATATGCTGTATATTAGGAGACAAACTGCTCTTAAGGTAAAATTTCATAGAATAATGATCGAATAGGTTTCCCGTTTGAAGAAGGAGCTTCTGGTATGCAGCGAGGACAGAGAGAGCGCACAATTGGAGAGAGACCTCCTCAACAACCGTCTCAAACACCTTGAGAGCGAACTAGAATCAGAGAAGAGCACCTACACTGACCGCACCAGGGAGATCAGGGCCCTGGAGGTGAGGCTTCAAGGTCAAAAATCACACACTGCGATTATAAAGTTGGGTGGCAATAAATTGGGCAAATGGTAACATGTCAGCAAATTGAGTTTAAGGGTAAAAAAAAAAACATTGAAGTAACTTCAGTGCGGGTAGATTGAGAAGATAAACTCAAAAAGAAATATATTATGGCATTTATTTAACTGTGTGTGTGTTTTCACAGGATAAAATTAAAACACTGGAGATTGAACTAGATGAGGAGAAAAGCAATGTGGAGCTTCTGAATGACCGCATCACACGTAGCAGAGATCAGGTGCCCCATAAAAGTATTTTGTATGCACATGCAAATAAGCAAGAGGCTTAACAGGTTTACTTACACTGCCTCCACATTCTTTTCTCCGATCGCTACTTTCTCCTCTCAGGTGGACCAGCTTCGTTCTGAGCTGATGCAAGAGCGTTCAGCGAGACATGACTTGGAGATGGACAAAAGTGCACTTGAAAGACAGGTACAGTGTGTACACATCTAGGCACTGGACATAGTTAGAAGAGATTTTTGCAAAATCAGAAGGTGATTTAGCTGACTGTACCACTCAGGTGAAGGAGCTGAAGACTCGGGTGGCAGACATAGAGGGACAGCCTCGGCCCTCACCTGGAATCCCCCTGCTGGAAAGCAAAATCCAAGAGTTAGAGGAGAGACTACGCAGTGAAGAAAGGTATGATTGAAAGCAAAATGACAAGTCAAAAAAGAAACAATCTCTATATTGAAATATGGAGCCCTGCTTTTGTGGATATTTTAATGATTCGAAGAAACAAGCCATCTCTCTCACACTGTCATCACTTATGGTAAATATATTTAGAGATTCTCATGTCTAGTTATAGTAGTAGTACTGTGTGTATTCTGAATTTCTCTACACAGAGAGAAGGCCAGTATCCATGCCTCTCAGAGACGAATGGAGAGAAAGCTGAAGGAGCTGAATGCCACATTAGACCAGGAGAGAAGCCAACATGCTGAGCAGAGAGATCAGGTAAATATCAAAGGTTGCATGAAAATAGTCTTTGGTGTTTTAAATACTAAATGCTGATGTTCAAAGTGGACGTAACCTGCTAGTTGGCACGTAAAACCAGTCTTGTCATTTTTACACCTTTTTGTTTGTACAAGTCAAACAACAAATGCATATGTACCATTCAGACACAGTCTTTTCATCTAACTCAGCAAGAAGTCAAATAAGTGTATTTCCAAAATGTGTCAGTGTCAGACCTGTTTCCTAATTCCGTGTTTGTATTAAGTAACCTGCTTGAGACTGTTTTAATTATGTAGTAAGAATTATAAGATACAGTTTGACCTACACTTGCTCTTTAATCATTAATGTAGTTCAAACAGTAGTTAATTGCTTCATCTACATAAGGCTAATCTCATCTCCCCTCCTCCTGACCCCAAACCCACCAGAATGCTCCATGATCTTTGTTCCCCTAGGATATTTCTCGGCCGTCTTCTTGTAGTCATAGCTGCTCCCATACAAAGCCTTGAACCCATGCCCATTTAGCTTCTTACCCTTCACTCCCACATCTTTACCTGTGACCTCCCATGTTCCCCTCTAACCCCCTGTCTCTCCCTCTCCATCCCCAGCTGTCTCTGCGTGTGAAGGCTTTGAAACGGCAGTTGGACGAGAGCGAGTTAGAGGTGGAACGTCTGGAGGGTGTTCGCCGTAAGGTTCTCAGGGACTTGGAAGAGCAGCAGGAGCTCCAGGAGGCACTGCAAGCCAAAGTGACAACACTGGAGACTGAACTAAAGTAGGACTTAACATATTTGTGTGACTGAATGTTAAGTTGGCTGATATTTAAACAATTTTGCTGTTCCACCATATCAATACCATGCATCTTCTTTACACCAGGTGGCACTCTATAGTAACTAGCAGGACACATGCCTGTGTTCATTGAGCTGCACTTTATTAGGTACACCTGTACAATTGTGTGCATTTCAATGCAGCACTTCCACCTTAACATCGATGTTTATGAATCCCAAAATGTTTCAGTTTTTGGTGTTTTTAATATTATAAAGATACCTCTGAATATAAAGTAGTCCAGTACAACACCACCTGTAATTATGACCTCATGTGATTGAATTTATAAATTTGACAATTTTATCAAAAATGGAAAGATTTTGAGCTTCATAAATAGATGTTAGGATGGAAGTGTTGCATTGAAGTGCATGCAATTATACAGGTGTACCTAATAAAGTGACCAGTCAGTGTATGAAAGTAGAAGAACTAAGTCACTCTTGTTGGATTTTCTGTTGTTCGCATTCTCCCAGGCGAAAATTGCAGCAGACACATCGTGCAGCCCTGGGCCTTTCCATTTTAAGCTCTGAGGATGAGGATGAGGTTTCTGTGACAACATTGCTTCCATCCTGAATGAACGCCACCCAGAGAAAAGCTAGAGGAACATTTAAAATAAGATTTTTTTCAGTGCAAAAACTTGTACAGTTTGTCAGAGAGAGAGGTACTCAGGGCATCAAGGACCTTGCAATTGTTCTTGGTTTTATTTTTAGTGCAGCAGTCAGAGACAGAGATTGCAGTTTTTGTGAGCCTTCAGCTTGCTTTGATGCTGACATGTTTTATCCATCTTGAGCCCTTATGTTTCTCTAAAGTGAAGACAATTGCAGTTAGAAATACAATGTTTTACTTCATATGCTTCAACTTGAACTTTTCAAAAAGGCTCTTTGTTATGTGTTTATTGTATTGACCATATTTACTGTATTCTACTGTGGTAGCATGTTACTGTGACATGATTTATACTGAAAGATCATATGGTTGCTAATACTGTTGATGCCAGGCTTGCAAATTCAAACCCACTTAAAACCAACTTTTTCCCCCCCCCCACATATGAGTTACATCTGTCAGTGTTGTTATTAATGACTCTCGGTGTATTGAAAGTGATGTAATGTGTTTTTTTTGTTTTACCTATGAATGTGAACGTAATGGGGAATTTAAACTGAACCCAAATCTTTATACTGTATCAGCTGTGCAAACTTGTAATCCAAGACAATCAAATATACATGCCGTAGCACTGTTTATCCTCACAGATTCATCTTTTTCTAACTTTGACCCTATTTCTGAATGTGGTTCAGTATATCGCTGTGGATTTAGCTTGATTCATGTGCATGTTTTCAGTCAAATGCCTTAAAGATGAGATTTATATCTATTTTCACTTAATGTTGTCATCGCATGTTGTGTTTATACAAGTAAGCTGCTGTTGTAATGATTTAAATGGTATTTCATGTGCTTGCCTGTGCTTGCACTTCCTGTACATGTCATGTTGAAAGAATTATTAAGCTACGGGGCACCCCATTACACAAAGTTTATATCACAGCAAGGTTACTTGTATCTAGAGTGATTTCCACTGTACTGTGGGGGCCTTAATAGAGTAGAGGCAAATCTTAAAGGAGAGTGCTTGTTCTATTTCTGCCAATTTGTTCTATAAAATATATTCTATGAAATCCTAAGAGAAAATCTATTTTTCCATGCTCCCTAAAATGAGGCCAGAGGTCAAAGTGACTTGCATGGCAGTAATCTGCTCTGGTTGCACAGGTTTATTGATCAGATTAAGGACACTTAAGCAGGTTTAATGTTTGAACCCCGAGGCCACTCTACCAGTTTAGTTATTATTATTATTATTTAATTCTAACTCATTTGGTATAATAGCTACATGAAACGGAGATGATCCACATGTTGTACTCCCAGCAAATGTAATTTAACACTATAAAGTATACTGTTGCTTAATTGACAAAGCTGTAAAAAGATCTCTGTTAGATGGAAACATTGTTAAATTAAATTTGCTGGTAATGTAAGATTTTCAATTCCATTTGTTTTGTTTTTTTTGATCCAATAAATGTAGAACTTTTCTGGATGTGAACACTCTGCACTCGTTTATCACAGGCACATGAACTGTCATATCCCAGGGGTGCAGCCATTGCATAATACCTGCCTCTCTTATGTACATGCCTCCATAGACAGAATGCCAGTTAGCAGCAGGCCTGAACCCAGTACCAGTGACGTCACCTCTCCTCCACTCTTCACACTCCATTAACCTGTAATCTGCAATCTCTCACTTCCGCTCTATGTGAACAAACAGGGTGATCCCGAGGTTTTATAGTGAAACTGCCCTGCCAAGTTTTCCTCACCAGGAGTCACAAAGTAAATACAAAATCCTAAAATCAGACAGTTTTGCAGTGGGAGGTGTTGAGGATTCTAGAGGTTCAGTCCATACAATAAATTGACTTTGTTTTCTACAAATAACATAATATACTTTGCTGTAGTTCATCATACAATATAATTTGCCAGGGGATGCCATTGGCCACCACCAAACTCTGACCCCCAGGTGCCACCCCTGCCAGAGCCAAATTGTGATGCTTATTAGTATTAATAAATGAAAATCAATGTCAAATTGTAGCCTAAAATGCAAGTAACATTTTTCTTGTGCTTTACAATATAAACCACTCTGCAGCAGTGATGACCCTAACCAGGAGTAAATAAGGAGTACAGCCAAAGTTAGATAAACAATTTGATTCTTAATAATATATGGTTTATTATTTCATATAACTAGTGGTTTAATTATTTTTTTTACTATGGGATTAATTTACTTTTTACATGCATTTCAAATGTGCCACCCCTCTCTGAGTCTGTATACCAGCCTCGTCACCCCATCCAAAATTTTCTAGCTCCACCCCTGCAAACAACCAGTGGGTTATTGCAGGATTTACTACAACTTCACGACATTCAATCCTTCCAATGGAAAACTGTGTTTAAAATAACATGTTATATTGTACAATATGTGAGGGCTCTAATGATGACTGAGCTGCCTTTTGAATTTGAGTCATTCATACCAGTACTCCTCAACAGGTGTTTGGCACAATGAAGATGTACTAAATACAGCAGGTTATTGTATTTCAGTGAAGTGTACAAAGTGACTACTTTTACTTGCGTGTCACTGTACAAATAGTTCTTAACATAAGACTGACTTACTGAAACCAAGAAGTAGAACATAAATACATGATGACTTACTGAAACCAAGCGGAAGAACATTGTAGTTAAATAAAAAGTAGGCTTAAATGGTTTAACCTGATTTGGGGGATTAGATTCTGGTAATGGCCTTTTATTTAGTTTTATGCCACACCCCTCTCAAGGCGCATAACCACAGGAGTAAGAGTATGTCATCAGTTACTCTAAGCTAAACCTTCACATGGTAGGATGTGTCTTTAATAGCTTTTTTATATTAATTTATATTCATAACATATTGATGATAACTATTGATTACATTGGTGAAAGTTTTATAAAAGTGTTTATTATTGTCTCTACCGAAACTCTGTTTATTGCGCTACTTATTTCTTACTGGTTTGATTTATTATTCAACAAAAATCAAAAGGTAAATGAGCTCAACCACAGGCCTTGCAGGGAAGTAAGTACGTGGCACCAGAGCTACCTGACATGTGACTGGCTATATCCTATTTGCAGGTCTGGCACAGAATTAGCTGCAGTGGAGAGGAAGGAGCTCACAGGCACTATCAGGTTCTTAATGCTGTGGTGTCATTAACACAGAAATTACTGGAAAATATAGAAACAAACTTTGTTGAAACAAGGTAGATGAAGAGAGAAAACTTGGGATCAGTGTGTAAGATCAGGCGGATGACTAAGGGCAAAATTCTATGGTTCAGGAGCACTCACATCAAATGTCTTGCGGACAGGGGTCATCAGCCTCCTTTAGGTCAGTAACAGTTTTATTTCAGCCATAAGTGTTCTTGAGAAAAACAATCATCATGATCTCTATATATCCCACAGATAAAGAAGACATTTTGAATTTATATGTGCTATGACTGCCAGGATTTTATTAGCACCTTAGGTAGCAATAAATAACCTTGTCCAAGTATGTAAAGCTAACCTTTTTCTCCCACTCACACACTTAAAAAGAATAATGTAAACTGTCAATGTCACAACATCACAACAACATCAATGATTAGATTTGCTCAGAGAAAATTGCCATTCAGCAATCAAAGGAAAAGGGATTTAAAAGGAGGATACAGATGTAAATAGAAAAAAATTACTTGTGTACAGTAATTTACCCTGCGCCATACAAAAATATAAAGCAGGCTATCTGCAGCAATAATGTAAAGCCTATATTTGTCATCTTATTCGTTATCACAATCATCATTACCACAGGAAATGTTTATTAGGCAGAACTGACAATTATGGTAAAAGATGACAAAGCCAAGACTAAAAGCAAAATACAAATCCTTATATGTTAATGTAGGAAGGCCAAGTTTGACTTCTGCTTGCTCCATCCTGATTTATATTTCAGTACATTCCATTTAAGTGGCGTGTTGCAGACCTGGAGGCTTCAACTGTACTATCTGAATAGACGAAGAAGGGAGGGAGGGAGCAAGGGAAGGAGGGATGGAGGGGGCGGAAACTCTTCGCTTCTCCGCACTTTTTATGGAAGCGTTGCAGTTTGCAAGGAGGAGGTGGTATAAATGATAAAACAGCATCTATAATTTCTAATCCATTTTATGTTTGGGCTTCACTTCACTGCTGAGAAGATGAGCGGTGTGTCAGGTGTCGTGACTCGGACGGTGGAAAATCGAGAAAAGGACCGCACAACTAATGTGAGTGATGCAAGAGAATTCTTATTAAAAAAGACAGAGTTCATAACATAGATGCACCTGTGCTACTTAGTAAATGGCTCACATGGACCTAATCCCTATGTGCCTATATCGTGTGGTACCGGACTAACTTTAAATGATTACAGCTGTGATAGGTAACGTTAAATGGCTAACCTGTGTGGCTTTCTATGTGGATGACTTACCTCTTTTACAGAAAATCTCATTCTGAGTTCAAACTAGGTCACCTTTCATGTCCTTTATGAACATATAAAAGTGAAACTGCTGTGTAAATGGCATAAAACTATAATATTTATAATATTGATAGCCTACGTGGGGCTTTTGAAATAGCATTTATGACATATGGAAAAGCAGAAACTTATTTTCTTCAGTCATATGACGCCAGAATACACCGTGGAAAAGTACGCAGTGTTCATACAGGAGAGCAAACATTGTCCAGCACTACTGTAGTTTTTTTTTTCTTTTGATTTATTTCCCCTAAAAAAGTTATGTCAGACTTGTCACATTCAACACACCTGTGTTTCTTTGGCCTAACACCACCTTGGCTAACACACAGTTCATTTCAAGACAATAATTCACTGAAGATAACTCACAGTACACTATTGCTTGGTAGCATATTGTTTGAATAACCCAAATGTGATAGCCAACATTAAAATCTTTTACATGCACTTGATACAGTATGAGCATTGTGCCAGTTTGATTATATACAGTAATTGTACACTGACATCATTTATTAAATGGGAAGTGAATTTAGTTGAGATTATTTAATATTCCCTCAAAGAGAGAATATCAAATGGTCCCTAGTCTATTATCACTTATCATATAGTATAATGCTCAAGCAGGACAGATGGTGGCTGTGACTGCTGGATTACACTGGTAATTGTTGCATGTCTTCATTTACTGTATGTTTATCATTAACCTTTTCTACAGAGTGACTTATATGGCGCTTTCTCTGGATTTTTAACCTGCTTTTGCCTTAGAAAAAGTTGGGTGAGCGTTCTTATGGAAGTCCAGGATTCAGGTTAAATCGTGTTTTGACGTGTCACTCAGTTTCTCAGTGAGTATTAGGTTGCGCCATCATATATCTGCTGGGTCCCATAACAGGTGATGCCATAACTCTAACCTTGACATACTTTTAAGCTGCTTTTAACTCATATCCTCAGCCAAACAAGGAATAAATAATTAGTGCCTTGACCCAGCATCTTATCTACTTTGTGTCTATTTAGGGCAAGCTGTCATCTGAATGCCTGCTAGTAGTTTTATCAGAAAATTGCTACTCTCTGAACTAGTGTTCTTGAATCCTGGCCCAGCTGGCTTCTTAGAGCCAGGTCCAGTCATTGTCCAACCACCATCACTGTAAAACTCCACTAATTGCAACATTAGCCACTATGTAGCAACCTATGAGAAGGAATTATTTACCGCAGGGGTTTTGCTGGAAAACCAGTCTTGTCTGAACTAGGTATAAGACTATGAAGCCTAAAGCAGGCAGTGAAAAACCTGGCTATCACTGCAGGCAGTTCCAGTGAATGACTGTGGGTTAGTGTGCAACATGTCGTCTGAGTTCATGATGCGTTGCACACAAGTACAGTGTGTGGTACTTGTTAAGATGAGGTATCTGAAGAGGCTACCTCTTCCATGACATGTTTCATTCTTTAAAAATAAAGTAACATTTTAAACCTATAACTTTTTAAAGTTATTCTTTTATGGCTCAGCTGAGAAAACAATTGGTATGACGTTCCAGGAGTTCCAAGCAACTAATTTAAAAAGTGCCAAGACTTGTTGAGCAGGTAGTTAACTAGAAATTCTTTATTCTTTATTGGCAGTCCAATGTATTTGTTTCTGCCAATGTCTTATTTAACTAACATATATAAGACTCTGTAATATTTGATCCAATCTGTCCAGAACCTTCTCCTTGTTGCAGATTGTTGTGAACACACACTTCCTTGCAGGTATCACAGTATAATGACTATTTAGCAAAGTGACATGAACAAAATTTTGTCAAATGCAATCTTAACAATTACATACCTTGTTATCATGAAATTAAAGTAATATATTGGCTTAAACCATTGAGTTAATACGTGATATATCTTGCCATAGTGTGTGCCAGAATGTTGGCACGAATGAGCAGATTGTTTGTTTATACATAGTACAAAAGGGTTTTTGGCTCAGCTGGCAGACATTATTTTTTAAATCTTTTTTGCATCCAGCAAACTTAACATTTTGTTTCTTCATTCCACCTAAACACAATGAGGATTTAAATAGCTTTCTTCCTCATCCTGACAAATAGCATACGTTTTAGTTCATGTGTGTATAGTTATTGCATGCGAGCATTCTGGGAAGCACAAGAACAGTTCAGGCAAGGATATAATTAAAATAGCTTATCTGGCTTGTAGTCTTTTATTTTGTCAACGCTACAGTATACTTTAGTAACAGTAAACATTGTTGAATGGCATGTTTGTACCGCTCACATGGCAACAATAGGCTAAGCAAATATAAATACTTATACTATACTATACAAGTTTGAGAAATAACTGAGTATTTGGACATGTTATAAACAAAACTAATGACTATTTCTATTATTTTCTAGTCTGTTATTCTATTAACAATTTGGTTGATTAATGAAAATGGTACAAGGAACCCACATTTCTGATTTGGGCCCCATACTGCACTTGAAATGGTCATGAATAACACAAAGTTTCGAGTTTCAGTAGTTTATTCATTTCAGTTATAGTTTAACATATAAAGGTTTAGATAGCTGAAGACACAAGAACACACAGACATGAACATATTTGGACTGTGAGGCATTTGACGTTAGTTTGCACACTTGTGTTTACACTGCACACACTCAGTGTCAGTACCTGTTACATAAAGAGGCTTCATTAATCTCGGTTATATAACTGGCATCACGCATTCCTCAGAGGGCTGCTACCTGCCACTGTCATTGTGTGCCAGATAAATGAAGTCATTCTACAGTTTTTTCTGTTGGCCACTTATTGTCCAAACTAAGTTATGTATCAGTGCATATTTATATAAGATTAAAATAAAATATGTAGAAGGCTACTGAGTCTAATTTGTAGGCTCTGTAGTTTATAAATGACTGTCAAAATATGTTAGCAGTTGAGAGTCGCCATATCCAGGACTGTGTATAATCTAATCAGTGGAAATGTTCCTTCCAGTTCTTTCCACTGTGTATTTGGCAGTACAGTCCTGTAGTGGAGGCTAACAGCTACAAGCCTCTTTGGACTGGCACTGTATTGAGTGGGGAACAATCTGGATGAAAAGGGGTTGGGCATCTGGTGCAGCCTCACCCACCCATATGCAAGACAAGACGGTCGCGACTTCCCACACACTTAGTCACACAGACAGACTGGGTCGCGGCTGCATGCACACCACTGTGGAGTTTCCCGGACAGCTTTGTTTGCCGAGGTAGATACCAGAGCCATGTTTGTGAGATAAAATTAAGGGTTTGTGTTTAGGATTATAGAGTGTGAAGTGCATGATGGTACTTGAAGTTGTAGTTTTGTCTGCTTTATGAATCACAGGGAAGTGTTTGGGTGTATGATTCATTTGGCTATGTGTTCAAAGTACAGGGCTAGATTCCCACACACAGATCAAGCCAGTCCAGATAGAGACACTAGAAAAATCATTTGAAAAACATTAAATGAACATTAGCTTTTTTTTAATAGCTTGACTTATGCAGAAGGAAAAGTACTAAAGAGATACTTTAGTTGAATCTGAATTTATGTGAATCTGAATTCATTTTATTGACTCAGACCACCTGAATGCAGACATTGCCTATGACTTTATCCAGCATATAGTGCCACTTCCTGTTTGTTATTGATGCCATGGAAAAGTGACTCCAAATCGATCTACTGTATGTGTACAAATAATGTAACCTGAACCTCTGTTGTTGCATCGATGACACATACTCTTGGTATTAATCAAAAGGGAAGAGGTTATGTGACGTAATTGTTTGGAGCACGACAAGTTAGCATTTGTATTAGGTGTTTTATGACTTTGTGTCATTCATAGCATGTGTGGCTATGTTGCTTTGTAATAAAACTATTGTGTTCTTACTGCACTCACAGATAGATGGGTTTCACACTTGGCTGTGAGCTCTTGGGACAGGACTTCAGATACTGTGTTTCTGCAGTGCTCTGTTCTCTCTTCTTCCGAGCTCGTTAGAATTATTTTGTACATAGATTTATAGCTGTTTGTTCTTGTCGGCCTGGACAGCAGTGATATCATCCCCAGTATCAGTAAACACCAGCCATGGAGGCGTTTGTAGCTTGGTAGCTCTGATTGGTTGGTGCTATATTGATTGTGGGAGGTTACTGATGGATGTTGTTGTAGACCACATGCTGAGGCGAAGCAGTGACATTACCTCCAAAACAGTAAACATGGGTTAGGCTGGATAGATGTGTAAGTGGTTATTTTTGTATTTGTATGATGTCACCTGAAGCTATTCAAGCCATCTCTGCTCTGCTCTGACTGTTTTGACAATCAATTACTTTGGAATGTTAATTGTTGAAGTAATTTTTCACACAAAAATGCTAAACATTATCTGGTTTTAGCCTCAGTCATTGCTGCTTTTCTCATCTTATATAGAGGTAAACTGCTTATGTCTGGGTTTTGAAATTTGAAGATGTCAACTTGGGCTTTAAGAAATTATGGGCATTTTTCAGTATTTTTGGCATCTTGTAGATGAAACCCCCTAATCAGCTAATCAAAAAAAATCTGCAGCTGCAGCCCTGGGTACTTTATTCTAGTCTATACTTTACTGATTTGTACTCTACTGCATTTATTTTGAATGTCTTAATGTTATGCCAGCCTTGTAACTAGTAAGCAGGAGTCACAGAGGAGTAGATGTGTCTACAGCAGCACTGTTCTGTCCTCATCCTCCATTGTTTGATATGGTGAAACATGACACTGGAGACAGAAAACAGACCCTCCCTTGGGATTAACTGCTGCTGCTCAGTTTAAAAGCCAACCTGAGAAAGATACACTAAACTGGTGCCCCGGATAGCAGATTATCTACCAAAATGTTTACCATGATACTTGCACCTAAGCAGTTTACCTGTGTGCTAACAGTTTGCATCAGTCAGTTTGTGATCACTTTATTGCAGCACACTAATTTGGAGACTTTTGTGATGTGTGAATATACTATGTAAGCTTTCAGTGAATGCTGTTTTGACTGCAATACCGTTTGTTTAATGAAACACATTGATCATGGTGGTTTCTGGTTGCACATGACATGAATGTTAGGATATGGCTGACTTAGCTTGGACTTGCTTTTACCAGTAGAAGATTTTACACATAGTGTGATAAAACATGGCATGTTTAGCTGTAAATTTGTCTTTTGATTTTATCAAACTCATAAGAATTTGATTAACATAGATTTATACCTCGAAGGGATAATTACTCAGCCATGATGGAACAACATCTGAACACTTTTTACCTGGAGGTTGATTATATTATAAAACGGGTTTATGGAGTTATGTAAGAGCTATTGAAAAGTCATACTGCTTAGCCTTACAGCTTTGCTCTTGCTTTGGTTTTCAATTTTGTAAGTAAATTTCAGGCTAGTCCTTGTAGATGGGAATTTATTCACTGAGCTGCATGGACAAGCCTAGAGAAGCAGCACCCAGAGCTTTCTACCCTTGTGCCTCAGTGCTGGAGGCAGATATTAACTACATTATAAATGCACCAAAAAGATAAAAGGGCTGACTCTATTATCAACATCTGAAATGTGTGAGTTTGTACCTGCCCGTGCAGCAGGCAACAAATATGTTTTAGGACAAAACAGCAGATGAAATCAATTTGAGGTGCAGCAGTATATTGTAACCTGTAGTACAACCTATTTATACACTCATATATTAATTTGCATATATCTTAAGTGTGTTGTTTTTTTTCTGTCAGTGCATGCAAGTCAGTGATTACATCAGGACTAACAATGGTAAACAGTTCTTATGCAAATTGAACAAGCCAGAACTGCAAAGGTATGCAATGATTCAATGTTTAATTTCACCTTGCAATATGAACACATACAGATTCACAGTAAGACACCACCTTTTAATTTATAATCATTTGTTGGCAGTGGGTGCTGTTATTCTGACTTCAGTACAACCAGTTCAGTATAGTCTCAAGTAATGACGCATCAAATGATAGTGAACTTTTTCTGAAATATGATAATAAGCACACGTTGCTTCGATGTTCAGCAGTCAGTGTTTACACCAACCCATTATACCGTCATCTAAGGACAATACTGTAGTCTGAAGTTTCCTACATGTGTGGTTTTTGTTGTTGCTGTTCCTGCTTCCAAACACATAAAAAGATTTTAAAAAGAGAAAAAGGCCTCATGCTCACGGTTCGTTCATGCTCAACGATACAAATCCAGAAATCTTAAGGTGCTCTTGAAGTTGAATCATGCAAAAAGAGAAAATATACTTCATGCACTATTAGGTGGAGCAAGGAATATGTTAAAACACCTTTTTTATAAATAATAAAAAATAGTTTAAATAAATAAAATAAAGTTGTTGTTTTTTACATATTCCTTGTGCCACCTAAGAGTGCCTGACATAAAATGATTTTAACCAGGGAAAGAATGCCACATAGGAAACTGGAAATTCACCCAAAAAAGCTTTAATGAATTTTGCATAAATTGAGTCCTCAACTGTAATATTGATTAATTTGAGTACCAAAGCATACCTATAATTTAGCTACAGTTGATTTTTATGACCTATAACATATAGTTTTTGAATCTCTCTGGATGAGTCTCAGCCCCATGACTGAAGTTGGAGCTGGTGGTAAATAAGCAATGAAGCACTCGCATGTGGTGAGGTACAGAACATTGCGTTTTTGTGTAGTGAGCACCTCCCAGGGTGTGTCTGTTCTACAATCCTCTCTGTTGTCTATTGAAACAGAAGCCCCGGAGCTGGCGCCTCTTAAGATGTCAGGGTGAAATATTGGCCTGTCTGTCATTGCCTCAGCTCTGATGGTTTTCAGACACACAAAGAGCTGCCAGTCTGGCTAAAGCATTTATCCGGTGTTTGATTTGCAAGCCAGAGAATTGGTTGCTTACGTAAGTAACCAAATGTGTTACCCACATGTTGTGCTGGGTTGGCCTTCTCTGTTCTTTTAAGCCTTATGTTGTTGTGTTTACATAACATATGGTTGGCAAAGCTAGCCCTAATATAAACCTGATTCTCACCTTACATTCAACACCAGCTGTTAACCCTCAGAAACCTTGTTGAAGTTGTGAGGACCAGTACAAATGTCCTCACATGACAGTCTGAGAACTTGATCCTCATCATGTACACACTCACAAAAAAGAACAAAACATTTAATAGCATTAGTTGTGATATACAAAATATCTCTTATTAGTAATTTCATGACATTTTGTTGGACCTATACATAACAATGCTCTGCAAAAAGGAGATCTCTCTCTCTTTCTCTCTCTCTCTCAGCATAGGTAAATGACTTCACCATGGACAGACCTGTACAATATGAACACAGTACACACACATTAAAGTTTTATTTTATTACTTTTTCATGGTCAAGTTGCTTTTTAATGACTCTTCATCCTCGCCTATTCAGATGTGGTACACTGGGTAATACATTAAGCTGCATAGGATTTTTTATTTAATGTTGAATGAAGATAGTTCTGTTACTGTCTTTTGCACATTTCATGATCATCATGATCTGCAGGCATCAGATGTTAATTGTTTGTCATCAAAAATGAAAAAGTTACATTGGTCATGAGTTCCTTCCTCAGTTTGAGGTGACAGAATACAAATCCAAGCTGGCACATTACTGCCATCACTGCCATGGTGTTAACTGGGAGGCCAGACGGTGAATTAATTCAAATTGTTGTATGGTAACCATTATGAAACAATTACAAAATGCATTATTCAGGTTGGGATACTTACTACGGTCTCATAGCCTTTGTTTGTCTTGTGAAAGATTGTGTTTTCTTACAGGTGTCACGTAATCATTTGTGCAAGGTCAAGGTTATTATTGTGGTGCTAAAACTGGCAACAGACTGTGGCATGTAGGGAATGTGTCAGTGCCTCATCATAATAACAGGCGTCATTCTCACAGAAAGTAATTGAAGATCTGTCAAGTGGCTCCATTAAAATGTACAGTTGTAACAGTTTTGAGCAGTTGCTAAGCTGTATACTATAATGTTTCTGCAGTGATGTGTCAAACAGGGGAGCACCACCTGTTCCCCTTTAAATGTATGTTCCAGTTTATGTGTTTTACCTACCAGCACTGAATTTTCCTACAGCACAGCTGTATTCTATAGAAGGAAGTCAACATGCAACATTATAGTCACCTAGAAGCTTCTTTAGCTCTGTTTTGACTAATTGACTATTTATTGGTATATTACTATATTTTGATGTGTCTTTTAATAATTATCATGATAATAGTTTGGGTGTTTTGCTGAGAATTCCTGCCTGAGTTTATAGACTAATACTAAACTCAACAAAGAAGTTAAAATAATTACAGTCCAAACATCTACAGGCTATTTTTGCACAGTTTACTTACCGTCACTGATGATAGCACCCACAGCAGAACCACAAAGTGAAAAAGCACACGTTTTTTAATGCAGCTGCCCCCGACAATGGCTGATAATTCAGTTTTTGCCTCAAATACTGTAGGGTGGAGCACACTGCATATAACAAGTGCATACACATACACGCACGAGCGTACATACAGACAGGTAACACCTTGCAGAGGTAAGGATTAAACATAATTTAAGATGGTGATATAATATAAAATAGGTGCTAGGGAGCTCACCTGCACCTGGACTTATAAGATCAAATGTTGTCAAGTAGGATTATGTGGAGTCAAAACACATGTTTGTTTTGCGGAATTATTGAATCTTGCACTTTGTTATGTAAAAATACCTCATAAGGAATGTCATTTTTAGCTTCCCATATTATCTAGATGGTCACAATGTATTATATTAGGCACCGATGAAAGTATTAATAACAATAAGTTAAAGTTATGTACTTTGTGACATTACGCCATTTTCAGTGACCTTTACATAAAGTTCATTAACTTGAACCAAATCAATAGCAGTGAGGATGTGAACTTTGACTAAATAGGAATGATTAACACAGGCTTGGACTCCTGGACTCCTAGTCATTAACAGGGATGTCTCTATGTTATCAGGAAAGTATGATATGTCATTAGCAGAGTAATACAGGACAAGCTAATGTCCCATCATATAGTGATGTTGGGACTCAAACAAATCAAATTAAGGCAGACAAAGTGACAGGCCATGATTCATTACTGTTGATCTAAAAAAACCCTAATGTATTAGAGCTAAGGAAGGTGAAAGAGCAGCAAGTACAGAGTGCACATACATATACAATGGAATCAAATGCACCAACTACAGAACTGCATAGTATACTTGTAGGATGCATACAGTAATAGAAACACCAGCCTGGACGCGTTGTTGTTAACCAAACTATGTTCAATAAATAAAAGAGCAAGTTGTGAAAGCATGTTGGATGGAACAGGACCTGTCTTTGTTACCAAGGCGATATAGTTGGATTGAGAGTGACTCAGTAGCCACAGATGTTTTGAATGAAAGTATTTTTGGCCTCTACTGGTTTCATTTTCTCCAGTGAGTGTAGTGGAGTGTGTGGTCATAATCACCAGACTTGGCTCTGAGGATTCAGTGGAAATGTCTCCTCAGTGTCCGTTGCTGGGTTGCACAGTCAAACTGTTTAGCATTCACAGAGGAACTTGGGTAATGGGGAAGTTTTATGGTAAAAAGTACCCATCTCTCTTTCCTGGCTCCACCCTCTTTCTCACTAGTGACTTTCATTTTGAACCCCTTTTGTATTCATTGGTTGTTTTTCTCATAATCCTCATTTGTAGTCATCTCATCTTTTATTTCAGGGTCAATGCAGGCGGTTTAGACTCACTCGACAAGATCAAGATCAGCCAGGCTACACCTTGGAGTGGCGCAGCAACAAAGTACAAATGAAATAGTTTTATCATGCAGTTTATTGACTGAAAGGAAATGGTATGTGATGGGAATCTTTATCTAAAATTATTTGCTGAATGTAGGAGAGCAGCATAGCGGTGCTGCCACAGCAACCAGAAGAACAGGCTGAAACACGTGAACTCATCAGTTCCACAGAAGAAGTAATTAAGGTATTTAAGCTTGTTTTTCTGTTCCCATGTACAAAGCCAGTTGACATTTAATGCGTCTCTGAACTTTGCTCACCTGTATAATGTATCATACTGCTGCTGCTGTGTTCCCCAGGTTTACCTTGAAGCCTGTCCAGAGTCAGTGGAGAGTGTCAAGATGCTGACGGATGAGGCATCACAGATTCAGGAGGTCAGTGTGCAACTGAGCAGCACTTCCTGCAGCCACATTTATGCATGACACATTTTTTTAAGCATAGGGTGTTTTTGTTCCAGGTGAGGTATTGTCTGAAGACTCTGAGGGAGCAGATGGCAGCCAGGCAGAAAAATAACAACAAGGTACACACCCTCTGCATCAATGTTAGAAATGTTTTGCTGAATATATAGTGCTGAAAGTAGGCAACTGAGTATTTGGTCCAACAGAAAGTTAACTGACATCAATTATGATTTATTTTTAAGCCATCTGTCTATTAAATATGCCAAACATTTGCTGGTTCCAGCTTCTCTAATGTGAGGATTTGCTGTTTTTCTCTTGTATGATTCACTGTAATTTAACTATATTTAGGTTTTCACCTAAAGGTCAGACAAGTTGTCTTGGGCATTTATTGGTCCCCAAACAGGGAAATTCACAAAGCTGCAGCAGTATAGGGATCAAAACAAGTTCCTCAAGTTGTACATTTTTAGAGTAAAATGAAAACTAATTCCACTAACCAGCCACTTCTCTCTTCTTCAGCATCCAGCCAATGGCTTCAAAGTCAGTATGCCCAGCAGCCAACCAGCTGTCCCCAGTAGAAACACTGCTTTCGTTGAGTCAGACATTCAAGTAAGCTTACCATTATTCATCTTTATATAACATCTTCAGAAGAGTGTTTGCTGTTTTTATGATCCGGTCAGTTTCATATAAATGAATCAGAGGACTGGCAAAGGCCAGTTTAAGCTGAAACTAGTTTGAATGCATTTAGATTTGTATAGAAATGACAGGCTTTCATAATGGAAAGGTGTTCCAGGTGAGGTATTATCTGAAGACTCACTCAGGTTCAAGTAGATTTCCAGATGAAACCTCACTGAAAAGATGAAAATGAAATTAAAAAATCACACCAGCCAACTGCTCACTGTTCCACAGACAGTAATGCCAGGATCTCTGAAGATAACCAAGCTTACCACACACACACTGTGCAATGGCTCACTTACATTCTAACTAAGAATGCATACACATGCACAAATGACATTGCATTTCTCATGGACAGACTCAGCACATCATAACATTTTCTCTAATGCAATTCCATTACCAAGGAAGTAGTGTTTGGAGGAGGGCAAGAGTGTGTGTGCATTGTGGCTATCCATTCCCAGTGATTTGTGTATGTGTATATAGGTAAAGTAGGGTCAATTTAACTGCCCTCCTTTCTGAATAATGTCAGATTATTCAGCAGCACAAATGCCACTCTTTGTCTGGCAAGGAAAAGTATTTTGCCCCCTGAAGAAAAGCCATGAGATAAATGATCATCTTCTCAGCCAAACAATGTCTTAAACATGTATCAAATCATTGGCATCTAGCTGTGTGTTAGTCCCTTCCTTGCACTCAGGTTCAAGTAGATTTCCAGATGAAACCTCACTGAGCAGAACACTTTTCTCTCTGCCTGCACTCTCAGGTTACGGATAATCAGGAGGAGAATGTAAAGCTCAGGGAGGCAACCCAGCATCTGTACACACAGCTGAAGGAGATGGAAAAGAGGCATCAGAAGGAGAGAGAGAGACTGCAGGTCTGTATCACGAGATGATTAACATGACACAATTTCCTGTCTGCAGCTATGACTCACTCCTCTGCTGCTCTGCTTTCACTTTAATCATCCTCATTATCAGAATTAACATTTTTAACACTGACAAGAGAAATTAATCATCATTAATCACTTAAAGGTCCTGGATTTCTGCAATTAGTATACAAGAAAATAACACGCTATACTGTGGCTTCAGAATGTCATAGCCAATTATTTTAACCCTGAGGCAGAATATTTTGTGGGAGATATTTCAGCTCCATCCACCATTAGTTAAATTTTTACACTTATGAATTGCTTCTCCCTTTCTTTTGTGTATTGTGGGAGAATAATTTACATCAACAGCTCTATCAAAAACATATCATATTTTTAATTATGCATGTTGTCTTTATGCAGTTTATTTTGGTTATAGTTTATTGTTTCCTTTTATAATTAGTATCCAGTAGGGATCTGGGACAGAGCTCATGCACTAATAAAGTAGTATAAATAATAAACAGAAAGGTGTTAGTTGTCCTGAACAAAGAGAGAGACATGTTGTTGACATTTTATTCAAGGACAGTCTTTTCTAGTTTTATCCATTATTCCTAATGGTGTGAAGCATATTATGCAAATCAGTTAAATGCTGAGATCTGGGAATGTTTTCTTTTAAAACGAGTTAGATCATTAGACCACTTGTGTCTAACTGTAAAATGTTATACTGACCAAGCAGAAAAAGTGTCAGAACTATTAAAGTAAAACCCAAGTTTTAATAAATCTGATCCATCATTTCAAAGTGTATTTATTATAACTTAATATCTTAGAAAACCCTAAATCAATCCTCACCCTGTGGCTCCCCTCACAGGCTGAGTCCAATGAATACTGTACTCGTCTGGCTGAGCAGTCGGAACGGCTGCAGAAGGCAGAGGAACAGTCGGAGGAGAGAGGTCAGCAGGTGGAGGAGCTGCAGCAGCTCCTGGGAAGCATGGAGATTGAGAATGGCATCCTCAAAAACAAGATGGCCGCACGGGAGGCAGAGCTGCTGCAGCTCAAAGCAGACACGGGGAGAGAGCAGGGGAAAGAGAAAAGGTAAGATAGAAAACACTGTGTTCAGTCAAAGTTGGAGTTTTCTTTTTATTTTGTTTTGTTTTTAACAAACCAAATTATTAGGTAAAAACTTGGTATATTGAATCGTATAGTATTATTTGTTTCACTGTTAGTTTTATTATTAATATACAGAAGTTCAGGTCTTTCTCTTTTATATCCTCTGAAATGACAGAACACATGCCAGTGGATGGATTATAAATAGTGTGTAAAACACACATTAGTAACTAACATGGGTCTATTCAAAATGACAAAACAATGTGTTTAGTCTTATATGTATCAGTTAGCTTTTAGTTTGACAATTTCCTCATACAGTGTATCTGTGTTCCAGGTGTGCAGAGCTTGAGAAGGAGGTGGCCATCCTGAAGGAAAAGATTCATCACCTTGACGACATGTTGAAAAGTCAGCAGAGGAAGGTCCGCCACATGATCGAACAGGTATTTATTCACATAAGAGGTTGCCTAGTGGTGCAAGTTGCACACAGAGATAAACACATATTTGTACAGCTATCTTTGTGAGGACACTTACTGATCAAATGCATTCTCCGGCCTCTGACCTAAACCTAATTCTGCCCTTAACTCTAAGTCTTAACATTGTAACTAGAAAGACCCGTTGCCAAAATGTCCTGACTCCCATGGTAAAAAATACTCAAACTGGCCCTCTTCCTGTGTAACCATACGTGCACACACATACACACAATGCTAATGATGTCGGTAGTGCCCACAAACACACAGGAAGCCATTAATGAGGGAATTGGATTTTGAGGAGGCGATACTTTACGCGTTACTGATAAAAGGAAGTGGAGCAAAACAAAACTCACTTATCATGAATAAGAAATGCTGCATCTGCTCCTACTGGAAATGTGAGCTGTTTCTTTCTTTGTTTGTGTTTATTTGCTATTTATATAATACAGCTGCAGAACTCCCGGACTGCGATCCAAGAGCGAGATCGAGTTATCAGAGATCTGGAGGAGAAGGTGGCTTTCCTGGAAGCTGAGGTCAGGAGCCTCTCATCCCTGCATTCAAAAAATATATACAAATGAATATATCGTAATTTCCGGACTATAAGCCGCACCCACTAAATGTAAGACGAAAAAACATGTTGTACATAGCCGCAGGTGTCCATGTTGTAACATGAGATATTTCGACAGCCAGATCGATCACCTGTAACTTGAAGTGGCATCATATGCATTTCGTCGTGTGTTGTCCATGATGAGGGTGTGTGCATGAAGCGACAAAAGTAGTGGCTTATAGTCCAGAAAGTACAGTGTACAAATCCATCAGAATCTTGTTATTACTTAGACTTGTTATAGCTGTTACTTAATTCCCTTATTACATTTTTCACATTATAACATACAGTATTTCTTAAATCCCTTTTGTGCTTAACAGATGAGGCTGATAATATTCTATATTCTATATATATATACTGTTTATTTACATTATGGTGTGTATATGTTTTCTATCATTAACAAATTCTAAACCAACAATTAACTGACTTTAAGTATTGACTGTGTTGTTAAAGCCTAATATAGTTCATTCCTCTGTATTGTAGATATTCATTATTGTCCAAAAACCATTAAAAAGGCCATACTCTCTCACACATGGTGATGCGCTCATTCATCATGACAAACATGACCACACATCAAATGTGTGTTTATCGGTGGCTGAAGATTGTCCCCCAAAATGCACCATTTACTCTCCTTTGAGTAACCTCTGGTACAAAGTACAGTACTCAGTTTTAATTAGAAGCTACAAAACATTTTTTAAGAATGAAACTATTAGTTTTCTTTCATTCAAACTATTTATTTTTGCACTGTTTAAAAATTTAACATCTATCTTCATTAGAAGCAAAGAGGTCTAGGGCAGAAAACCACAGTCAGTGTAGGACAATTAATGATTGCTTTGGTCTTTTTATGGGATTTGTCAACAGTAGTCATTGAAGCTAAAAGTGCCACACTTTCCCTAGCAGACTAATCATTAGGATGCTGCCCTTGATGTCAGTCCTTTACACTGTAAATCCCCGGTATCTATGCTTTAGCACCAGGAAGAAAAAGCCTAGATGAGACACCTTTTAATGTCTGTTACCCTTTTCTGTCTACAGAACAAAGAAATGCATGACCACATGGAGCACCTCCTGGAAGGCAAGGACCCTCAGCCCCTGAAGTCCACTTTGAAAAAGCCAGAGGTCGTTTACAGGTGATCTCATTTTCTTATTACACAGCAAGATGCATATTTCATCCTGCTAAGAGCGTATCTCCCTACTAGTCTTGCTATAGTCAATATCAGTATCCAAGTAAACCTCCTAACTTTCATTTTTTGATTATTATTTCCCCATGTGTACAGTAAAACACTCAGACCAATGTCACCGACCAACAAGGCCCTCCCATGCATCAAAGTCATAGAGATCATGTCCTGAGTGGGATGTGAACCAAGGGACTGGTAAGTAAAACAAGTTTGAATACAGCTGAAACAGCTAGGTTAACAGACCTCATGGTGACAAATCCCACTGGTCTTTTGTTAGTACCTGGTAATTGTTTTGAAGCTATACTACATCCTTCACAGGCTTTCTCAGCATCAAACAGAATCCGTACAAGGAAAGTACAAATGAATTCAAATTGGGATCCAAAGACAGGAGGAATCCTACAAAAGAAACATGATGGAGCTGCACAATGAAAAAAATTTTACTGAACTCCTTAGATGATGTACAAACACAAATCTGTACCATGTCAGCAAGTTTTCGAGATGCAGAGGCAGTAGCACGAGTTCAAGTAAAAATCCCTGCGTTCCCCGTGTTAAGGTTTTCCACCTCCTCTTCTCTCCTACACAGAATCTTTCAACAGGTCAGTGTCAAAGGTGGGTCGAGTTATTATTGTTAATGTCTTTGCTATGCACACTCTTGGACAAATGTACAAAGAAAATCATACTGTGTTGAGTGTTTTCAGCACTGCTTCTTCCTACAGCCTACTTGACCAGTCTTAAGCATCAGGGTCAAAGTTGTCAGTGCCGTGCACCTTACTTCCATAGGACCTGCAGATTTTTTGAATTTGAAATATGATTTAACTTGCATATATTTCTCTGACACTACAGTGGGTCAGAATAATAGTGATAATGCTGTTCTATGTATTAGAATTTTGACTTTTTAGCTATGCTGAAAAATACTGATTATGGGCTACATGTATTAATAGACTGAAAACTAAATGTATTTCTTATTTATGCTACCAAATGCTCCTTCAACCCACTTATTATATAACATGTTTTGTGTTAAAAGGTTTCATACTTAATACCAAGAATTCCAGTTTAACTGATACAACTCAAATAATTATGCATCAATTGTCCGGATGTTGCTGTTTATTTCTGTAAATTTTTCTCTGATACGGTGCAGGATGAACGTTTTTATAAAGTGCATAACCATTTACTGTGAACCTTGTAGACAGATACACTTAAGTTCAAGCTATGTACTTTTATTGTAATGTGTCAAATTTTATTTAATTACAATTTTAAAAAATACTGTCATGTCTGCCTCATTTATTGTGCTTGTGGATTTTTTAGAAACCTAACTTATCTGATGTTGTTGCATCTTTGTACTGCCACCTAGTGGAGATATTAAGAGGACTGAAGAACTAGGTTGTAATGTTTTTATCTCAAACCACAGATGTATAAAACTCACAAGTACAAATCACACTATTAATTAAATGCATTATCATTGTCCACATAAATATCTTACATCTGTAAAAACACACAATGGTTCATTCATATTTACATTTGGAAAAAATAAATATGAATACAGGTGATTTGCCATTAACTTCGCTGTTATTACAAAAATGACAATGAAATCCCTGCCAAGTTGGCTACAATCATATTTGTCCTCTGAACACACACGCTAGGTCCACAATAAGAACAAAGGCTTTGGTGTAACGTGCACATATTGAGAAGACGAAGACACATTGTGACTTTTAAAGTTTTTTCTACAAGTTTCTTTTAAATAACTTGAAAATACCATGTATGACAACTCAACACTACACACTTTAATAACTGAACATAGTGTATAAAGACGTTTCCCAAACTTAATTTGTGAATGTGGAATACTGAACTTGAAAAACATCTGTTTCCCAATAGATTGTTTAACTCATGTACACATGCTCACTTGCCATAAAAACATTTTCTGACAATCGGTCCATAAAAGCACTGATTTACAGGGTGCTCTCCAGTGTGTTGTAGTTGTCTTTGAAACTTTTGAGCTCCAGAAAGTGTTTAGGCCTCTTGCTGCGTTGGCCAGTGGAGGGCAAGTAGGTGACCTGGATGGTAGAGGGAGTGCTCCGGACAGGTGAGCCTGTCAGATCTTTGGCTGCAGACTGGTGATGCTGGTCCAGGCTGGTGGTGCTGGAATAAGCCTTCACCCTGTGGGAAGTGAGAGGAAAGAGGTGTCGTCTGGATATTACCAATGAAATAGCAACAGTGATCATCATTTTACATATATATCCTGCAGTTCTATGAAAAAGGTTTGGGCACCCCTGGTACAATTGCATATTTTGTTGATTTTTGAAGGGAAAAGAAGTAAATGCAACTCCTGCACAAACCCCCTGGGCTGATATCACTGGTTGCCAATGCTTTTTGTAGCTATGTCAAATCTAGACACAGTTTTTTTTTCATCACTTGATTTTTAGTACCAGTAGTAAACTGTGACAGGGATTACGTGATGAAGCACGCACTATACCCTGCCCTGTCGGTGTGAACAATGCAGACTGGAACACCAGTATATCAGAACTTACACATCAGCCAGTTCACTGAGAGCTTGCTGGTATTCAAGAAACTCAGCTTCCCCAAACACCTGAAACAAAAAGTTCAAGTTAAATCAATAACACAATACAGGAGCAAATGACAGAACTGATAAGCCTACTAAAATTTATTCTATTTTCATCACCAATCATTGACACACACAAAAACACTTGTACGCACCCCAGTCCCATGGCGAGCACTGTCATAGCCTTCAAGCAAACGGTCAATGAGTGTGCTGTGGCTACTCTTGATCAGAGAGTGGGAGTTGTTGCGCCCAGTAAATGCACTGGGACTGCAACTAATCTCCTGCAGAGGAATTCCTGAGGTCCAATCAGCAAAGAACAAGAAGTGAAGGTTAGAAAAGTTGAAACTTCAATACTACCTACAAGAAACAAAGTAACTACTAAAAACATGATTTGGTACACTCAAAGAGCATGTTATATATTTACAAAAACAAATCATGAAAAGAGAGATGAGAAACTTAAGATGTACAGATGAAAAGTTGTTTGAATTGCTGCTTCTCCATATGAGGTATGAACTTAAGTGGATTTATAAGATGAGGAAGATGATGAGTGTGACATTAATGGACCCAGTAATGTGATGATGAGAAGAATAATGCATTCATCTTCAAAATCAGTAAGTCTGAGCAGCTCAGACTTGACTCACCTGAGTCACGGATGGCATCCAGAGCTTTCATTCTGTACAGGTAGTTGAAGCAACCTTTGGAATGCAACAGATTTTTATTACATTACACAAAAACAATTTGCACTTAAAGACAACATGCACTTCAAGGAGTTGCAACACTATGAGCCGAAAAGGTGACTGACTAATCTGTGATCCCTGCTTCAGCCTGTCATCTTCTTCTGATAGGAGACGAGGTTCAAAACGGATCTCCTGGACCTTGGCCAGCCTGGAGTCGATTTCCTCTCTCAAACCCTGTAAATTAATCCATGAGGAATATGCATTGGCTCATGACCTGAACTAACAGCAACTGTCGCATATTCCACTACAGTAATCTCTGGACACACAACAGGTAGCCTATTTTATAACAGACGAGATTCACTTTACCTTAGGAGCATTGTGGCCAATAGGTGCATGGGGTCCTCGGCGGGATCTCATTGCAAAACGCATGATTTGCCTTTTGACGAAGATAAACAGTAGCACAAACACCTGAACACAAAAAAGACGTGACAGGACTTTGAATTCAGCATCGTCACGTGACCGCGTATCAGCTAGCAACCACAAACATACTTTCTGTGCTTACCAAGCTTCCATAAGCCATGACCAGAACAACATTAACCCCCGATAATGGCGATGACTCTGCCATGTTTACATCTGTATGTACAGATTATCCTCGGGTCGTTTAGCTAGCTACCTAGAAAAAGAATCTAATCGTTATGTTGCAAACTTCGTCTGGTAGCTAACAGACGGTTGTCCATTGTAAGAAGAATTCTCACTGCCACACAGATTAGAAAAATAGTTATCACATTGCAACTTTGAAATTATGCTTTTAGTAAGATCCTTGTGTAGCAGTTACACTGCAACTTCACTTGCTGCTCCGCGACATCATGTATTACGCAGTTTAGGTTATGCTAGCTTTGTGCGACAGCTACAACTGAGTTACGACACATCAAATTACCGTAATAACGGAGTAAGAAAGACCACTCACAT